GGGAAGGTGTGTAAGTGTTAGTCGTGTGGGGATGCCCCCTCACGGGGGCGTACGTGTCTTTTGGTGTATTTGTCTGTCTGGTATATTGTTTGTCGGGGGTCGCAATTTTAAAGAAATGTATTCTAAAGTAATGCAAATAACTGATAAATAAGTAAAAACTTACCTGGGCATAACCCCGGCACAGGTGCTGTAACAAAGATGCCGACGGCGTCTATGCTTAAGCCGGGGATTAGGTCGGTGATTAAAAGGAAAGAAAGGGATTCTTTCCAGGTAGCCTTAATAAAGGCAGGTAGAATTTGCTCCTTGCACTACACTTTCACAAAACACGTGTGCTCTGGTCGGCTGCCCGCTAGGAACTCCTGAAAATATGACCAAAATCAGGGTAATTATCCTAGATAAATGATACTAGTAAGTAGTAATTATTTACTTTAGTGGCACCACCTCCAATTTTCACAAAATTTTGTCTACCCCCTATTTTCGATGGTGCTGAACACGAATCTAAGTTTTTTTTGTGCGGTCGAACCCAATTTTTGAGAAAAAAATTTTTCAAAATTCTAACCTGAATATTTCAGATAACACTACGTAGAACTCTGTATATTTTATGTAGGTTTCAGAACATCTGTAATAAACAATGAACATTGTTTAAGAAACACATTTTCCCAAATTCGAACTAAAAAAATATGTATTTAATAAATAAAATTATAGTAACTTTATGTGGGATGAACAGAGTTGAATGAGAGTGGGGGAATTCAATGTTGTCAAATGTCAATTGTCATCACGAATTACAAATGGCGGATTCAAACTACAAAATTTTTATTTATTAAATACATATCTTTTTACTTGAAATTTACGAAAATGTGTTTCGTGAACAGTGTCAATTGTTCATAACAAATGTTCTGGAAAGCTACATAAAATATACAGAGTTCTACGTAGTGTTATCTGAAATATCCAGGTTAGAATTTTGAAAAATTTTTTTCTCGAAAACTAGGTTCGACCGCACAAAAAAACTGCAGATTCGTGTTCAGCACCATCGAAAATAGGGGGGTAGACAAAATTTTGTGAAAATTGGAGGTGGTGCCACTAAAGTAAATAATTACCGATATGTTGATTGTAAGCACATACTAAGTATGCGATTGTAAGTATGTTGGGCACAGTATGATTGACAATAACAACCTAATTAAACTGAAATTGAACAAACGTCAAAAGTCAAAGTTTAAAATGGAGTAGATGTAGTAGATAGATAGTGGTAGTTGAAAAACATTGAAGATCAATTTATACTTTACCTGTGAATAAAGACGTCAAATTTTTTTATTTTTAGCTCATACTCTGCTGATTACGGCAACGTAACTTTTTTTTAAGCATTTATTTTTCATACTTACCTGGGCATGTATTTTTCCTATAATTTAATTATAATTTGAAAAATTCTTCAGATTCTTCTGTACTTTTTTTCATAATTTTTATATTTCAAACGTATGTATTCCTGTGTTTGAAGATGTCAGAATTGATTTTGTAGCTAAACAGAATGGGCTTCATTTTACTTGTACAACTTTGTATTTGGAAATATTTAAACGCGAATTAATTCACGCTAAACTACTACCTGAAGATGTACTTCATCCTTCAAAAACAAAAGAAAGATCTTGCCTGGCAGCACAGATTAATTTATGATAATTAACAAGCTCGAATGTCATTGACAGAAATAGAAAATAGGAGGGGACCCGAATTAGAGCCCTGAGGTACTCTAGAAGTCACGAAACTATTAAAATAATCCAAAAAAAAATTCCTAGGCTTTGCAACAAATCACCTCTAAAGAAGCCCACTTAGTGCTGTCTCCGTTTCACTTAGTTCTGTACATGTACTATAATACACCCTGTACACATAATATAATAAGGGACATTGCAAAATTTCACAAGTGTCCGATCAAATCTGCACTCTATATTAAAAAAGCGATGAGCTTGTTAGAGCAGGAACAGGCCAAGGTATAATCCACAAAGACGAGAACAACCCGGTGTTATTCTTCAATATAATAAAGAACACTTTATTTTCTTCTATTATATCATAGTTTTATATCTCCAATTATCTATATAAAATTAGAAAATAATACACATGAAAAATATAATACTTTCAAAACAAAGTATCTCACACATAATACAAGATAATAATGTAAACATTAATAAATTAAATTATTCATATAACTACAAAGTCTTGTGTAAATTTAATGTATCCTTCAACAACTGGTTACGTAGCGTCCAAAGGGCTGCTACGACATTATCGTGTTGGTCGGCTTTACGACCAAGCCAAGTTGTAACGTTCTGTAATTTTTCCAAGTCCGGAATCGGTGTATTTTCCTGGGTGGCCTGTAAAGTTTTCTCCCATGGGGTAATGTGCTTGGATTCCCCTTGTAATCCTTCAATATATCTGAACGACAAGAGAAATACTTATTTTTGATTTTCACAAAAAAAATTAAGGCCATTTTTATATACACAGTGGCATAAAAGTATGGGAACCCCAAAAAATCTCGCGAGACATGCATTTTCCGGAAAAACCAAATATAGGGAGTTACGATTTTTCCTGGCTATTCCATGCCATGACCACTGATCACTTGGTCATTATGAAGTTGAAACGATTTTTTTTTAAACGGAAACCCTCCTTTTTGACCCCAGAAATGGAAATAGCGGACAATTTTAGGTTCAGATGACCTTGAAAATTTCAAAATGGTGGCAAAATCAAGATGGCGGACGAAATTTTTGAAAGTTAACCGATTGCCACCAAATTTTGTATACGGAGGTTTTCGAGGTCACTGATCACGAATCCGTCAGATTGTCAAAATTCAATTCAAATGGCAGATCCAAGATGGTGAATGGGGTTTTTTAAATTTAATTAATGGGGACCAAATTTGATATACGGGGGTTTTGGGGGTCACTGACCCCAAATTCGTGATCAGCAACCCCAAAAACGGCCGTATACCATCTTCGATGCAAATCGACCGAGTATCAAAAAACTCGTCTGCCATCTTGAATTTTGCAAATTTGACCTCGGATTCGTGATCAGCGACCCCAAAAACCCCCGTATACGTTTGGTGCAAATCGGTTGATTTTCGAAAAATTCATCCGCCATATAGGATCTGCCATCTTGATTTTTTAAATCCGACCTCGGAATCGTGATCAGCGACCTCGAAAACCTCCGTATACAAAATTAAAAAAAGCTTTTAATTAAATAACCAGTAAATAATTTTGATTGATATTAATATATTTGCACAGTATATAAATAATAGACGCCAAGTATAATACATAAACGCACAGTAGTCCTAATTTGTATGATAAATCAGTTTTGTAGTAATAAAATGTATACAATTATGTTAAATACACTCACCTGATATATGCTTCTGAATGTAGGACACGTTGTGGTCGAGGAGGAACTGATATAAACATCGGTTCTTGAATTTTTTGTCCATTTACAGACAGCACATTGGAAGATGATGTCGGAGCTATCGAGAAATTATTTTATCAAAAATAATTACATCTCATATTACTTTTGTTCCAATTATTACTAAGATTCGAGAGTAAATCGTATATTTCTTATTTGTACTTTGTTTTCACCACGAAACTGCATATATTTTAAATAGACTCTTGATATTTACGTAAACGTTAAAAGGTCGCTTACCATTTATTTTTGCCAACAGGCGCTAAAATTTAACTATTAAACATCAAGACAGTTATTTTTTTTTACTACTGTAAGTTTGGTAAAATGTTTAAATGTTCTTATTTTGGTTTAAGTTTTCTGTGTCCAGGGTCGGATCCTGATATTCGTGTCATGTATAATTTACTGTCGGACCTTAGTTGTTGTTATTGTGCGTAAGTTGGGGTATATGAACAAATTACAATCAATTACAGTTAAATAGCTGATAGCGGCATTACTATTTCCATATAACAGATAATAACAAACATAAAAAGTTACTTTATAATTTCTATAATGGTGAGAAAAGTATATAAAAATGGTTAAAAACTATTTGAAAAAAAAAATACAATTATTATTTTTATGGTTAAGTTGTTTATTGATATTGTGTTCTTCCTTAATTTTAACTTTATTTATACTATTTTTAAAATGCAGTGAATTTCACATCTGCCGATATTCAGTTTTTCATCAGGAAAAGAAATAACTTGAATTTTTTAAATTTAGATTCGAAGAGAAGAAAAATCTCAACACGCAGCGGCTAACTTTGGTGTTATTCATCAGATTGATAATATTTCTTAAATGGAAATATAATTACAGGGTGTCTCGACATAAACCTTATTAAATATGCCATGCATTAATGTTAAAATAAAAAAGTTTATACAGTGAGTTCCAGTTTTATGTCAAATTGAAAGAGAATTTGGTTTTAAGAAAAAAATTCTATGAAAGGGTATGGATGGATATGGGTGATCAAATAGGCACTTGATTAACTTGATCTTTATAATAAAACTAAAATAAATTCAATAGAATCGAGTTGATTGATAAAAAAATTAAATAACGAAAACATATACAGTGAAAATTGGTTATAACGACCTTCAAGGGACCGTTTGTTTACGGTTGTTATAACCGATAGACGTAATAAGCAATTACATATATTTTATTTAAAATTTTTAAAGAAAAAATGATAAATTTACAGTACAAGTCTTTAAGTGTGTACATGTATTGCTTTGTGTTCAAAAAATCTGCCGCGCTTCATTTTCAATGAATTGTTTACGAATAGAGACTACTTTATTTCTATCCTTCCAAATTGCTGAAATTGTAGTGTGACACGCCACATTCTTTTTCTTACTTGCATTAGTTTCTCCATTTTTTAATCTCTATATTATATGTAATTTTTCCAAGGTTGGCATGATATATATCAATGATATATATCCGATATATATCATTGATATCTATCACGATATTTATTCCTTGATATATATCATGATATTTACAAAAATTTAAATAATGCATCCTACTGGTTAAAAGTTGCTAAAACTGTTAACAGATGGCAGCAAAACCGTATGCTAATCGTTGATGAACATGTTTATTTATCTGATTCCCTGAATTTTTAACAAAGTAAAATTGATTTGTTTTAATATTTATGAAGTTTATGTTGACTTGGTGTAAATTGGTTAGTTTTCATAGTACTTAATATTCACGCAAATATTTTTTATTAATCAGAATTATATTTATTTTTTTCGTTCTTGTTTTTGACATTTGGAATAAAAATATTTACCTAAATAGTTTCTTAATTTTAATTTGCTACTATAATATACATAAAAAAAAAACACCACAGAAATGAGAACCCCCAAATCCAAAAGCCAAAGGCTTGTGCGGAAGGGGGCTACACTTGAAAAAACGCGGACAAACACCCATTATCCATCGACATTGCCAGTGCCGACACCGGGGATCGAACCCGGACCAGAGTAGGAAGCCTAGCCGAGAAATGCTTGCCACCGCACTCTCAACCGACTGCGCTACCGTGGCGATCAATGACAATGACATAAACTAATTCATTAAAAAAACTAATTCATTCAACTAATTAAACTAATTCATTAAAAAAATAAATAAATATCAAGACTTGATATATATCGGATATATATCAAGATATATATCCGATATTTGATATTTATATAAATATCGTGATATTTGCCAACCTTGAATTTTTCTTCTTCATTGAACACTTTTCTCTTCGACATCGTGATAGAAAGCGGTAATTAATTCATATAGTATAACTCTCTGCGTAGATAAGTCTTAAATTGTCCCAAACGTACTAGACCATATATCACTACTGGTCATTATAACCGCCAGATTATATGGTAAATGTATATAAAAACGCGTCGCTAAATCCGAAATGTTGTAAATGGTGTCGTAATAAACCATATTTTTAATACGGTATTTCTATAGGGTAAAACCGGGATTTCCAAATTCCGTCGTTATATCCAATATGTCGTTGTAACCAATTTTCACTGTATTCCAAAATTAAAAAAAATAAAATTACAGTAATTTTTTACCTGAGATAATTGTAGTAGTTGAATTAAACGTATTACTAGCTGCTGATCCAAGGGAAAAAAACAAATATTTTAAACAGACAAACTTACGACATGTAACAATGGAACTTTAAATATTGTCAAACATTTAAAAATTTTCTATTTTTCAGTCAATTTACACATTACAATTAATTTTTGACATCGGAATTACAAGCAGTTTTGAGGAAATTCAAGTATTACAAAAAAAAATTGATGTCCCGGATAATCTTATCTGACCATGACCATTTCCAAATAAATTCAGCATCATTTAAAACAACAGTATGTAAAATTTCACAAATTGTAATGTAATGTAATAGTCTACAGTTGTGAAAATTTATTTTGTTTTTATATAAAAATACATCTTTTTTTTTATTTCATATGAATATTTTTTAATGAACGGCCCCTCAAAAAATAACCATTATGGTTCAAATTTGGAGAGTACCAAAGCAACTATATATATCAACGGGCAACTGCGTAAACCTTAAAACAGTCTTTCAAAATTTACATATTTTATATCGGAAAATCAGTCTTTTTATTTTCACTGGACGAATAAGGTACATTAATAAAAAACAAGCTATTCATGCTCTACTAGGTGCAACAATCACACACACACAAAAAAAACAAGTGCAAATAGTAACATATACATAATTTGGAATTTGTTTCGTTTGAAAACTTTACACTACAATTTTTTGTGTTCTTTAGAGGAAAATGAAAGGAGTAACATTTTGAAATTTTAAATACCACATAACTTTGTAAATCCATTCCTAGGAGCAACGCATCACTTGCAATTGTAAGTAAACATCTTGCATCATCAAGAATGTAAAATTTTCAATAGAAGAAAAAATTTAAAAAAGGATGAAATTTAATAAATAATCGCATAATTACTGAGTAACATGTTGTGAACTGATTTTAAACTATTTATTTTTAAAATTTTACCATTGTGGGCGTAAAAGTATGGATCCACTGTTAAAAGCTAAATTAAAAAATAACAGAATCAAACAAAAAGAGTGAGTTAAAAATGAGTCGATGAACAAAAAAGTTAAGTAGAACACACTGTATAAGTCTTTCGATTTAAAAATATTTCAAAATTACCCGTGTAGAAAAAAGCGTCAGGTTTAAATAAGTGAAAATCTAACGACATTTTGTCTTTTGAAACCGTCTTCTACTAAACAAAGTATTCACTAAAATTAATATTGAATTCATAGCAATTAACACATATATCATTTTATGACTTTTAAAGGGCCCGAGAAAGAAATTAAATCAAAATATGAAGGTTCGTAAATAGAAGTTTCTTTATAAGTTCTCCTCAGTGGAAAAATATTAGATCAGGGCAAAACTTTTAAAATACATCAAAAAAAAAATTAATCCGAAGTTTTTTAATAATTCTTATAAAAAGCAACCAAATATTTCTCATTTTACACAAAACACTACAATAGATAGACCGTCATAACTTCAACACCGTCGATAAACATCTACTGAGCATGTGCAATGACATGCAAAAATCAACTTTAATAACAGCTTTGGAGAAAAATTATACAGGATTCTAGAACAGGTATCCTGAAATCAGTTTTTCTCTAATATTTTCAAAACAAAGCCATTTAAGCCTTACGTCTATTAAAAAAACAATTATTTCTTAAATTTCCTATCACCCTATACACTAATGCAAGAAGTTAAAGGGTCAAAAGAATTTCCGAAATTTTTCCGTGATTTTTGAGACTGTATTTAGGTGAAAAAATGATCATATCGGAAAATTTTGCAAATTTTTTTTTCTAAGTCCACGGACTTGGAAAATTTTTTTCAGCTACGCCACTGCATGGATCAGACAGTTTGTTTATTCAGCTTCAATATCCTTTTTTTTTTTATTTCGATACTACTTTTTCATCAAAATAATGGACTTTTAATGGAAAAGGATCCTTTTGTCTTCAATCATCGATATCTCGGAGATAAATGGTGGTGCAGAGAATTGAAATTTTTTTTCAAAGAAAAAGGATAGTTTTGAAGAAAACTGTTTTTTTTAAATGACTGCACAAAAATTAATTAGAAATGTCTCAAAAAATGACATGAATCAGGGTCGAAATCTGGTTTGGGTCATCAACTTTAATTTTAATTTAATTAAAAGTTAATGAACAGAAGCATAGGACGGAAAAGCCAAATCGTGCTGGAAAGAGTTGGGTTTTCCAAAAACGCAAAAAAAAAAATTCAAACATTTTTTAGAAAATTTTCCATATTTTTTTTCCATCAATTTAAATGTTATTTGCGGTAAAAATGTGAGAAAACCTCAAAAAAACATTTTTCCCATTTTAATCATGATTATGAAGCGTTTAAGCTCAAAAAATGTGACCCTTTAATTTTTTTCAAAAGTTTCACTGTTTGCAACAAAGAAACAGTTCGCTAGATCGAGATGAAACTTCACAGGGTTCTTCTGGATATATCGAACTGTAAAAGTCATGCTTAACATTACTCACTTCGTGAATATTTTTAATTTAGCCGTCAATTTTCTAAAAAAACCATAAATTATCCTTTTTTTTCCTGTTTTTTTATAATTCGTGTAAGATAAAAAAAAAAATTTCCGAAAAGTTGCGGCAGCATGTTATAGGAAATAGAACTATTTTGAAAACATTAAAAAAATTATATTCACCACTATTTTCTTAAAGTAGCAACGGAGACGCTCGTATATCAAGATAATTTACTTAATTAAAATAAGGATGTTGATTGCCATTTTAGTGAGAAGAACAAATCAAGAAATCTCCATTTCTAAATTTTCATATTTAATTTCCTGTTTCTAGTTATGTAACAAATATCGTGTTGAGACACCCCTGTACGTGTTTAAGAACCACCGTTTTGTTTTTAGAGGCGTAAGAAGAAATCTACATTAAGTAACTTAACGGAACCTAAAATTAAAATAAAAAAAAAACTCACTGGGATTGGGCATAGCAGGAGTCGCGCGATTAATGGCTTGCATCTTACTGGAAGGCTTGAAGTTCCTACCACAACACCATAATGATACTTATATGCATTACACTACTTTTACATTTACAAAACACAAACGGATACATTTATTTACACAACTATTTAACCCATACCCCTTTATCGCAAGTAATTAAAATGGTATCGTTGACTAAGTTTCAAACTTTCATAACCAAACTATAGATTTTGTTTCTCTTGTGATTTTGATACATTTGACAAAGAACACCCTGGTCAACCGAAAAAGTTCGAAGATGAGGAATTGGAAGCATTTGTGCACCAAAATTCATGTCAAATGCAAGACTAAATGCACTCGGTGTGATTCAAAAGCAAGGAAATTGGGTACCACAAGAATTGAAGCCGAGAAATGTTGAACGGCAATTTCTCGTGTGAAAGATGGGAAAATCTTGTAGTTGCTAGGGATGGACAATACTTTGAAAAATAATAACGTACACAATTCTTCACAATAAAGCTTTGAATTTACAAAAAATCCCTCAAAATTAATTCAGTCCTCGTAATTAAATTTACTGAATTCAACCTTTTTTACGTAATGTTGTCATTTACGTTGTTTTCTTGCAAATATAATTATTTTATGATGATTTAATTTTAGAGAAACTTCTAGCAGAATGCATTTGTACAATTCAATGTTTAAGTTTAGAATTAAAATTTTCACTTGCGAGTTATCTTTAAAATAAAAAAATATGTTAAATTGCTCTCATTATCGTATTCATCATCATCAAATTTCAAATGCAAAGTACATCGAGGACATATTTTTCGAAAAATTTATCGTTACCAGATATTGAACTTTGTCAAAAATACTCTTGATTTACAAAAATTTTGATCAAAGCATAAAATATTTCAATTTGGACAATACCAAAAGGTCGTCGACTGTGTATGGTTTAAAAATAGTTGTATATATAAAAATATTACATACTGTATTATGGAAAATAAAATATATATGCATCCAACAAAATGATATAATCCAAGGACCATTTGGGAAGAATTCTGCCTAAATGCTATCAATAAAAAGATAATAAAAAAATACATATGCAAGCACATGCAAATTCTTTTAAAATTATTGACGAACCAGCTATAATCTCGGCAGCAGTCGAAACGGCGGGTTGTAAAACGGGCATCACTCGGTTCCCGATAAAGTTCCTGTTTGAAAATGTAATCAAGTGTACCAATGGATTAAAAAAAAATGTTTACTCAATATAAAATAATTGAAATTTACCAATAACGGTACAAATTCCTTGATATTAACCCTTAGAGCATATACTCCTGGAGGCAGCATCCCGGTGGCCGAGAGTGGAGAATTAGAGAGAGAGGGGGGTATAGGAGAGTATATGCTATCTCTCTCTAGCAGCACGCAATTGGCTGCCGTCCTCTCCCTCTGTCAACGACAGAAGCAGCTGTTAACGGCTGAATCGCATGCTGCTAGAGAGATAGCATATACCCTCCTATACCTCTCTTTCTCTCCCCCTCCCTCACTCTCTCTTTCTCTCTCCCCCCTCCCCTCTCTCCCCCTCCCCCTCCTCTCTCTCCCTCCCTCCCCCTCACTCACACTTTCTCTCTACATCCTCCGTACACTCACGGCCACTGGGGCGCTGCCTCCAGTAGTATATGCTCTAAGTATTACATAACCTAGCAAATTTTTGTTAGCCTATTTAGTGGGCACCGTCGCTTAAGATATCGCTGGACTTGGTTGAAGAAGCCGAATGTAGGGTCTCCTTAGACAGTAAAGAAACGGCAGAAATATATTAAATTATCTGTACCAAGGGAACGGATGGGATACTATACATATATCGAAGGTTGTTTGAGGTGGGATAATTTTCCTTTTTAAATGGGGTCCTCAATTTTTGTTTAGTCAAAGATCGACAACGTCAAAATGAATTTCGTACAAAGAGCTATTTGTACGCCTATTTCGATTTGTCTTTAGATAGTTTTATAACAAAAAAGCTTAGTTTACCGATTTTTGAAAAATTTTTATTGTTTACTGATTTTTTTTTTTGAAAAATTTTAGTTTTCCTGACCAAGTACCACAAGCAGGATAGAAAAAAATTCAATCAAAATGGCAAAACATTAAAAAATATAATATTGAGGTTATGCAACCTCCTTAATATCGAGTTTTGAAAACTAAGAACTTGTACCAATATTTTTATAACTATAATCTTGCAAATATTTTAATTTTGTATTACCCTGTATATAAAATAAATAATAAAACACTTACATATTTTTAAGTGCTTTCAAAAAACTATTTTTAAGGCATAAAACGATTGATAAACTTACTTGCTTCGATTCTCCGGTGCTATGGACCGTCCATTCCCCTTGTTGATGTGCATATCACGAACGTGTCTAATGAGCCTGGCCAAATTAGGAAATGGCTGTAGATTTTTCTTATTTCTGCCGCAGTTGCGCCAATGGCAATTCAGGTCGGCGCCCTGATTCTCCTGGAAATACGCCTGGACGTGTCCCTGCGATTCCTTATCCTTGATACAGTGTTCTACTAGATCGACCTGCTCCTCGAACTGATAGTCGCAGTTATCCCACAAGCATTCAAACACCTGGAAAGAAGATACAGTTTCGAATCGGCAGAATACGTCGACCCTAAACATGTTTCTTACTTGATCGACAGGCGTTGGTGCGGGACTGGAGCATTGCTCGTCCAACAGAAGCAGAGCCTTGGTTTCCTCATTTATTTTCGAAGCCTTTTCCTCCCATTGCTGTTTCTCGTTTGAGGGTAGAGATTTCCATTCGCTACCTACGATTCTGCTTATGCCTCCAAAGTCGGATTCCGGGTTATTTTGAACAATCTGTTTGCGAACCTCTCTCGAGTATAGAATATACCCAGTCACTACTTTGTTCTTGCTAGATTTCTGTCAAAATTCAATTACATGTGAATAACACTGTCTCCAAGGTCCATAACTGAACTTGTGTCTATTTCAATTGTTCTTTATTTTATACTTCTGTCAACGCAATTATATCGGATACAATGTTTAAAAAATATGGAAATAGTGCACCAAATGTTAACAAAATAAAACTGTAAATAAAATTCTACACAAATTGTTAATATGTAAATGTTTCGATTTATTTACATCGTTAATTCTGTTCCGACTCAACATGTTACAGTTGGCAGTGCCAACAGTGGACAATAATAGTGACTATTCAACATATGTATAAATCTAGTCTTCACATTAAACAAAAACAATGTTAAGGTGGTAAGCAAAGCAATCAACTTAAAAATTATATTTTTATGTAATTTGTCAATAACATGGCTTTTTTTTTCAAAATTTGTTTCCAATATGCTCATAAAAATTCTGGTATTGCTAGAATAATTTAAAAAACTGCAACAGTTATAATTTGTGTAATTCATAGATAAACCCAGCACAAATTTTGAACCTTTTAGCAACTAACAATTAAACAAGATGTAACAAGACTAATTTTTAGTTAGGCAAAACTATTTTCATAAAAATAACTATGGACTGATTCCTTTGGTATAATTTTTTAAATTTATTTTTCTTTTCACGTTATTTAAAGTTTAATTTGATGTTAATATTCCTTTTTTCAAACTTCACAATTTTAAGAAAAATTAAATTTTGTGAAAAATAAGGGTATTTGTATCTATCAGTTGATTGTGGAAAAAAAATTATTAAACGTACAACCCATTTCAATATGCTACGTCACTAGAGTAACTTCTAGTTTTCAAATGTTGGTGTTCTAAACATTTACAAATTTTGTATTTAAAACCCGTTAACAATACTCATGGAATTTTGCAACACCAAATACACAAAAAATAAATATCACACAATATTCGTAAGAATCGCAACATGCTTTACCTTTTTTGTAGTGGCTGGAGTAACGGGTGTTCCGACGTTAGAACCACTTGCTGGCACAACAATAGGAATCTCTCCCGAGCCAACTGAAGGAGGACCTCCATCCAACGAGTCTTCCATTAATATGTCCATGTCATTCATTTTTGTTAACTGAGGAGAAGGCTCCTATAAAGGCAATAATTATACTAAGGACATATGATTATTAATAAAATGATTAATCATATGTTTATGTTTGTAATGAATATTCCCATGTTTTTGACTGTGGCCACATTTTTTTCCATTGTGAACATTTTATCTGAAGTTGCCTTTCGTAACAATAGATACACCAAATTCTCAGTAAAATATCTTTTAATTAAAACATACCTCATATGTATGGCGTGCAATTATCTTGGTTAAATTTTAGTGGCAGATTCTGTGATGAATTAATAAAAAAAAAGATAACAAACATGTTAAAAAAAATTGTTTTTTTGATCAATTTGTTTGTGAATTTAAAAAAAACATTTTATTCAAATTTGATATGAAGCTTTATTAGTTGATTCTTGTCATTGAGGTGTCATAAATTTTGTTATAGGCTATTTCAAATTTTATTCATGACATTATAACATTACATAAAATTATAGTACTCTTCTTACGAGTCCTTAGGATACACTTTATTGACAGAAATAACAAAATATCATAAAATATCCCCTACAAATATAATTTAAAAGGAGGCCCAAGAAAGTACAAAACATGTAAAGAATTGCTGTGTTTACAATTCCATTTTTTCCAAAATCAAACATTATATACCCCTACAAAGCAGCAAGATGTCAGATATGACTAACTGGTTATGTTAAGTATTTTATTACTTAGGTACTTTCTTTTATCTTGATGACACAGTCTTCTACATATTTACGTTTTTTATTTCTATCTGTTGGATGGTAATGTTTTAATACTTAATAGCTTTGTAATATAAATTAAAATAAAAAAAACCCATAAACACAGCTGGCTGGCTTGCTATTCAAAACAATTTTATGATGACACATCACTGGTAGGCAAAAGGTACAATAACTGCATTGTTACCTTAAATTTAATCTTTAATTTTTTTTTTATATTGTAAACCTTTTGTTGTTTGTTTTAAACTGATATTATTTTAATACTTCCAATAACATAATTCATACATAAGATGTTATATTCCTCTATCTATATATCTCAACAATTAGGTATTCATAAAATAATTCAAATTTATTAAATGAATTATAATTTCATGGTTAACATGTATGCCATTTAAAATAAACTAAACTTTTTTTATTCATTTTCAACATTCTGTTTCTGTCAAGTATTTTACATACATCCTGTATAGGAAAATAGTGACTACTGGCTAAAATTTTGAATAATTTTGACCGTCAATTTAATCGAAATCAATTCCTAAATATTTTTATACAAAATAATGTAAAAATTATCAACGTTTACATTATTCTTTAATATTTATTAGTCCAATAAAACAACATTAAAAAATTTAAGATATCCAAAATTTCTTTTACTTAAAATGTTTATTTTATTAGTCCCATTAAATATTAGTCAATTTAAATATGTCAAAAATGCAGTGATATTATTTTAACGTTAAGTTATACTCATTTCAATATGTCTTCAATGTGCTGTCAACATAAAAAGAGGTAAGTATTTGTGAAAGATTAAATTTAACAAATTCCTATTTACAAATCAATACAACTAAATATTGAAAAATAAATTTTTTGTTTAAACCGAAAAAGTAAAATTCGAAAATGTGAATTTAAAATATTCATTTCTAAATTTCAATCATGTCCAATCTGAAACATCAGAATAAAATCTAATTTTACTTTTTTTTTATCAACATTACCATCACCACCTCAATGTAAAATGGGAAATGTGTTTTTATGATTGGAACCAAACAATGCTAAAACATGTCTAAATTTTGCAGAACGCTTTTATTAAAGCTAAATTTTATCACAAGGTTTATAAAGGTGACCGAAAAAATGATAGTAAACATCTGATATGTCCTCTAAATTTATAAATGTAATCACCATAAATATGTAAAAAATACAGATTTTGTAGTTTATAAGTAATACTGGTTTGTTAAATTTTACTAATAAATGAATTCACTTGTATAAAAAAGAAAATAGATTGCAATTAATAGAATGTTATTTTTATATTCATGCGAACTCTCATTTTAGGTCATTACATAGATAAGACGAAAATAATTTTACGTTTGCTGGAAAAGGAGCACTCTCCATTGTATTATCCTGTTGATTTCTTCAAACTGTATTCACATTCTACTCTTATTTAAACAATAAGATTAAAAGAATCAGAAAATTATTATTAAATATTTCGGAAACACTATACCACACGCTAGTCCACAAACCAACCAATTTATGACAGAAGTTGAGGTTAATCTCGCTACCAGACACGACGAACGGCGTTACGCGGTAAATTTAAAATTACTAGAAAAGAAAATGGGGTGAATTTGTACAAACGGTTAAAGAAACTTTGTGTGGTTAATGAAATTTTACATTATTTCAAAACGGATTTACACTTCTTGAATTTATAAAAACTAGATTTGAATATACAGGACGTGAAAAAAATAGTGTAACAAATATTTGAAAATACTGTGAAAATTAAAGAAAAAGCTCAAAGGTTTCATTAAAAGTCTGATAAGTCGTAAAAAATCATTTAATCAATTTACCTAGTCGTGGTCATATCATTAAAATTCTAAAAAACTAAAAAACAAGAACAGAAGTGCCTCGGTTCGAATATTGGGTGATCAAGCAAAGAAGTGTAAGTGTAATTATAACATGGATGATGGAAGTTTATAAAAATGTCCTGGAAATAATCATCGAAACATATATCCCCAAAAATATTTTACTATAATATAGCATGTTGATGCAACAGAAATTATGCAATAAATAATACTGCAGAAGAAACTGCAGATTTTAACTAGGTATTACTTTATTTACAAAACTACATATTGACCATAAAATAATTTTAAAGCAATAACTTGCACATTGACTAGTTCGAAATTGTTAAATTTTCACTGAATGATTTAGTTGGTATTGTTTGGAAATCAAATAATAAAGTGGATAAAAATGACAGACAAAGTTCAAGAATGATTTACAAAACCGTTTGTTATCGATCCAATATTACGGACATATTTAAAAACTGGGATTACAGCCTATAAATTTTGAGAAAAATAAAAAAATACTAGTGAGGTATGACCTAAAATACTCCTTGCAGTAAAAAAAAATATTATGTAATGAAAACCATTTTTAATTTGGAAAAAGACGCAGAAGATATATCAGAATTTGTTAAATATCGATATTAGCAATTAGTTCACATTCCTTTACCTTTAAACTTTAAATAATGTCAAATATATTTTCTATAATCAATCAATATATACCTGTTTTTTGTGTAATAAATACCTGCTGCTGATACGTAGAAAAGTTGCCCAACCAAATATCCCACAACCTAATACAGAGTAGAATAAAACATAAGACTGCTTTTTGGTTGATAGTCTGTAAAGTTTTATGTAGGTTTTATAATACTTACTGTCTTAGGTGATTTGATACATGATTGATGTGATATGTGTATAACAAGTTTTACGTTTAATATCTATTTCTGCAGAATGTTTACGGCAGAAAATACAGCTTTATTGGCATCCTCTTTAAATTCAGTCCGTTAGAACCAAATCAGATCAACTACCTATACACTGTGTTTGCAAATATTTTATAAGTCATCTGTACTTTGTTACTTCTACTTATTTCAAATAAATGAACATCACATAATATCAAAGTAAACCGACTTGTCTTTTTTTATGGAGGACCCTATATATTTTTGTATAGTTGGATAAAACATTTTTTTTAATACAGTATAAAGATCGATTCATTTATTATTATTAACAACAATTAACAGGTGTAGGTGAATAAATGATAGTGAACAGCTGACTATTAAGTATTTTCATAAATACAGGCACAAATCATTCACTTAACGAAGAAAGAGTAGTGGATCTGAGATTGACCCTTGTGGATCTCTTTTCCGAAGAATCAGCATTTTACTGCAGTTGCTTTCATAAGGAACAAATTGTTTTCTATTTTTAGATGGGTCGCTAACATAACAATTAATTGTACAATTTGTGGTTGATACAATTTTCTACACAACTGACCAACTTACCCAAAACATCCCAGTTTTGTTTGTTTCGTTGTTTGTTCAATACCTACCTTATCTCTAGAAGTTAAAATTTAAGTTTAATAAGAAACAGAAAAATTAATTGTTAACTGATGTGATCCTGAGAGTTCAGCAAAGATATAAAAAAGAGTAGTTGCCAAAAAGTTGGCTGGAACCCACGCAGAATCTGTCTTGAGAACAACAAGAGTATGAAAAAGATTCCTAGCTAAGGTTAAGGAAGCGCATTGTAAGTTTGTAACTGGAGGCGACCAGATACTTAGGTCATGGCCAGTGGCGACCTTAAACATTGCGAGGCTCTAGGCAGCAGATCTTTGCGAAATGTACGTAAATTTGAATGTAGATATTTCTGCTGATTTAAGAAAAACCCAAAAGTGATAAATTTTGAGTTTTCAAATATTATATTAAGAGATTTTAAAAGTTAACAAATACAAAGACGACACATTTTTAATAATGATAAAATAATGTACAAGATTCAAACATATTTTTCAATTATGTTTTACAGTCAAATTACAAAAAATATTATCCACTGACAAATTATTTGATTTTGATATCGATCATTAAATAAATCTAAATGAGAAATTTTATTTAGACAACTATTACTACTTATTAGTCATGTCTGACATCTTGCTGCTTTGTTGTGCGAGGCCCCTGCAAGAGCAAGATCCCCAAGCGATTGCCCTGCTTGACACCCCCTAAGGCCGCCACTGGCCATAGAAAAAATATCTTATCTCGTTGACATTTTTTTCCCGGGTCTATAAGTTTAATAAGTATGTACCTATAAATCTACCTGGATCGATAAATATTTTAATAATGACTAACTATTAAAATTATTAGCAACCGGAATAGCTGCTATGTAAATTCGGAAATTATTTAATAAAAATTTTAAATGTCAAGTTTTCTTAATTTTTAAACAGGAGTAGTTAAAAAATTGTAAAAGAAAACCCCATCCTGTATGAAGAAAATCATTATGACAAGAGTTAAATAAATATAAATATCGCATATTCAAATGTTTTCCCAAAAAAATTTACCGAATTTTCTATCGCAATTATACATTTCGTTATGAACATACTGCATGTTGAACAAACAGTAATTTTAGTTGCACCATTTCCTCTGATAATTTTTAATAGTTTACTTAAAGGTTTTTTTTATCCCATTTCTTCATATACAATTTGAACATATAGTTACCTTGATCAGGCCCCAAAAATAATTTTGTAATATTGAACAATATATTTTCAGGGTAAACTAAATATACAGCGACAGGAAAAAAATATACATCAAACAGGAAAAATTTTATTATTATATTTTGGAAAATGTCCTTATTGACAGTCAGAGCGCTTATTATTTGAAGTAGTATTACAACTACTTATTTCGGTCTAACTAATGACTGAAAAGCTAAACTAGCTTAATTTAAAAATATATATAATTCATTATTTACTTTTTCCAATTCCAATTTGGTATGTGGCTATAATTTTATTTTCTAAAAGTAGCATTTGTGATATCTTTTTATATAAGGTAACTTGTTTTTCTTTTAATTTATTAAAAAATTCTAAACGGTAATATTTGATTTTTTTTTTAAGTTTTCTAACTAGACAGACTTTCGTTGAATAAACATTTATCGAATCTCAATAATAAAAAATTTCCTTTTATGGCATGTACCTTTTATTTACCAGTAATTACTTTTTTTAAATAGAATGACCACCTTTATATTATACTTAAATTCAACCTATTTTTTTGAAGTAGGTCAGTGCTTGTTCGACTAAGAAAAGAGTGACTGCAAAAAACCTGTGATTTTCGCCCGTTTTTTCACAATTTGCAGAGAATTAAAAAAAATACATAAAAATATGTTTTTGGTCGCAAATTACTTGTCGTAAAAAACTGAAATTAGCATGGCTTTTAGTATTTTGAAAATTTAAAAAATCACCCCTACTTAGGGGTTGAAAAAATGCCAAAAATGAAAAATTTGAATATTACCCATTGATATAAAAACTATTATACTCCGCGGTCGAAATTATAGAGAGTGACTAAGACATAATATAAATACACTATTACTAAAATGCGCATAAAATATAAAATGATTTTTATAACGGTCCAATATTATTTATCTTTGTGCCGCTCGCTACGCACATCGATAGAATCTATAATCGTCTATAGACTGAGTTACACTGAACGTCGATCTATATTCTATCTCTGTCTTTTGCACTTGGTAGGGAATAGGAAAATTATTTTTTAGTGGGTGTAAACGGACTTGATTTAGCCGTCCTGAGAAACGTCATAGCATAAGCGTAGACGAGGGGTCTAATTCCATTGCTATAATAAATTTATAAATTAAAAAAACACAACTTGGACGTTTTAAAATGCTGTAATAATTAAAATGGATCAAAGTGCCGGTTATAGCAAACCGTAAAAAAATATTAGATGTTATGTTTTATTATCTTTTTTCAATATTTTCTATATCTTGTTGCCTTTTACGCAGACACATCAATGGATTTTCGTTCCCGGCACGCTTCATCCCCCTTACTAGTCCAAAAGCTAGCGATGAGTCACTCTTTATAATTTCGACCGCGGAGTATAGTATGTGAATTATCGTTATATATTTTTTTTTAATTTTTACAATTAATTCTGATATTCTCTATTTTTGGGGATGATTCCACCCCCTGAGCGCGCTTAAGGGTAGATTTTCTAATTCAACATGGTTATTTCAGTCATAAGAATAAATCTTTCCTTATATCAAGAATCATTCGATAGAAAAATTCACATGCTAATAGTTTTTACATTTATTGGTAATAACCAAATCATTTTGGGTGTCTTTTCAACTCGTAAATAGGGGTGATTTTTGAAAATTTTCAAAAAACTAAAATGCTCATCTTAATTTTTTACGAGTAATTTGAGAGCAAAAACATATTTTTAACTATTTTCTTTAGTTCTCGCGAATTGTGAAAAAACGGGCGATTTTTGCGGTCACTCTTTATTTAGCCTTCTATCACCTGCTCAGAAAAAAACAATACCTATTGAATATTCTCTGACATCTGAGAAAACAAATACAGGGCTTTTATAAAATAATGATTACAAGCCATGTGACTGCCGAATTTAGTCAACCCAACTGTTAACAAAAAATCCATAAATCTTAGCGTCATCAATGATAATGATTTGTTGACAATGAACAATGTTGCGCCTAATCTAAGATAATGCGGTTGCTGATTGGTTGAATAAAATTTCGCGGAAAATTACACCCACCATCAGCCGGTGAAACAGAAAATTGCTTGCGTCTTAATGTAATCTTATTGTTTGACTAAATTTTAATTTTACCGAAGTTTAATGGACAATGTGAAGAAAATAAAATTATTGTTCCAAACAAAATTACTTGTTGCGTGACTTGTAATCATTTATAAAAGCTCTGTAACACCCAAAATCTTGAAATTGTAAATTATTCATGAATTTCTTACAGGGTAAGTTTTTTGTCACAATATTTAATTTTCTGTTAATATCTGAAAACGTGGCAAACACCACACTGAGAGAAACTTACCTGTTTACAAAGTCCAATGCATATTACAATATAGCAATTAAAATTGCATAACAAGAGACATTTTTTTGTGTAATTTTAAAACAATCTTAGCTTGAGACTTCTTACTTAGCCTCCACAGAGCCCAGCCCAAGAACAACAAAGTCACATCATAGATTCCTAGTTAAGGCTAAGGAAGCAAAAGGCAATTCTGTAACTGGTGACGACCAGGTACATAGGACACGGCATATCAACCCGAAAAACCGTTGTACTTTGAAAATAGAGGTAAGTTGGTCTAGATGTTAAAAAATTGTCAATAAAGCTACAAATTTAGCAAAATTATGTTTAGCTAGACCAGTCACCACAAAAATATCCAATTATCCGCCATAGAAATCTATTTTTCTTTTATATTAAAAAATCTTTGAAAATTTTAAATATATCGTTATTTCTGCTTTACACAGCGGCAAAATTATTTAAATGCAATTTGGTTATAACAACACCCCGAGGAACAGTGAAATTGCATTGTATCAAATAGGTGATGTTATACTCAAACTGAAAATTAAAATAGAGGAAACTAAATTAAAAGTCCAACTACTCTGTTGTTTAATGTTGGTCAATAAAAGTGGAGTTGTAAAAACCAAACTCCACCCTATTATAAAATAACTTCGACAATGAAGTTTGTGTGATTTTTTAATGTATTTTTATACCAACAAATGTATGAGATGTTCTGTTAAACTCGGTAGAATAAAAATACATAAAAACGAATATAAACATCAAACTTTGGATGGTGAGGATAAATAATTTTTTAATATTTTTTCAACACTATTTTAATCAATTTTTTTGTGAAATCAAGTTGTCCAATGGGATTATCAAAAATACTTTAATAAAAAAACAGTAATTTTTCCCTCAATTTTTCTTGTGAAAAAAAGTGCATGCAACAAATGCAAAATCATTTTAGAGAAATTATACAACTTTGATAAAGGAGCATTCAATAAAGAGTGACCACAAAAAAAGCCATTTTTCTGACTGTTTTTGAGACTTTCACAGAGGCGACAGGAAAAATCCTGAAAATATTCTAAAAATATCCAAATACTCGTCATGAAAAATGAAAATGAGCATCACTTTCAGTTTTTCGAAAATTTTCAAAAATCACCCTTATTTAGGGGTTGAAAAGACAAAAAAGTGAACAAATTAAGAATTATCAACAGTTGTAAAATCCAAAATATTGCATTGTTATCAAAATAATATTATGAACGTGAAAATATCTAATTTCGCATTTGATACAGTCTTGTCCGGATTGAAAATCAACCCATAATAGCCCTAAAGGGGTGAAATCATTCCCTGAACGCCTAAAAATGCAAAAAATATATTAAAAGTTAAAATTTTTTTTCTTTTTCTTTTATACATGATAATTGAACCGTCAATAACCCACAATAACTAAATCCGAAGGAAAATGAGGGTAAAACCACCCCTAAGTTCAACCATCGGCTTCAAAGTACATAACATAATATTATGAACGTGAAAATATCTAATTTCGTATTTGATACAGTCTTGTCCGGATTGAAAATCAACCCATAATAGCCCTAAAGGGGTGAAATCATTCCCTGAACGCCTAAAAATGCAAAAAATATATTAAAAGTTAAAATTTTTTTTCTTTTTCTTTTATACATGATAATTGAACCGTCAATAACCCACAATAACTAAATCCGAAGGAAAATGAGGGTAAAACCACCCCTAAGTTCAACCATCGGCTTCAAAGTACATAAAATAATTATAATGCATGAAAAAAATAATGTTTCGAAATACATTCATTAGAATAATTTATACACAAGTACTCCCATATATTATCAATCATTTTCAAAAATAATCATCCCTCCCAAGCGGTAAAATCATCCCCCAAATATACAAAAATTGTAAATAATGTGAAAATATATTATTTTCATAACATAGAAATATTTGTGGTTTTACAACTGATGATTATTCTTAATTTGTTCACTTTTTTTGTCTTTTCAACCCCTAAATAAGGGTGATTTTTGAAAATTTTCGAAAAACTGAGTGATGCTCATTTTTATTTTTCATGATGAGTTTTTGGATATTTTTAGAATATTTTTAGGATTTTTCCTGTCGCCTCTGTCGAAGTCTCAAAAACAGGCAGATTTTGCGGTCACTCTTTAATTAATCTTTGAATATTTTGAATATTCTTTGAATATACTTTGAATATTCATGTGAAAAAAAAATAAGAAAGTAACATTATACATACCTTCTGAGGATTAATTAACCTAGGAAAAAAGTACGTTTCATCCTCCGTAACCGTCGGACTATGAGAGTATTTTTTCAATCCCTCCAAAGGAAGTTTGGTAATTTGATGGTTTATTTCATCATACATGGATGAGCAGATGAAAACATCACATTCAGGAATTTCCGTCGGCCGGCCTATAAAAGTTCAAACAAATTATTTCTTTAATTTTTAATTTATTTGTAAATCAAAAATTAAATAAATAATTTTACTATTTTTACTTGTAATTTTACTATTCCCCTTTTGAACGTCATTTACCAAACTTAAGGAACGGTATAACGTAGGTATTTTTTTTTAAATGTACAAATTTAATACTTACTTGAAATGTATTCATTAAAGTCTAAAACAGCACACTTCCCAATAATACTGACAATCGGATTTGCATCCTCCAAACTAGACAGAAAAACCTCCTGCTTATAAAATAACTTATTTGGCGAATACGGTATTTCCGAAGGCGTTACGAACCACGGACCATGGAAGTAACACTTTCCACTATTTAGAAAAATAAAAATTAATTAAAGATGACGCATATAAACCCATAAACGTTAACTTACTCTTTTGTGTCCCAAATCGTATCAATTTGTGCTATGATTTGTTTTCCACCCTCTGCGACCACATAGACAAAATCACCAGTTTTTACAACACCAGAACAAATCGTGTTATATTGCTCGTAATATGTATTACCCTCGTCTACCTCAATATTCGTGTACACTACAACATTCTGGAATAAAAACGTTTAATTTGTTTTAGATTCCACATGGTACAGACCGACACAAATAAGGAGTGACCGCAAAAATCGCCCGTTTTTTCACAATTCGCAGAGAAATAAAGAAAATAGATAAAAATATGTTTTTGGTCTCAAATTACTCATCGTAAACAATTAAGATGACCATAGCTTTTAGTTTTTTAAAAATTATCAAAAATCACCCCTATTTAGGGGTTGAATATACCAATAAATATAAAAACTATTAGCATGTGAATTTTTCTATCGAATAATTCTTAATACAAAGGAAGATTTATTCTCATGACTGAAATAAGCATGTTGAATTAGAAAATCCACCCTTAAGTGCGCTCAGGGGGTGAAATGATCCCCAAAAATAGAAAATATCAGAAATAATTAATAAAAAATATATTAAGACAATTCACATGCTAATAGTTTTTATATCAACCTAAGTAGGGGTGATTTTTAAAATTTTCAAAATACTAAAAGCTGTGCTCATTTCAAGTAATTTGTGACCAAAAACATATTTTTATGTATTTTTTTAATTCTCTGCAAATTGTGAGAAAATGGGCAAAAAACACAGGTTTTTTTGCGGTCACTCTTTGCGTTTCTGCCTCGGGCAGAGCTGCTTCAGATTGAGAAAGATGCATTCTGCTAGAAGAAATAAGAAGTAGGCGTGGTAACACAAAATTATTCATGTCAGTCTATAATTAGGAACAATTTTGAACTATTCTTAAAACGTTTACTATCAGAATGAAAACAAAAGTATGGTCCAATAATAAAAAGGTCTATTTTCTAAATTGTTTTGAGGCGAATTTTTTACCTCGTTTTCGAGATACACGGTGTTAAAAGTTTTTGAAAAACATCACGTATGTGAAACTTGGGATGGTAATTGTACTGAATTTGTATGCAACTATACAGGGTGTAACTTTGAGTGGAGGTCATATTTATACAGAGACTTCCTTTGATCATTAGAAACACGTATCAATAGTTAATTTTTTCAAATTTCCTTGCAAAAACTTAATTTTCTTTTAAGCTTTCTTTTTAGTAATTTTGGTATCCCGCTGCTGGACAAGCTGGTGTAACCTCAAATAATGCCGTGCTTTAGTCGCAGTGCATTCACAAATCTCGCCTCGTCATCGCTGACGTTGACCAGCACTATCTCCCTCACATGCATTGTAGGTTGCCAACAATTGTGTTATAAATACATGTGTCAGTGGCGGTGTACACGAGAATTAAAGTGCAATTTGAAGTGATTAGACAATGCTAGTCTTCTGCTAAATCTCCTGCGTGTTCCCAAAACTTTAGAAATTTCCCTTATTTTATATAAAAATTTTTAGAAAAATTTAAGAGACCACAAGCGAAGTATGCAAATATTTTGAGATCTCGGAAAATGTTGCTAAGAAGAGGAATTCCAAGAAGGTCGTAAATATGAAGCCTCAATCGTTTCTTAAAAAAAAAATGTTGCCTTCTTTCATAATAGCTGAGACGTAATTATATTAAAAATTAATTAAATGACGTTGAATTTATATAGAAATTTCAATAAAAAATATGGCTCTTATTTTTTTCAACAAACCCTTATTTTCTGGTGTAATTAAAATGTTGGAAAGTACCCCATTATCGTCTAACAACTTTTGCATGATATTCAATAAAAAAAAAAAAATGAAGAGTAAAATTAGAAAATCTGAATTTCAATAAGGTTCTACATTAAAAAAATTAAAATATCATGGTTTTTCGAGTTGCTATGTCATGGCCTATATATTTGAATGCCTGGTGCTTACAGAATTTACATTCCAGTTCCATAGTCTTTATCCAGGCACCTATGACTTGCTCTGGTTGTTCTCGGGCTAGGTTCTGTGGTGATGGACCTGCTATCATAATCCCTAGGCCCACTCTGATGTTCACATTGGTTCTTATTGATGGTTCTAAGGCCGATAAGGACGGAACCGGACAATGATAGTCTTCCGAAACATTCCACAGTGGCCTCTGTAACTGTCGCATTCAATATTTCCAAACGTTTCGCTATTCTACACCGTTGGCTAAGTCGCTAAGTTGCAAAATCATCACTGACTAGTTACAGAGACCGTTGCGGAACGTCTCAAAGGATCTCCACCATCTGAGGAGTGATTCAGTCCAAAGAGGCTTTAAGACCAACAACATTAACTGAACTCAACAACAGAGTAAGCCTAAGGTTCCGATAGCGAGTCTCCCCCATAGAGCCAAGCCCAAGAGCAACAAAGGCGGCACAAAGATTCCTAGCTAAGGATAAGGAAATGCAATGTGACCAGATACATAAGCCACAGCATAACGACATAAACCATCGCGCTAAAAAAATATTGTCGATTGGACTCACTGGTTTATCTTTCTCCGTCAGTTTTTCCTGCTCTTCCAGTTCGGCCAACTCGTCTTTGTGCTTTTCCACGCGTTCGCGGAAAACCGACACAACTCTCTTAGGCTCGATAGGGACCTCCCTCGGTACCAGTTTCAACGTAGGATTCTCGGGATATATTTTAATTTTTTTGAAACTTCTGTTTCTTGTACTATAACGAGATTCACAAACATAAACGTCTTTCTCATCATAACCTATAAATTTTATATTTATAAAAATTTCATCAGAAATCTTCTAACGTATGTCGCACTAACCTTCGGGTCGCATCGTAAAATACTGTTTAACGTTTACTACACAACATCTATCCTTGACCTCCTCCAACGGCACCGTGACGTGCGAGTCCGATTTGAACACTTCGCGCTCTAAAAATTTCCTAGTCGTTAGGTGATATGTTTCGGCCGGTCTCAAATAATAGTTCCCGTAAAGCATCTGCTGCCCGTTGTTCTCAAACAGCCTCTCTATCAGGAGGATGTGAGGCTCGCAGCCCTTCTCTTTAGCGTCGAGATAAACGAACTCCCCCACTTTGAATGTCTGCTGGTTGCACGTCATGGACTCGCCAACGTTTATGTTGCTCTCTTTTATAATCGAATCGTCGGAACTGCGGGTTTCCGTCTCCTCCTCCAGGGACTCTTTCAATAACTTACTCTGTCTTAATTGTTCGATCGCCGTCTTAGCGTCATCGACCGTGTAGATTAGAGCGGGGGACGACAAAATCTCGCCTTGCTTGCAAAGTTCGTCCCTCTGCTTTATGAAGTACATCTGGAGCTCCGTGGCATCCTCGAACGTTTGAGAATCGGTACGGGAGAGACGGCGCGCCCTGTCCAGACATGCGAAAAAGTCGTCTTGGAAAATGTCCAGCCGTTTATAAACCCCTTTGTCTAATCGTCTCTTAATCAGATCCAAGGAAACTGCTCGGACCCTGAAACCAAAGTATAGTCCAATCAAATTGTCGAAAATACTTCAGTTTTTTGCCAAAAAAAATAGTTCAGTAATTGGAAATATGTAAAAATTAGGAAAAATTCCAGAGAATTCAATGAACTACTTTACCCCACCTGAATTTTTGGGCTTCATTTTCAAAAGTTCACAAAAAACAGTTTTTTTGATTTATAAAAAAAACTAAATATTTTAGAAAAAAATATTTCAGAAAAAAGTTGTAGAAATTTTTAATACGGATCGAATAAGCCCATACTGGTTTTGATCTATAAATAAATTAATTAGTTATTGCAAAAAAACTGCTAAAAATCGCAATTTTTTCAAATAGCTGTATCTCTTTCAAAAATAAATATTTTTTTATGAAACTTGGTGAGCAAAATAAAATGATTTTTTCAAAATTGAAAAATATTTTATAGTTTTTGCAAAAATCGAGTTTTTCGAAAAAAAAAAGCATTTTTATAAAATCACAATAATTCATAGGCCGCCACATCTTTAGGAATGGGGTTGGGCTTAAAATTTTCTTTAATAATTACGCTATTATGTACAAATATTGCGCGAGCCTCAAATCGATTTCAAATATCGCAAAAAACAATTGTAAAATCGTTTTTTTTTTTTGGGGCCCATAAAACTTTAATTAACTTTTTGATTTCAATTCGTATCAAAATATCTACTGCCATTCGAAAGTTGACATTTTTTCACGAATTTAAAAAAAAAGTCTGTCTTACGACTGTCCAACAGAGGCCGAGAATTTTTTTTTTTTTTTTAAATCGCCACGACCTCATTTATTAATATTAAGGGCTGAAATTTACACATGTTATAGTTGAATGCTTGTACTTTAATATAAAAAATAGTCCGCAACAATTGGTCCTATTTTCTTTCATTAAACTTTTATTTTTATACTGCTTGCTCGGTTCGACATGTTGAGAAGACTGTAATATTACTATTGTATGTGTCGATCCTACGTAACGAACTATGTGTATTTTTTCTTTTCATGTACATTTCATAAAGCTTTTTTATCAGTTCTGAATTTGTATTTACATAATGGTACGTATCTTATTGAGATAATAAAACAGTAAAAGTAATGTCGGTTAGTTGAAGCAATAAAAAGACAAAGTAAGAAAACATGTAGATGTGAAAGTGGTGATTGCAAAACTAACGCGTGTAGCTGCCGAAAACATGGATTAAAATGTTCTAGTTTATGTTTGAAGTGTGAAGATTACAATTGCTCTAATATCGAAGAAAAAACTATAGTTATTGAAGATATTGAGGAAGATATGGATGAGCCATGTTTATCAGAAAATGAAATCGAATCAGACGAAGAAAACTTTGACTTTGACGATGATAATGAACAAGAAATCGTGTTAACCAGTAGTAGCGAAGAAGAATGGAGCCCAAAGAAACGTTAAAAAATAAATTAATATAATTTTCATACAATCAAAAAAATAATTTAATTTAATAATGTTTCCTAATTTTTACATATTTTCAATTAGTGAACTATTTTGTGGCACCTAAAAAAGTAATTTGATTGGACTAGTAGCACCAATCTGTTAAAAGATACTAAGCTACGACTAGAGTCCAAATATCCAATGTAACAAAGACAGGCAGATTCTAAACTCAATCACATTCTTATCGATATACGAGTTTTCTGATAAATTAAAAAAAAAAGACTAATCAGTTTCCGAAAACAGTTTTCCAAAATAAAAAACTGTGTCATTATTTTCTATTAATATTATTATGCTGCAACATTTTTTCTGTAAACGTATTAACATTTCAGTTCGGATCTCTTAAGTCGCATATTCACCAACGACACACCGTTGACGTGCTTATCTCCATTTGTTATTTTCACGGTCGGTGTATTTCCTTTAAGTGTATTTAATTAATTTTTTTAGTGAACTACGGTGTATTCAAATCAAACATGACGGTTTACTCAAATAATTAAATGATAAATATGTAAGAATATTTTCTGTGCAATGGTAAATGTGCACATGTGGCAAAAAATTATAGAAATTCTAAAGAAATTTGGCAAAATTAATAGAAATTTAGTTTGGTGTACTTTTTCCATCCATCCCTGAATAAAATCTTAATATTTTGTACATAGAAATGGTAGAGTCATAAAAATTTGCTATATTTGAGGTTATGTTACATCACGAGGTAATTTTTCTCCATAAAAATCGTTATGGGGTCTCAAAACACTACTTTTCTTCTTCAAAATTTATTTTCAATTATTAGAATATCTATCCTCCTTTATGAGATATCGTTTTTCAACTCAATTAGGCGAATTCGAAGATATTCCGAAAATAAGTGGCATCCGGTGAAGTCTCAAAAAGAGAAAAATAAAATTACAGACAACTAAATTCCCACTCGTCCTTTGGGTCTTTTGGGTTGCAATTACGAATCCGAAGTCAGAATTACAAAATTCAAACAGGCGTTTTTTTGTTCCATCGGCCATATTGGATCCGCCATCTTGAATTTTGTAACACCAAACTAACCAACTTGAACAGACGGTTTCTTGGAGGAAAAAAAATGAAAGGAAAGAGTGGTACTTTCAGATGCCATAACAAGTTTCGTGGGGAAAAATTCTCGTGATGTTTCATAACCTAACAAACAGCAAAAAAAAGTGGCTTTCGTTTTGCACTTTTAGGTTAGGATATCTCAAAAACCTGACACAACGGAGTGTTTCTAGGGTTTTTTACATGAAAATAAAGAAACTGTTTTTTATTTAAGTAAAATCTGTAGTTAGATAAAAAAAAACAATAAAAATGAGTTTCGCAGGCGCTAATATTAATGGACATAGGCGCGTATTATGGAAAATTAGTGCGGAAGGAAAAATTGTCATTCATATCATAAATTTCTTATTAATAAAATTACGTTGCTCTGAAATTTACGTCGAACGAGATATTATTACAACAAATTATAGTTACAACTTACTTTTTGCCATCGATTTCATCGTGCTCTGGTAAATCCGCCATAGAATCCGAGTAACACCGACCATCATCGTCTTGATGGTTGTAAACGTTAGTGAACAAGTTCAACAGTATATCTTGAATCGCCGCCGGAACATCAGGTACATTATTATCATCCTCTTTAAGCTGCAACTTTGTTTGAAAGCAGACTCTCTGCAGGACGAGCGCATCCTTGTATATCTGGGAATCCGGTTCATTGTATTTACAGGCATTGTCAAACATGAGGATAAAATCCGACACCAAATCATCCAGATTCTCGTAACAGTTCGCTTTTAGTTTTTGAGCAATTTTCTCCATATCTATCGGATTACTTATTACTTCGTAGTAGTCGGGATAGTCGATTTTCGAGGGCAATTTCATGAATATTAGGGACAACTGTCTGTTCGCTTTAGGCTCTCGGTAATCCCGAGCGGCTTCGTACAGAGTTCGAAGGTTTTTCTCTAGCGGCGTTAAAGGTTTCCTCGGTTTGTATCTAACAATTCAAAATAAAGGAAAAACGTACATAATTGCTGTAATGAATATTTACAATTTTTTTTAAAGCACTTTGTTTAGTTCACTGTTCATTTCATTTCAAATAAAATTACTATATATTTTCATAAATATAACCAATAAAATACTTACACTCTAACAACGGCCCTCTCTTTTTTCTCCTTCTCCGGTGTGACTACTTGATGGCCCACCTTGTCCATCAAATATTTCTCTAGAAGTAGCGCATCCTCGTGGATCGGAGAATTCTCCTCGTTATACTGACGGCAGTTGCTAAACATCGTTTTAAAATCTTTCACCAGGTCATTTTCGCAACTGTACTGTTCCGCTTTTATCTTGGCCTCGATTTCTAGGAAATCGATAGGCTCCGCTATCACCTCGTAGTAATCCGGGTACAGTTTTTTAGACGGTTTCTCCATAAAAGCCAACATGGGCTTTCTACCGTCTTCGCACTAAAACAAAATTACGTCACTTAATTTTAAAATCATTCGAACTTGTATCTGATGCTTCCTTCGGCCCACCGGCGTATTTTGAAACCGAACTTTTAGCTTCTTCTTTTTAAAAAAAAAGGCTCCAATAAGTCCTATAGCTCAGATTATAAGCTTACAACTAACAACCCCAGTGATCAGTAATTCTGTTTGGAAGTTTTGGTGAAGTTAAAAATTATTGAAACAATAAGATTGACAATACATTTTCTTCAACCACTCGGCAATTGCATTATTTCGAGAGCAAATGCAACAGTTTGACATTGTTCATTGTAAACGAATCATTACGACTGATAACTCTAAAGTTTAGGGAGATTTAGTTGACAGTGCCAACCGCGCTCTGTTGGTTGCCTATGCTCGGGGGTCCTGTGGCTTGTAATCATTTATAAAAACTTGTATAATTGTTGGTTTGCATCTGTTAGGAAGTGACTATTAGTATTTGTAATTAGTTTTACAATTGTTACTTCTCTTCAATAAATATTTATAAGTTTTCCCAAAAAACGACAAGCAAGTCTCAGGGAAATTTTTTCTTACCATTAAAATTATCAAATCATTAAATGCTACTTACCGTGTAATCCAGCAGGTATTTGGCCAAGGCGTGCAACCGCTTTTTTAAAGGTATCGAGTCCTTCGGGGGTCTGCCCCTGCTCGGGGTCGTGTTACCGGGCGTGGAGTTTTTAGGCTTAGGCCCCGGTTTCCTCCTAGCGGACATCGGTTCAACGTCTACATCGTTATCGGTATCCTGAAACAAAAACTAAAATCCCACCCAAAATACAAATAGTTTTATAATGAAGTTAGTAGCGACCAAAAGCAAGCGATTCGTAAAACAAGAGAAAAGCCGACCGTGTAGGATAAGTGTAAGGCAAGGTTAACTGTGTTCAAGATATAAGTCGTGTATTAGGAAAAACAAGTTAAAGAAGTAAGCCAGTGCAGTAGCATACCTTCCGGTTTTTGTTAGTAACTCTTTGTGTTACCTGATCTATGTCAAGTAGTTCTTGCACCTTTGTTTGCATTAATTTTTGTAGTTTTACAGCATCCTAGAAAAAAATAAAACAGGAAATTATTTAAAATATAATAAAATGAATTGAAAAAAGGCCTAAATAACATCATAGGGTCGTTAATAGATCTGTCGAAAATATTTAACAATTATTTTCGCATTCTTTAAATTATTGTTAAAAAAAAAGTAAAACTGTTAAAAAAGTGCAAGAATAAAAAATTAAATATTGCAAGCTTTCAGGAAAGAGTGACCGCAAAGAACCTGTGATTTTCAACCGTTTTTTCACAATTCGCAGAGAATTAAAAAAAAATACATAAAAATATGTTTTTGGTCTCAAATTACTCGTCATAAAAAATTAAGATGAGCGTAGCTATTAGTATTTTGAAAATTTTAAAAATCACCCCTACTTAGGGGTTGAAAAAATGACAAAAATGAAGAATTTGATTATTACCAATTGATATAAAAACTATTAGCATGTGAATTATCTTAATATATTTTTTTTGGAATTTTTACCTTTATTTCTGATATTCCCCATTTTTGGTGATGATTGCACCCCCTGAGCGTACTCAAGGGTGGAATTTCTAATTCAACATGCTTATTTCAGTCATGAGAATTATTCTTTCTTGGTATCAAGAATCATTCGACAGAAAAATTCACGTGCTAATAGTTTTTATATTTATTGGTAATATTCAATTCTTCAATTTGGGCGTCTTTTCAACCCCTAAATAGGGGTGATTTGAAAATTTCCAAAAAACTAATAGCTACGCTCATCTTAATTTTTTACGATGAGTAATTTGAGACCAAAAACATATTTTTATCTATTTTCTTTAGTTCTCTGCGAATTGTGAAAAAACGGGCGATTTTTGCGGTCACTTTAAAGAATTTCGATGAAATAAAAAAAGTTATTGTCTTGTTAATATTTCATTAACTGTTTACTCTTAAATGAAAACACTTATGATGAATTTTCTGGCACCGAACATCATTACAGTCAAAGCTTTACGGATTCCGGACCAAAAAATTGTGATCACTTTCCCTATTCACGGGTGAAATATTCTGTTTACGCGGATCCGAACGTAGCGATACTTATATTTTGAGTATAATGTGTAATAATAATTTGCCAAAATAGACAAGTAGGTATCAAAATTTTTATAAACAATAAATCTTAGTATCGTGCAGCTGACAAAAGCCGCCACTGATATCGCTCTCTTCAACGTGCTACTATGGCATTTGATAAATGCCACGATTGGTGCCGAATCTTTTGTTTCATTGCTTCAATTTTTGATTCCTTGCAATGACTTTGATGGAGTAATACGCGTCTTCGGCTTTGTTCAGAATTTATAATTATTATTTTGCAACCTTAGAACGTATCTCTCTATATTTACATACAAAATGTCACTCCCTATTCATGGATTCTATTTTCATGGTAAATTTTCGGAACGTATCACCCGCGAATAAGGAGCATTGCACTGAAAATACGTAATAGTCCGAAAAATTGGAAAATTTGTCCGGAAAACTGAAAAACTCGGGAAAAACTGAAAGTGCTTATCACAAACAAATTTATTGAAATTCGGATACGACGTGTCGTGTCAGCTAGTATAAAAAAAAGTTGTTCAGGAAATGAAGAAAATAGGAGATTAAACTTCATAATTTCTTGATTTTGCTAGTAAAGTACTAAACATAAAAATGTGTCCAATTTAGTAAAATAACACGCACCATTAAAAATATTGACTATCTACAAATTTTATCGATCTTACCTTATACAATTTAGACGTGGTGATGTTATACTTTTTGGCGTTTTCAAACATAATCGTCATATCGCCAGCTACCTCACTAACTGTCCCATAGGCTTTATTTAACAGCTTCCGTCTTATTTGGGTTAAAGATACTGGATTTTTTATTTCGCGGTAGTAATCTGGATAAAACCTGCGAGATGGTAATCGCCAAAACGGTTCCGCCAGTGGAATTCCATTGTTTCCAGTTACCGTCCTTACGGCTTCGAATAGCTTCCACTGGGGGTTGTCGGCATCCACTGGCACATTCACCTAAACATACGACATGCGTTTGGACGGCAGAAACCACATAAATTACACAGATTATATAGTTTTCGTAAGTATATTCATAATTAACAGCATAATAAAGGTGTTAACTCCTGTTTTTGAGACATAGGTTGTTAGTTTCCAAAAAAAAAACTACTGTAAACATTGGCAACAAAATATTTTGTGATTTTTGAAGAACAATTTTATTTTGGCTTTGCATAGCTTTTCAATTTTGTCAAAATTAGCTATTTGTAAGATAAATTTATAATTATGAAGGGTGTTACACTGCAATGGGCAAAAATGTAGGAGCATTTTTCTCGTTCAAATTTAGGAATATGGGGGGTACCTTTTTTCTCAGACTATTTAATTATCTGTTAATATCTAAAAAGGTGGCAAACACCCCATTCTTTGCGTCAGTTCAAAAAATTCGAACTTTTCATATAAACAAAAAAAAATTAAGAGTACAGAAATCACTTCAATCGTGCAATATACATGATTACGGTGACAATAAATCCTGAAAAGGTTAATTAAACTGTAGAAACTTACGTCTTCTTCATCCTGTTCTGCATCCAAATCTGAATCATCATCTTTAAGTGAAGCCGTCACCGCGGACAACGACATGTTAGCGCGTAGCCTTTTATTTCGTATCCTCTCACTGATTTTACCTACTGGCAACTTGGAATGCTCCATTTCAATTTTCTTCATTTGCACTATCTAAAAGGTGAACGATTAAATTAAATTCGATGAAACCGCAACCGAGACAAATTACCTTTTTCAAAGCCTTGGCATTTTTATAAATCTGAGATCCAGGTTCATTAAATAAGCAGGCGTTCTTGCACATTAACATTAAGTCCCTTTCCAATTCCAATATGTTGTTATATTTGTTATTCTGAATTTTCACCGCTACCATCTTCAAATCGATCGGTTGCTCGATAACTTCGTAATACTCGGGATACTTTTTCTTCGACGGTAACAACTGGAAAGCTGAGTGTAACGGTTTGTTGTTATCGTCTGTGGCAGACATAACAGCAGTAAACAGGTCTTCAAAGTGGTTCGTTTCGTCGTCGTCGCAAATAGAAGAGTCATTCGTGTCTTCGTCGTGGTTTATACTAGTTCTACTTTCATTCTTAGAAGATTTCCTGGAATTTTTACTTTGCCTACTATTTACACACTTTTTGGGTTCTTCTACATTCAATAGCCTGAAATGTACATCAAATTTTTTAACAAAGATCAGTTACTACATTCTTTTTAGTATTAAGTCTGTAGAAAAATTGATAATTGAAGATTCCTAGATTACAAAAAAATATTTATATTACCCAACATCGATAACAGTGTCAAGTTAAAAGCTAAATGTAGTATTATATTTAAAAGCAACTATTTCATAAATATATAAAGCCTTAGGCCGCTTGTAAACGACACGATTTTTCGGCCGGTGAATTCATCGGGTCGGGGAAAAAAACGTGTATCCTTGTACACGAAGACAATACCTATATTCTCAGATTTTTAAATTCTGGGTCTCGGTTACCCTATGTGTTAACATACTTCCATAACAATCAATATCCCCCGATCAACCTTATGAATCTACGGGGGATTCCCCAGGCTTACAAACGGCTAAAAAACTGTTGTTTACAAGCGGCCTTATTAATTATATTATTAACTGTTATAAAATAAATTAAAAACATAGTTTTTGCAACAAAATAAACAAATATGTACTTTTATTAACACGGGCAAATTGAAAAACAATTGAATTTGAATTTAAAAAAGATATAGCAGGTAAAAATTTTTTTTTTAATTTGAGTCAAAAGCGTACAAAATATAAAAAGTATGACATATACTTCTGGAATCGTAATTAAAAATATTACTATTATGGAGCAATTAAAATGTAAGAAGTTTGTTAAAAAGAGGAGTTGGTGAAATTAATTTCCAGCAAAACTGGAAGCTCAATAAATGAATGACTATTATCAAAAAATTTGTAATATGGTCCTATATAATTTTCTGCAAATATTTTTTCTGAAATATTCAATTTTTTCTTTCATTATATTTTTAAGTTAACGTTCAATTGGTTTTTTGATTGCATATTCTAATCCCGTAGAAGTTTTTACATATGCCTTCATCACTCATTCATTAGCAAAATAACTAAAACAAATAAGGTTAAATATTTTTTAATAGCTGTATGGTATCAGCAATTTTTTTCAAAAACCTTATTTTATGCACTTCAAAATAACTATAGCAATTTCGATAAAGATATATTTATTTTAAAAAGTTGTAATAAGTCAATTTTTTCAAAAATTTTCACACAATAAAAATCGTAACAGCTTAGGATTTGTAATTTTGAAAAGTTATATTTAGAAATATGTGCATGTTTTAATAAAAACAAGACCAAAATTGAAATTTAAGTTCATATGTAGGCCCAGTCACTCCATTTTTGAAATTCTGTTTTATTTTTTTTTTTTAAGTAATTTTCATTGATTTTACCTATTTGTTATAAAATTCATTAAAATTCAGTATGTGCAATATATTTTTGATGATCCACAGAATTTACTAATTTCCATTTAAAATCATCTATAGGGTGATAATTTTTTAGAACCTTAAACCTTAATTCCCTTAATTTTTTTTTGTGCCAACATTAACTCATTTTTTGAGACTTTTTATCTTTTTGTTTATATTTAACCTCTCAATTCGTTATAACAGATATTATTCATCAATTTATAACAGTCTTGTAATAATTATGAAGAACAGCCTAATTTTTTAATGGCTTTCATAGATAACGGTCTCAGATTTAATGATTTTATAATGAATCGAATCTCACAATAAACTGAAATTTAAGCTCCCGATCCCAACAATCTGCTTTAACTGAACACGGACACAAGATATTAAAAGCAATAATTTTTTACAAAAATTTGATTAGAAATTTTATTAGAAGTTTCAATGTCTCCTGATTTTTTAGAAATGTGAGGTAAAGTATGGTTACATTTTTTCTATGCTATAAGTAAAACGATAATAATAATACGATATCAAGTCAGATGATCTAACACGCCAGCAAATAGGTTCATTAACATTTTAGTAAAAGGATCACCTGTAAAATTTTGTCGGTGGAATATATAACACTATGTGTACACTCGTAACCTATTCAAAACATAAAAAAAAACACTGTAATAAACATAACTTACTTATTTTTGTTTGACAGGAATAGTTCCCACAATTCAATGGCATCTTTATATTCTTGTGAAGTTCTTTTATAAAAAGCTTTAGTATTATTTACAATTAATTCTATATCACTTTCCATGTCATCAAGATCCTCATATTCTTCTGTTCTAAGTTTCTGCTGAACTTTAAGTAAATCCATTGGATTACTGACCACGTCATAATAGCCTGGTTCCTGTCGACGTTTCGGTACTCTTATAAAAGAGTCACATAATAATAAACCGTCATCCTTTTTATGGTTCCTTATTATATCATAAATTTGGTGGCATAGTTCACTCTGAAATATAATGACATTATTTATCGTTCTACGTAATTTACCAACTTACAGGATCCAAATTTTTCTTCCTCTTTCTCATTATGGGCCCGCTACTAGTAGAAGCTTCTAAATCATCTAAAGAATCATCCTCTTGTCCTCTACTTGCGATAGAACTAGTTCTTCGCCTCTTGCTCATATTTTACCAAAAGTATATCTCCCTCTTAAGAAATTGATTTATTGAAAATATAGAAATAAATAAATAAATTGTATACATATACATGCTTATATTTGTCTATATAAGTACATACTCGTATATATTGAAGTATGTGTGTATGAAGTGTAATATATGTATATATACGAAAAAAATAAGAAGTACCTATGGTTTGTGCTGACCAAACTAGTGAGGTTACCTTTGCAACATTGGTAAACAATTCAAACTAATAAACTATTAACTTCTCTTGTGTACCACTGTGGTCCATTTACATAGTAAAACATATATAGAAACGACTTTTTATCATGTTGAATTATTTTTTAAAAACACAAATTATGTAAATAAGGCGCGACAAGCGACTCATCACTCGATATTTTGTACAATAGCTTCGCTCTTCACTCTGGAAACTCAATGGCGGCTAACGATGTTTAGATAGAGAAAGAAGATTTCACTCAAGAAGCTAAGAAAGAAGATGTATGTATCAAATTTAAATGCCTTCCCCATTTTGTAACGCTTATTTCACCAAATTGCCATAGTTTCAAATAATTTTAGAAAGAAATTTTACGTGAAAAATTGTATGATTTGTAACTCATTTATGTTATCAAATATTCGTCAATGAATGTTCGTATAATCGTATAGAAATAGAAAATATATGGGAATGCGCTTGGTTCATTTAGAGGTACAGTAAGATCTGGAACCTGAACCTGAAACAGACTGCCGCAAAAGTAAAATATCACTGTTAAGTTAGGCACTCTTCTTGCTTTTATTTTTTCCGCAATGAAGAATATTCAAATACATAATTTTTCTCTATGGTTCTTTTTAGTACATTATGTATAACTTTCCAATAGGCAAGTAGAGCGCACCAGGGGGCTTTCGTTTTGGCAAAAATAGTACTTATTAGCAACTAATATCAGTTCAAAGCAGGAAGTTCTCTATTAGCTGCTAATAGCTACTATTTTTGCCAAATCGAAAGGCCCTCTGTGCCAGGGAACTGCGCCTCAGGTGTTCCTAAAGTACTTCCGGAGTACATTCTTTGTCAATTAGAAAGCAGCTATAGACAAACTCCGCAGTATATGCATGAAAATATAAAATAAATTATTTATGCAAGTCATGTTTGATTAACATTTGTATCTGAATATTCATATTATTGTCTCTTCTATCCCTTCCAAAATCTTTGATGGCAATATATTACATGACGTCATTGACATCAAAGAAGTGTTTTCAAGAACCTCGAAAATCATCGATCATAATATTGAAAATGCTTTTAGCGAAAAAGTGACTAGCTTAGTTAAGGTCAAAAATCCAAGGATTTTTTAAAAAAGATACTTTGACAAATTTTAAGTGGCAGATGTCACGGTTATGTTATAATGTTAGGCAATTCATTGCACATTTTAAAAAATGTTTCTAAATATAGTTTTCCACATGTTAAGAGTTTACTGAGAAGCTATTCTAGGAGAGTAAACAGTAATGATGTATCATACAAAAGGGTACCTCCAAGGAAAGTAGTTAAAGGTATAAATGTATTTATAAACTTAGTAGTAAGACTAATAAATATAAACCATTTGTTTTAGATGCCAACAATTTGGTTTGGCGTGATCCAAATTTTGAACTCCTTGCCTCGACTGGATTTCCATTATTTTTACGTGGCCATATCGGAGTTGCCTGGTATGATTCACAAACTACAGTAAAAACAAATAATGAACTTATTATGGAACAAATAGATGATGTAACTATAATTTACTGTGAACTTTAGAAACAAAAACTAATTACAAGTATTTTAGATAAATGACCCTAGTTACAAGAGTATGGTATGTCGTGTACAGAGTTGTCCAACTGTCCTGCGAAAAACTGTGTGTGATTTATTTCCATATCATCCCATAGAAGAGAATTCTGAGCTATCTGTAATTACCATAACCTTAAAGTCAAATATTAAATACATGCGAATCAATAAAGAACTGGAAACTGAGAAAATGGCTCAAACAGTAGGTAAAATTAATTCTTATTACTGGAAAATACAGTCGGCTTTTTTTCTTTTCTCCAAATATACATGCTTTATTTCACTGTTTGAGGAACAGAGAATAGAAGGATATAAATATCTATTAATAATTCAATTCAAGCGCCCTAATATTGCTGTAACTTAACACTAAGTTACAATACAATGTTCACTTTACAAAGGGATTAGACTAACTTTATATCGATAAGTATCGTGCAGAATATTTTTTATCTGCTTGCATATCTGTTTTTTTTTGTGCAGTACGTTAATAAATTAATTAGTTGTTGGTTAAAATGTTTCAAATCAAGTATTTAGACTGATTTCGTAACGATCAAGATTTGCTTACGTAAGCCTAGCAATTCCGTAATTGATAAGGGAAAAACCAACATACTTTGACATTCTATTTCTTCTAGAATTTATGACGCTATTTTATATATTTCTGTACTTTTTAGTTTCTGTTAGCTGCTAAAAATATTTGTGATAAATTGAAAAGTTCTGGTTATTGGGCAGACTTTATTAATCCTTTTTCTGGACGTCCATATTTCTCTCCAACATCACTTAGTGAGTTATACAAAACGGATGAAAAATTTAGATGTATGGATTTTGAAATTTTTGAGATAAAAAACTGTAAAATTATATGTAATGAAAATGACTCTCAAAACAGATTTGTAGGTAAGTAATTTTTATTATCTTAATGCATAAATATTTACCTAAAAACTTTTTTAGGTAGTCTTTTCACCAGCGCACCTTGCAAGAAGAAACATCTAAACTCCATCTTTACATGATTGACAATGTTAATTTTATGATTTTGGTTTGTGTGTAATTAAAATTTGAAAAGTACTGTAATATATTGAATATTTCATTATTTTGCTTCTAAACTCATCCTTGTGTCCATTACCACAGATTTCTACATACTTAGAAGTCTGTGGTAATTAAAAATACATGATAAGAGTATAAGAGGGTTTTGACCTTGTCATTACACTACATTCTGTTTTAACACAAAGGGTTTTTTGGCGAGCCAAACCACATCAAACCCGGTTAGCTCGAGTTTGATTGTGTTAAGAGTTTGAGTTAACATTTGACAGAACTCGCAAAAATTCTTTTGGTTTGGATATCTAATCAATAATAAAATCGTAACCTATAATCTATGATAGTGCTCGTAGCTCAAGTTGTTTGATTATTTCTTATATACTATAATTGTTATTCCTAATCTGAAATGCACATCCATGAAATAACGTTAATGTATAGATGGTTATTAAATCAAAATGGGTTTACCTTATCACAAATATCTATTCCCACGTAAATGTATCGTCAAAAAGGAAGTTAATAAAGATCTATACAGTACAATATAGAATATGCATATCTACGATTAAAGTTATTTGGATCCTCGATTACTATTTTTTTATTATCAATTTTAAATATATTACTTTGTATTTTTTGCAAAGTTAATCCATTATCAAATTTTTTTATTTACAACTTATACCTATCCAAACCTCTAAGAAAACGAAGTAGTGACTAGGTACGATGGTACGAAACAGAAAATAAATAAACAAAGATAGAAATATTAACTTAATATCCAAACCAACCCACAAGTCCGGTTTGATGGTTAGGCAAACTCTGCCAAACCGGCTTAACTACATTTCTCGCCAAAACGTCAAACCTCAACAAACTATAGTTAACCGGGTTAGCGGTTTTCTCGCCAAAAAACCCTTACAGATAAATTAGTAAACTGTTGTTTTAGGGATGCTTAGTTATTATGCGGCTAGAGAGCAGAGCGATCTACGCCATCAAATCTCAGAATATATATCGCAAAAAAAAACAATTTGTTGAATTGTAGTGTTTACTGTTTAACTTATCAAATATCGGGCTACTAATCGCGAAACTACCTGGATTCTGACTTCCTGACGTCAAAATTTGTGGACAAGTTTTAGCTTATCTAATAACGAAAAATTAGTGAAATCGATCTCCTTTAATATTTGACATTAACCATCATAAAATTGACCGACTTTTAATTTATAAAAATGTAAAACATCAGCGCACCTTACGTAGCGTTCCAGTAGTAAGCCACAGACCTGTCAAAAGTGGGAGAGTGAGCAATCTTGGTTTTATCTATGCTAGGATCGCTAGGTACCTTTTAGCCATAGAAAATGGAACATTAACATAGAATGAAATCTGATATATAACACCCTATACCATTTGCATACCTAACATTCCACTGTAACTTCGGCTTCCATATCGTAAGATGGTGCTATTTAGTTTTTGTGATTTCAAACGCAGGTAATGCAGGTATCATTTTGTTTTGATTTTGACCCTTGTTTATGTACCTATTTATGTACTTTTGACGTTTGTCATATGTTAATACGTTTGTTTGTTGTCTGCCAAATAAAAAGTTATAAAGTTAAACCATAGCAAAATTAAACCTGATGGTCGTATATTTATGTCAACACCAAATAATCCTGCTCCATCAACCAGTTCTACCTTTGTACATTTTGGTAAGTATATTTTCATGAATACAGAGTTTAAATAGTCAACATTCATGTATTTTAATTTTCATAAAAAGCATATTTTAGTATCACATGTATTTCTATTTTAGGTAATGAAAATAATGAATTGGGTGCAATTCAGTACCGTCAGACATCTGAAAATTATAAAATAAGGTTAAATGATCCTGTAGCACGCAGTATGTAATGTTAATGAGTTAATGTAATATCAGTTTTTATTTGCCGTTTTTTCAGAACATGGTTTGTTGAAAAATGTTGGTCTACATAAGAGTTCACAACTGTCTCCTATCTCCAGAATTCTGTATAAGCAAGCTTTGTATTACGAGAAGAAAGCTTCCATACTCTCCAAACGGAAAATGGATTGACAACGTAAAATCCAAACTATCGAAAAATGGTCAAAAGAAAAATGCTTTCAAAATTTGACCAAACAATTTAACCATCCTGCAGTTCACTTTTTCAAAAGACAGGTTGTATCATTTGGCAAAAAGGTTAAAGGCAGAAGATTTGACATTGAAGATAAAATTCTTGCCCTTACCCTTTACAAGCAGAGTAACGCAGCATACAAATTACTATCCTCTTTGTTTATTTTACCTTCAAGAGTAACTTTACAAAAAGTGTCAAGAATTCCCATTTCTTCGGGAATTAATGATGCTGTTTTTAAAGTTTTAAGTTCAGCTAGTAAAAAAATTAAACCCCACGATAAGTACTGTGTACTAATGTTTGATGAAAAGTCAGTTGAGCCTAATTTACATTATAATCAATTTCTGGATGAGGTTGATGGCCTTGAAGATTTTGTCGGGGAAAAGTTTGAAAAAATTGCAAATCATGTTCAGGTAAGGCAGCCATAAGTACGTCATATACCGGGTGACCACTAGATTACTACCCAAGCTCTAGCTTAGGCACGAAAAAAAATATTGATTCAAAATTTTTGGCATGCGTATCATTGAATTTGATGCAAAATTTAATCATAAAAACAACTGACCACCACTTCCTATTTGACCGGAAATGCTCTAAACTTTGTTATTTCATATGGAACACCCTGTATATTATTTTTGTTTTCAATTCTGCTGAAGAAACTAACACTAAAATATGTATCATGTCCAATACCTATCTTTGTCAGATTCCGAGAAAATTGTGCTTTAAAATGTCAAATTTGTCATTTATAAAATCCTTTTAAAAGAAAACAAACGAAGAAAGGGACAAAGTTATATGATATCTTTAACTTATTTGAGAAGTACTAAAGTCTGATATCATAAAAATGTTGCACTTCCGGCACATCCGGAATAGATATTTTAATGAAACGAAAAAAATATTTAAAAAGAAATGATAATATATCCAAAGCTTTATAAAAAATGTTTTTTATATTGCAAGAGGATACACACTTAAAATAGAACCTTTATTTTATAAGATTTGTATGCAAGATCACATATAAATAAAATACTTATAAGGTTTGTTCCAACGGTTGCGGTTGCAGGTAGTTTGTGAATTGTCAATTTCCGCAGTTGATTGTTGTGATCTTTTAAAATATACATTTTTATCTTAATAATAATGAGTACTAACATTTTGAAGTGAAATAATACTTTTTATCGGATTTGTTAATATATAAGCTGATACAATTTAATATCTAGAGATATTAGTAGATAAACAACAGTAGTTTCTCTGCATTTTAATTGGTATTCGTAAAATTGTTATTTCAATCAATTAATTATATTAATTATTAAATAAAGATTGCATGGCTTGGACATAATTATATTCTTTATGATTAATCACTGGCCATAAAATAACTTCATTTTGAGTTCCGACAATTTGAAAATGGCCTGCAGCTGTTGGAACAATCTTATAAATTTGTTAAGTTATGCAAATATAAGAAAATTGGTAGTACATAATATATTTTTACTCAGAATAATTTAGATAAGTAAGTCTTAATATTAAATATGTCCTTTCCGTTGTAATAAACAATTTCTAGTTTATATAATAAATTGTTTTGTATTTCATAAAATATTTTTTTATTCCTTTAAACAAATGGGGTTCTGGTATGTTTATGCTTTTCCTTTATATTTAAAAGTTTAAATATATATATTAAAGTATGGACAATTTAAACAAGGTAGATTTCTTTACTTTAATATATATTTAAACTTTTAAATATAAAGGAAAAATATTTAATAATAAGACCCATGGGCAACCAAAAATACTGCACTTAAATTAGGCAACCAAATGCACATATACATATCTACGGTTGTCTACATTATGCATTAGTTAGGCTTCCAAATCACCAGAGGCGCTGTGGTAATGGTTTAGTGGATTATTTAGGGAGATTTCGTTCTATCTTGTATATTATTTTTTCTATGCTTTTAGCTTAGCGCTGGCAACATTGCTTGTTTGTTGTAATAATTATTACTTACGTTTATTTATTGTGATATCATATGGGCTTGGCTGATAAATTTATAAGCAATATTTTTTCTTATATTTTAGGAATAATGTACAGAACATAATGGGTAATATTTAATCAAATATAAAATATTTGAAAATATTGTCTACTTATATACATATATTTTTTTTTAGAAGTTATTGTGGAATATGATTATACAGCAAAGGAACCTGATGAGCTAACTATAAAAAAAGGAGATATAATTAAAGATGTAGTTAAAAAGCAGGGAGGGTGGTGGGAAGGGGTGTTAAAAGATAAAAAAGGAATGTTTCCGGATAATTTTGTAAGGGCTTTGGATAAGGATTCTTCTGTTATTTTACGAAATAAAAAGGATGTATCGAGAATAAGGCAATGCAGAGTGGTTTTTTCATATAATCAGGATCACGAAGATGAATTAAATTTAAATGTAGGCGACGTTATTAACATTATTGGTGAAGAGGAAGAGGGATGGTGGAGAGGTGTTCTCAATGGAAAACAAGGAGTATTTCCTTCAAATTTTGTTGAAGAAATAGTGCTTCAGCTGCCTCATCCCAAGCCAAGTACTAGAGAGGACATTACCAGCATTGCTGGCGATGCTGATTTGAAAGTTCCTAAATTGCCTATTAAACCAAGTAAGTTTATATATTTATAACGTTTCTAAATTTACAATGGGGGCAATTTTTATCAGGTAAACAATTATGTGAAGTTAAGTTTCCCTATAAAGCTCAGAATGAGGATGAGCTTTCTCTTAAAGAAGGAGACGTAATTACTTTAATAAATAAAGATAGCCAAGATCCGGGGTGGTGGACCGGAGAACTAAACGGGAAAATTGGAGTTTTTCCAGATAATTTTGTATCTCTTATTTCAAGTACAGATGACAAATCTAGTTATAAAGAAGAAAATAAATCTAGTGCGGAAACAGGTAGGTATTTATTATATTGATAATTAGTTAGGGTTTAAAAAGTTATTAATATTGTTTTTATAAGAACTTGAAAAATTAACATATTGAGTTCATTCATAATACTCTTTTTATTACAATCTATTTTTGGCTATTGCTAAATATTTAAATATGAAAAGCATATTGTTTTTTAGAAAAAGGCAGGATGTTTTTCTAAAAAATCATCTCCATTGATATTTTTTTAAGTAACGACCTAATTTGATAAGAGTATTCATTATTTCGCAAAAGAATTTTTGAAAGATTTGAAAATAAGTTTACGAAATATTTTTGTGATAAAGATTAAATATTATCTAATCTATTAGGATCTATTCCCAGGATTGGTCTTAAAAACTGAACTCCCTACTGGACACTCCCAAAAAAACATTTCCAACGAAAAGCCATATTAAAAGCATTATTTATACCAACCACTTGGTGCAACAAAATTATTATATACATCGATCAATTTTTCAAACGTTTCTTTTTGATTTCATAATAAAGATATAAAACATAAATCATAGAACCACAGAAATGACAAGTAAAGAAATATGTTTTACAAAAATTTCTATGTTCGAATGTAAGCCTGATTAGTAAATTTTTAATTATTATACAGAGAGAAATATTTCCCACAAATAGTTATAGATTTGCATTGTATGGTGAAACTTAACATCGTAGATAACTAATTTTATTTCTGTCAGAGGAAATTTTGAATTCAATACAAAAAAATGTCGATTAATAGGTATTATATCAATATTTCTTGTATATAAGAATAAATATCGATATTGGTCCATCCTTAATAAATTATTTTGCGTATATAATTCCATTGATTATCAATGTAACATTCGTTCAATTAAACTACATTTATTTTTAGTGTTAAAAACTAAAAGTATCTATAATTGCATTAAAACATGTCTAGCGTAATCCCCCTAACAAAAAATGTTGTTTGTTGTTCAGAACAGAATTTTAAGATATTCATCTTCATCGCACTTCAATAAATTGATAAATACATTATGATAATCTTAACTCTGTATGAAACGTATTAATTATAAATTATGCTAGATTAATACCCTTTTACTTGTGCTAACTGTTACCTTCTATCTCGTAATTAGTGTTCATTCCGAGATAAAAAACTAAGTAATCTCGCATTCATGTAATCTTTTGCAAATAATAGTATTTGTATTCCGATGATAAGAACCTAAATAAAAGTTAATTGAAAATTAATAAAATGATGTGCATATGAAAATTATGAGATATAAAATATATTTTGGGCAATTATTTTAAACATAAAAAATTTGTGTCCTAATAGGCACAATACGGGGTAAGTTTTTAATGTGTATTTCTTCTGAAGTTTTTTTTTTCTTTTTTTAACAATGAAAACGTTTTATGAGGCAGAGCTGTATAATTCGCACCAAGTGTTCAGATTACTGTCTCTGTCTTTGTTGCCCGTATAATGTTAGAGGTAGAGAATGATGTGATTAGACAGTCTTGAGTTACGGTTCATGAAAATTGTTTAAAAAGAGGATAATGCAAAAAGAAAACTAAAAGAGGTGCCCGTTATTTTGTCAAATGTAAATAGATGTCTAATGAAATAATTAACATGTGTAATTTGTCCATTTTGCTAAAACCTCATCGTATATAGATAATTTTATGTTTAAGGTGCCATAAAACCCAGTTCAATAGCGTTACAACGAAAATCCCTAGAAGGTAAAAATGACAAAGTTAACGGTGATCCGAATATTACCACAAATAAGACTCCACCACCCCCAGGCAAAAAACCTTTAGTTCCAATAAAAAAGTCTCCGTCAGTTTCGGGCATAGGACTGTTCTCAGAAATTAAAAAGAAGCTAGTTGATGTAGTAGACGGAGCTACCGGAAGCAAAAGTGTAATCATTAAAGCTGAAGCGTCAGAAACAAAGAGCAGTAGTAGTGACAATGCGTTCGACCAAATAGAAAGGAGGTCTTTACTGACCGATGTCAGGGCTACTAGGGTTAAGGCACCAGGTACGTGGGTTTAATTGAAGTTTTTGAAGTTATCACGCAAAATATAATTTTTTTTCTGTTAGGTCGACGATTGCCTACCGCTATACATAAAGATGAAGACAATACAGTGATAAATGGAAACGCAGAGCATATTTCGGAGTCGGACGTCCATTCGAGTAACACGGCGGAATCGGACAGTTTCGAAAAGCGACGTGTGAGGGAATGGGAAAAACACAAAGCTCCGTGGTTAGAGGAAATGAAACTTAATCAGGCTAAACGAACTTCCACGTCCCCGGGACCCGAAAATAAACTAAAACTGACACCTACTGCTGATGGTAATTCGGAAATGGAAGAATCGAATTCGGATAAATCGGTAGAAAAACAAGTAAGTACAAAATTTTAATAGACCATTAGGTTTAATCCATTCCACAGAAAATTATAAAAATACTTAATTGCAGAGTGACTTGTCCAAATCAATGCCGCCTATGGATTTGTCGAAGTCTCTCTCGTCCACGGGCAACAAACCGAAAATTACCAATGAGATGGACAAAGCACCCATCGTGAGAGAGAAACCAAATCTACCTTCCGTGTCAATAAACAGGCAGTCGTTGCCCATCAACATAAAGGATAATCCCGTCGCTAATAGGACCATCCTTAATGCGACCGCGGTAATTAAAGATAGTCCAGCGGCCAAGCCACCTAAAGTACCGCAAATTTCACCTGTAACTAACAGAAATTCGGCTCCTCAAAAACCTTCGGTAGAGAAACCAAACGAGGTTGTAATAAACAGTGAAAACCATGACGTTTCTCATAAACAATATAGCCAATTACTAGAGAGACTGCAAAAACTAGAAATAATCGTCGAAAATCAAAAGCACGCTATCGAAGATTTGAGAAATAAGCTTCAAATAGAGACTGATATGAGGATGATGCTTCAAGAAAAAGTATTGCAAAAGTTATAGGTTCGATCGTTTGATTACTCTATTTCTACTTTTCTGTTTCGGCTTCTTGTTTCGACTTCGGCTATTTAATGTTTTTTGTGCAAAAGGGAACCAATTTTTAGTACATACACAAAAAAATCAGTGGTACAATATTAAATTCCTTGAAGGGAATTTATAAATTTACCACCAAAATCTAACCACTTTTTAAGAAAAGTTCATTTTTTTTATTTGATTTTAGGGTTCTTGTTTCAAACACAGATTCTGTGACTTCATTAAAGTTTTAAATAGTTCAAATACCAAATTATTCTTAGGTTGAGAGGTAATTGATTTTTCGAATTTTTTTAGTTTAACTTTTTTTAATATCAAAGAGTTTCAAAGTAAAACATTTTTCTAATTTACCAAATGAAATATACTGTGTCCCAGTGGCGTGCGGTGACATTTCCAGCAAGGGAAGCAACTTCGTTTTTTAATTTAACTTTTTTTTAATATCAAAAAGTTTTGAGGTAAAACATATTTTTAATTTACCAAATGAAATATACTGTGTCCCAGTGGCGTACGGTGACATTTCCAGCAAAAAAAGCAACCTCAAAAAATGCATCTGTTTATTTATTTATTTATTTATTTATACTGCATACATACAAACAAAGGGACAGTCCAATTACATGTATACAGTTGAGAAATGTTTATAATGTAGTTTCGCCGTTTCGTCCTCTTTGGTGAATTTTTTTTGTATAAGTTAGTTACGACGGAATATTAAGTTAAATCAAAAAAGTTTGTGATGTTCTGTAGCTCCGTTAATATTGAGTTTTCAAAAATTTGTCGTAGCAACTCTTAGGCACTATTTTTAGTACAATCAATTCCTAATTTTTTTAGAACTTTATTTGGGTCGCTCTATATTAGATATCAACGAATCGTCATTCAATCATTGATCATCGATTATTTAAAACATTGATCTCAATAAACATCTGATACATGATTTTCCGAATACGTTTTAGTTTTTTAGTTGAAATTCTTCCCTTGCTTCTACGATGTGCATGCCCTTATTATGTTGTATTTTGTTGCATTCTACCTTTAAATTTGGCAATTTCAATGTGTGCAGATCATTAACATAAATAAAAAACAAATGAAGTTCGGTAGACCTTAAGAACACACAAATGTAGTAATTATAACTTCATCAAAATTACAGGTCTAGCTTGCTACGATTGTTTTTAAACGCAGATTTTTCAAAAAAATTGGATTAATAATTATACGAAATCTAAAAATAAAATAATATTTTTTTCCCAAATTCAGGTATCGCACAGACCAAAATTATTTCGCTTTCCTAAAATGAATGGTTGTGAATTAAAAATATTAATTTATAATTATAATTTTATGGCAAAAAAATAGCCAAAAACAATGTATACAATTATAGCCGGTAAATGAACGAATCTATGCAATTTTTAGCCTGCTCAATAGTTATCTCAAAGGCAGCACTTCGTAAAAATTTGATTAAATATAGTAGAATTTCAATAACCCGAAGTAAAGCATTCCAAACTTTGTCCGAATTAGTGAATATTCCCGATTATTGAATAACAAACGGACAAAATATTATTTTTATACTGTTTGTGTATGTACAATTACAACTATATTATTTTTTCCTTTTAGATACTTAATTTTTCACGATCAGAATATTTAAAAAAAAAGTCAATTTATTACATAATTGTTCAAAAAATAAACTGAAAAGTAGGTTTTATATTCACTTGTATAGTGAAGGGCAATTTGCCAAACTTTAAGCAATTAAATTTTATAACATTATCCCAATACTTAGTATTAAAATTTATAATTATTTGTGCTTTAAAAATATATAATTTTATGGCATTATTCCAAATCTTAGCGTTAAGATTTATGACAACTATTGTGCTAGTTTACGTGTTTCTGTTTAATAAAACTACATACAGGTGTAAGTTACGGTAAGCAACTCAAACGGAAGGTGAAAATATCTTTTAGGTAAAAAGTTTTTTGTGATGAAAATAGAATATTTTCTATTTAAGTTTAAGATCAGATACATTTTTTATACCATCCCTATATAGTTGTTATGCTAATTAGTGCTTTTTTGAGTTTAATTTGTTTAAATCTTTAAATTTTTTGTTTTTGCCGATACAATCCCGACAATGATAACATTAAATCGCCGATAACATATATGAAAGCATTTGCATGCAGCTTTTGGGTATCTGTTAATAAAACCATGTAAAATTTGTACATTAATGCAGCTAGCTCGGTTCCGTGAAACCTTTTTACCAAACTAGCATTTATCGTAGTTATAGGAACCCTAAAAAGTATTATCCAAGAAAAATGCTACACAATTTTAAGGATTACATTTTAAAAGTGACATATTTATTTATAATATTAGTTAGCAAGGTATCGTTTAGCTGTTATACTGTATTAATATATTTTTATACATATATTAGAGAATAATTTTTAAGGGCCATTCCATAAAATGGATTTTTTTTATGTTTAAACAATTTTCTTTTACGTTTTCCATATATATTGTATAATTGTTTCATAGAGCTGATTAACCCTGTACATGCTACTTTTCCCCGGCTGGTTGACCATGGAAATTAAATCGGACCCGCCAACAAATATTCATTTGTCCTCGTAGAAAATAGCCATTAAAATTGATTAAATTAACAGAATAAAACTTGCAATAAATATGCATCATATTCAACAATAAAAAGTTTGTTAAGTAATAGATTTTGGTAATTATCGGTATTTACAATCGTCTGTGTATCGTTAGAAACTCTAAAAAGCGTCGAATGGTGCCATCTTTAAGAATACGCAAAATTAAAAAAAATTGAGAGACCTGTAGCCAATTTAGTTTCTCGCCAGTTCAATAAAGACGAAAAACACTGTTTAACGTTTTTTTTTGGAATTTCTGGCGATGCAGATTGTGTTAAATTCCTTTCCATATGATGCGTACTTTTTGCCTGTCGCTGCTAATTAAACAATCGCTCTCTGAATTAGCGGTTTTTTAGACTCGTGTTAATTCATTTTGTATAAATTATTGATTGATTATTGAATTCAACTATTATGTTGCAAATTTAAATAATTTTGGATAAAATTGGAAAAATATTTTATGCTGAACCCTCGACTGCTTGCACTATAACCTCAAGTTGGCAGGAATCGGGTATTTTCAGAAATAGTTGCTTGTCGATCCCTTTAAGTTTCTGAAAAGCACTGTAATTTTATGTTATTTATTATTTTTTTTATACAATTCTAGTACAGGCTACATAATGCTTAGTAATCATGGTCAACTTTGCTTAATTGTACAGTCGATAATGTAAGAAATGTTGTTATTTAAATTAGTACTTTAAAAATGGTGATAGGTGATATATATGCAAAATGAAGGATTTTAACCTGTTAAATTATGAAAAGATTATTCCATAAATATAAAAACTAATATAATTTTTAGGTCATATACGTTATTGATGCCTATTTTATTTCTAGTGTTACCAGTGATAACAATCGTTTAAAAAAATGGGAATTTACATTTTTATTTTATTATTTTTCTTTACCTAAAGAAAATTATAAAATATTTAATAAAAAATGAAAATCGCCTCATTTTCTTATAAATACGAGGATAAAATGTTATCACTTTTTTCCCCACTTTATTTTGTCAAAAAAAAAAGTTGAGACAGAATGATTTCACGATTGTAAAAATTTCTTCCGCAAACTTACGACTGCGACCGGACCCAGACCGATCCTTTCTCCTCCATACACTAAACGGTGATTTGTGGTATTCTCAGTATTTCTCAGTTGACGACGAACCACTGCGACACGTAGATATCATGCCGCCGTAATCAAGAAAAATCGAAATTGCTGTAATTGTCGGAGCAGTAATAATTTTTGCAGAGAAAAAAAAAAGAAACGAGTGTGGACAAAGGAATGGTTACACAAAAGGAATCAGTATACTCATTTTTTTCGCTTCATTCATTCGACGAATCTGGCGACGAAATGAAGATCTGACGAAATTTTTTTGTAACAAATTCTTTTGTAGCATTGGGAAATACTTCATTGCATTTTAAAATCAAATTTTCGTAAGCCGCATTTCTCCTCTGTACTCTTTGCTTGTTACGTCCCATAAACAACCGTTTTCTCTATAAATACTGATAAATTCTTCCCAAAATTCACGATTATCTTCGAGCCACATTTTCAGGAAACAGCATGGATCAGTCCGGGTCGTATCATGAATCCGTTCGTTGATTCTGCGGACATGCATTATTATTATTATTACCATGATGAGTCAGTGCTGTCACATTCACGATAGAATGTGTCGGCTGACTGGGTCCAACAGACTCGTCCGGCGGACCGGAGCTCCTGTGAGCAGGTTCTATGGCACATAGGCAACCAACAAATAATAAAAATAAAAGACTTTCCTCCATTCTATCGCAGATTTTCAGTAAAATGGAGTTAGTTTGAAACTCGAATTACTTTTTATTGTAAAGAAACATGTAATTTGCCGCTTTTGAACAAGCGGAATCGTAAATTACAAATGGTTGCTTATTTGCTATAGAATCCTCTTAAAGCTTCAATAGTTTTAAGCAACAGCTGTCACATGGCATCTTATGTTAGATTAGACTTAAAATTATTTAGTTAATTTAGAGTTTTTGAGGTATTTTGAAATCAGTTTTACAATAATTATTTACTCAAGCAATCGTTCATTTTTAAACACAAACGGAAGTGGTTAATTATTTAATTTAAATCGAGAGCTTATTTCACTTTTCGGCAACCAATTTGTTTTTTTTTTCGTGCCCTTTCACATCAATATAATATGACTTAAATCGAATTGCATACTCCTTGCTTGTGAAATATGATAATCGTATAGAAACGAGGACATTTTTTTTATTTATATAAAGCGAATAAAGTGATAACATTTATTTTCGAAAAATGATTTTGTCGTTAAAACAAAAGTAAGTCGATATCACTGTAAGACAAGAAATTGCAAAATCCATAGGTAGCATTTATTATTCCCATGTTTTATCTATTTAATTTTATGTACTCACATATACCTCGTGGTCAACCCACTATACTTCGCTCTACTATACGTGTAGCAGGATTTGATTTTTATAAAAATATCAAGTGTTATGTATCTTCTTCAGAACTAAAATTTTTATTATTACATTACGGATCGATATATTTTAATAAGATTTAAAAGCCTACATTTTGTGAGAACAAGAAAAAGTTGTGCTAGATTAGAAATTGTATTCTGCCATCTATTGGTTCGAATGAGGTAATAAGGTTCGTTTACTTCATGCTACGTACACTTAATTTGTTCGACATTCCATTTGTTGTTTAAGGTAGCTTATTAAGAATAATTTCAAAAATATGAGACGTCGGAAGAAATTGTTATGTCGAATTTATATTTTGCTTCACAATCATTATCATCAGTAAATCCTTTACGTTATCTTTCTTCTCTTTGGGGTGAAAAGAGCTTCAGGCTAACAAAAAACGTTCTACAATATTTGACCGTTATAAAGTTTAAACTCACTCACTGGCTATCGCTCGCTCAGTTAACTTCTACGCTTGCACTAAATAACGGTTTTATAATGTAAAATACTATTACGATAAACAAATTAGGTACTTACCGTGATTAATTATTTGTTACTATTAGTTTGTATGGGGTCGATGATACTGATAAAAGCAAATGTTTTTGGGGTGAGAAAAATGTCTCGAAAAAAAATTGATGAATTTTACCTAAATAAATTAGTATCACAATAAATCTCTTTAAAAATAATTAGGTACCTTGCCGAAAAAATTATATATTTGTAGTTTTTTTACCTTGTTCTTAATAAGCTACCATTTAAAGGAAAAAATTGTACTTATATAGATATATTTATAAACTTTCAAATGACAAAATAAATGTTTATAATTTCTTAGGGATTTTTATTTAAAAAATTTAGGAACCTTCTACGCAAATGTTTAATAAATTTGTAAACTCACAACGAAACACACAAAAGGGAAGTAGGGGCATATAGCCCTCAGAGTAGTTGTTTCTCGCAACACCGAAAATTAAAACATTATGTTACGCCCTCTGTGGGTGGCAGTCGTTCAACAAAGTACGTGCAGTATAGAAGGTCGCTTCCTACTGTAGCCATTTGAATGGCACAATTGGGAGTCAGCATGACAGATAGAGCCATTTGCGCTCCCGCGTACAACACACAAAAGGGAAGTTGAGATTTGCTCTTTCCGCCTATTTAGGCCAACCAATAGAGCGAAAAAAGAGGCTATTTTTACACTTAAATATTGGGTCTATTTTTGCACAGCATGGCGATTTATCAAAAATGGTCCTATTTAAATTCTGAAAATGGCATCTGAAAGTAAACAACAAAATCTCCAATTTGTATATCTCGGATTTTCGCCTGAGTGATGGGAAATATGCTAAAAATGCCCTTGAAATTCGCCCGAAATGATCGAAAGTATGCTCAAGCCAGAGACCTCCACTCTCTGTTTCCCCCACTACCGCTACCTGATTCTTACGAGCGTACTTTCGATTGTTTCGGGTGACTCGAGGGTATTTTTAGTATATTTTCCAGGCGAAAATTCGAGATATACAAATTAGAGATTTTGTCGTCTACTTTCAGATGCCGTTTTCAGAATTTAAATCGGATCATTTCTGATAAATCGCCACGCTGTGCAAAAAAAGACCCTAAAAGGTTTATCTTGGAGGTTTTCCGAATTTTCTCTGTAAAAAATGAACCAATCGGGTCGCACAAAAAACCGTTTTATAGGTGTTTTTATTCCCTACAAACGTCCTATTGAGAGTAACACGATTCCATCATTTTTCGAGATACAGTAGGCGCTTGGTAATCCGGCGCTCGCCAATCCGGCACGCTCAGTAGTCCGGCACTTTGGGACTCAGGTAGCCCGCTCTATAATCCGGCATGAACGCCGGACTACTGAGCGGTTGAATTGTTCGAGTAGTGTTTGTCTCGCTCAGCCGGCAGTCCGGCCGAGCGAGACAAACAGTCTCGGCCTAACCATAATAGTGAAGCCACGTGTTTGTTTTGCTTTTTCTTGTTTCGCAGCGTCGCTTTGACAAAATGTACATACATACATAATTTTATTTTTATAATAAATTCACCTAACCATATTAAAATAGTCTTTTACAGTGGATCTATGATATGTAGAATTTATTTTACATTTTATGTATAAAGCTTTTACTTCGTATACAAATCCGATAATCCGGCAGTTCTGATAATCCGGCATTGGCGAAAAAATATGGGTGCCGGATTACCAAGCGCCTACTGTATTATAGAAAAACCAAAAAAATGACATTTTTTTGCAGTTTTTGTTTAAAAAAAAATTAATCACGACTTTTCTGGAGAAATCACTTGGGTTTTCATTTACTAAGTATTTTTTAAATTTAAGAGTACCAAAAAATCTCAACTGGTTGGACTATTTCTCAATATTTGGTCCATGTTGTCCGTACTTACCAAATTTTACTTTAATAGCTCTCAAAAACCTTAATCTTTAAACTTGTCTCAATTTCGATCGGTACGAGGGTGCAAAAAAAAATTAATTTAACAAATAGTTTTATTCACAATAAAAAAATGTATAACAATGACAATAACCGAATTTATTCACATAACGTGACTTTTATGTTAATAATTTATATGGTCACTGGAGGCTGCTGTATTTTATCGAAAACTATGTTATATATTTCATCGTAGTGACTAACAAAATGCACTTCCAATCCTTCAGTAATAAACTTTGGTAAATCGTTAAAGTCTTTCTTATTTTCTTCGGGTAATATAATACATCTTACCCCCGATCTTTTGGCCTGAAACGAAATTTAATGCATCATGTTTTTCTTTAAAGCTGCGTTGACATGGTGCGAGTTCGCTCGGCCGAGGCGACTAGCATGCCGGCTCGCCTGGTACTCGCATGGAACTCGTACTGTCTAAACAGACACGCGAGTTGTACTCGTACGAGTTGGTCGGTCGTCTTCCAACTTTCAGCGTGCGAGTTTGATGCTAGTAATAGTACTCGATTTTTCAACATGGCAACCAAAAGGTGGACAGTAGCGCAAACTATGAAATTTGTGTAATTGTATGAAGAAGCAGACTGCCTATGGAATTTTCGACATCCTCTCTATAAAAATAAAGAAGCAAGGGATCCTCTGATGCCACTTCTCTTAGAAAAGTTGCAGAAGCACCGAACATGTTAGTACGTCGCTTTATATACTCCCGAATCCACATTCGTCTGGGACGACGCTTTTTTATAGCTTGCAATCAGTTTAATTCGTGGATTAGTAGATCTACAACAATAGCTATACCAATACGCACGACATTTGCCATTTTGGATTATACTGATACCAAGCTAGTAGAAAATTTGTGTGTCAATAGAAATCATACGTAAATTCATTTGCACTCGAGGGAACTCGCACCGTGTCAATGCAGCTTAACGTAAAGGTAGTATAAAAAATTAAACTATTTAAAATTTGAAGTGGGATGCCCAAAAGAATATTTGCGGGGAATTTTACTGCATTAACTTCATTCAAAAGAAATCTGCAGATGCCACAACAACAGAGATCGGTTCAAATGCTTCACAAACAATGATTTTGATGTTGGAAGATAAAGAATGCTGCTTCAAAGGCAGAAACGAACAGGTTTTTTGCATCGTATCGTGACTGACGATGATCCTAAGTTTAGAACATTGTGGGGCGAGCCCGCCCATGCCTCAAAATCGTCAGCAAAGTGGAATAGAAGCTGGGTGTAGTTTATTATGAGCTGCTCAAGCTGAATTAAACTATCAGGGGAGATCGATATCGACTACAATTGATGCGCTTGAGCTGAGCATTGAAGGAAAAACGGCTGCTATACGAGCAGAGGCACAACACGCCACAGGTTGCAAAACCAGTGAAAATCTACTCGGAAACGCTTAAATGGGAAGTCCTACCCCACCCACCATATGCACCAGACATCCATACAAGGCCTAGCTGAGCAGCACTTCCGTTATGAAGATGACATAAAATGGATCAACTTTGAGGATAGCCTCAAAAAACGTTTTTCCAAAGTGGAATGCAAATGCTGCCAGAAAGATAGGAAAAAATAATGGCTAGCGAGAGACAATTTGTTTAAATAAAGCATTAACTTTCATGGAAAAACACCTAATTTATGTCTGAAAATAAATTTAGAGCCCTGAAATAATCACACTTGTTCCAAAAATCAAAAATACAAAATTATTTTCTTTCGAAAATTTTTGATCGGAAAGAAATTCATCATTTTGTAATGTTGTCGCCATTAAAACTGAAGTACCTTTTTAAAAAATGTATTAACTTACCGCAATGGTTTTTTCTTTGATGCCCCCCACCGGCAAAATCTTTCCCATCAGCGAAATTTCTCCAGTCATCGCGACGTCTTGTCGGATCGGTTGACTTTTAGCTAACGACAGCAGAGCTGTAACGATTGTACACCCCGCACTGGGTCCGTCTTTAGGAGTCGCTCCTTCTGGTACGTGTAAATGCAAATGGCTAAAAAACGTTAACTGGTATATTATTTGATATAACTGTACCAAAAAAAAAAAACATTTTAATTACTTATCTGTGACGTTTTTAGTACTTTTTTATTTTTTTTATATTTATTTCGTTTAGTGTGGCAAAAATAATTGTAAGTTGAAAAAAAGTGAGTAAAAAAGAAAAAAAATAAATAAAAATTATATAAAAGTATACATACTTATTATATAAAAATTTATTAACTGGGTCATGCTTATTCATAAAATTTCGGGCTACTGTTAAAGCTATTTTTGCCGATTCCTTCATTACTTCCCCAAGATGGCCGGTTAATTCTAAGCTACCTTCTACTTCTTTTTCACCTGGTAACCTTCGTAACGTCGTTTCAACATACAACGTAGAACCCCCTACAATATAAACATTTTATTACACCAGTATTCTAAACTAAAATTGATTATTGAAAAGTTCCTATTATTGTACGATGCCTCAAGATATACGTCATAAAACTGTAACGATCTGTGGTTCCATATACCCAGAATATTGGAACAGTCTATATAGTTTATTACTCGGATTTTGTTTAAAATCACACTTTTATCTTCTGATCTCATCACAAATCGTATCGGAAACGCTTTAAGAAAACAGAATATTCATAACTTACCCATCGCCGTCCAAGCGAGTCCCATTACCACACCGGGAGGCGTAACAGGATACATTCTATCGTGCGTAAATACCGGTTTCCCAACAAACTCCTGCAGATTCGTATTGTCTACTTTTACAAAATTCACTTCATCTTTAACTACTTTGAAAGCCACTTTTCTGACTACCTAGAGCGAAAATAAATAATTTCTGTTAATGCCCTGTGATTTTGTGTAATTTATTGCAAGTACTTAATTTGTTGTTATAGTCTTTCCGATATCAATTGAAGAACCAAGAGGATGACAGTATGTACCAGGTTCGGTCGCTGATGCAGCAACTCGGCATTGAAATATTTGAAAAACCCATATACAGATCTTGTCGAACTAAACATGAAGGTGGTAGAAATATATACGCCCAGTTGAAGAATGCGAACACGGGCAACCAAAATACAATACAGTTGCATTGGGCCACTCGGCAATAAATCTCAGCCGTTGCCAAGTGGTCGACAAATTGCCCAGCAGTGCAGTGCAGCAATGCGGAATTTGGTGTGATTCAGATAATTTTAATTTATTATAGGCACCTTCTATTAATCATTGATTTTACAATTGCGAAAGGGAGAAATAATATTACAACATGGCATTTTGGAGACCTTGTGAAACGGAACAAAACGAAATTTACCATCAATATAACAAAATTGTTTGAGGACATAATTAATTAAAATATGTTGTTGGCCAAATGAACATATAATAGAAATTGTCTGCACATTATACAGGGTATAGCAAAAGTACCGGCAGAATAATTCGGCGGGAGAGCATTTTAGTGAAAACAGGGTTCGTAGCGGCTGGGAAAAGTCAGGGAATTCGTTATTCTTCATAAAAAAACAGGGAATAGTCAGGGAATTTTAAAAATTATTCATGAAAGTCGGGGAATCTGAGTTTGCCAGCCCTGGGTTCTCGAAAAAGAAAACTGTTTGTGATTTTGAAACCTTTATAAGAAGTTCTTAGGGTATAAAAAAGGTTATGGAGTCCAGTCGAGAAAAATTTGAATGCATAAACACCAATTAGTATGTAAAAATAAACTACAAGTGACCTGGACTTTTTTTTATAAGTCAGGGAAAACCTGGAAAAGTCGGGGAATTATTTATTACTTTTGAACTACAAATCCTGGAAAAATTTTAAATACAAGTTTCAGGATTTCTCTCTGGCTATCCGATGGTGACCTTGACATTGACCTTGAATATCTTTTCAAGGTCAAATGTGATTTTTCAAATGGGACCCTATACTTTTGACCCCAGAAATGAAAAAAGCGGAAAATTCTACGTTCAGATATGACCTTGAGTGCCCCTCCCTTTTGACCTTGAGGTCCCTACAAGGTCAAACTAACACGGCAGGAGAGCATTTTACAGAAAATTTTCAAAATTTTCCGCTCTTTTCTCTCCCTCCGAGTTAATCTGCCATTCCGGTACTTTTGCTATATCCTGTTTACAAATTATTATAATTTTTTACTTTTATCAGAAAATTTACGCCTATGAAACTCATTAATTTTATTGCCAGGCGTTTTTTTACATGTTCAACTGACTTCGGAAAGACTATATAAATATCGATTAAAAAAAATTAAATATTAAAAATATAAAATTAAAAAATAAAATATCACAAATCATACATCAGAAGAAGAGTAAAGGTTGTTTTCTTTACCGGTTATTAGTTTTTCTTTGTTAATTTTATACTGGGCAAGGGTTCATAAAAATACTAAGCTCGATTTCACTATTTGAGGCTCGGTATAAAGCACGACGCAAAGTGGGATATGCTGTAGCGGCCATACGCAATTAATCAATGGTTACATTTGCCTGGCATTTTGTTGTAATGCCCATCTTGTGGGCACCTACTAAATATATGTGCATTTAAAAAAAAATTATGACAGCAAGTTGAAAACGAAATGTTGGGCGATAAAACTGGCATTTTTGTGAGAAAGAACACAATGCCATGAAGTAGTGCTCATCTTTTCGCTCTAAGTCTAATAATATAAAAAAAGAAAAAAATTCTAAATAGAAAAATTGTTTTTTTTCTCAAATCGTTTCAAAAACTAAAAATATATCTGAAATAATTATGCTCATGCGATTTCGGCGATCCTCCAACAGCACAACCTTTCTCACATTTGCACCCCTGTATATTTTTTACCAATTTCGATATCCCCATATAAACCCGACATATAAAATTGTATAATCTTACCTTTTCTATATGTTTCTGCAAATTCCTCACACCACTCTCCCTACAGTAGCTTTTTATTAAAATATTCAACGCTTCGTCCGTCACATTTATGGTATCGTCCTTCAAACCGCTATCCCTCATGGCCTGCGGCAACAGATACTGTTTGGCGATGGCCAGTTTCTCCTCCGCTACGTATCCCGACATATCGATCATCTCCATTCTGTCACGTAACGGTTCCGGAATCGTGTCCACGATATTAGCCGTACATATGAACAGAACTTTAGACAGGTCCACGGGCACATCCAGGTAGTGGTCCAGGAAATTGGCGTTTTGTTCCGGGTCTAACAGCTCTAAAAGCGCAGAGCTCGGATCGCCGGAATAACCCCTACGACAAACAACGAAGCCATAATACAAATTTTATTAACACAGCTCGAATATCACCAGTAGTAGTTAAAATTATGGAATTTTTTTTATTAAACCATTGTGGAACTTGAATTTCGTGATAATCGTTGTTTATCATACAACTTGCACACATATGACATGAAAGGAAACGTGTAAACTGGAAACTGATATATTGAGAACTGAAACTATGCACCACTATTTCTCTCCTGTTTTGTTTGCGATAAGTAAAGATAGAAATGGGACCTTGTAGCAATAGAAGATTCGAAGTAAACTATGCGAAATCTGTGTAATCAGTAAAAAAAAATTGATACATACTTTCCTATTTTATCGACTTCATCTATGAGTATCAAAGGATTTTCTGTCCTTGTCTTTTTTAGGCACTGTATAACTTTTCCTGGCATCGCCCCGACGTAAGTTCTTCTGTGCCCCTTAATTTCCGCCACATCGGTCATACCTCCCACGGAAAATCTGAAATATTCCCTGTTTAGTGCTCTTGCGATCGACCGTGCTGAAACAAATGTTGGCAATTACGTTTTGTTAATTTTCTAGGTGTAAATAATCGTAAAATAAAACTACCTGTTAAGGTTCGAGTGAAAAAATTGAATAAACCCATCTTACCAATGCTAGTTTTCCCGACGCCGGGCGGTCCATGGAAGCACAGAATTTTTCCTTGGGTGCTGCCTTTAAGCTGGCTGACCGCAATGAACTCCAAAATCCTCCTTTTAATATCCTCCATTCCATAATGGTCCTGTTCTAAAATTTCGGACGCCCTTTGCAGATTCAAATTCTCTTCGCTTTGCACACCCCACGGAAGAGAAGTTAACCAGTCTAAATAGTTCCGAGTAACACTTGAAAACGAAACAAAATATGTAATATACAGGATGGCCAGAAAAAGAATTGTAAATATTTCGGTTGCTATTAGAAATACATGTAGTTCAAATTTTTTTATCAAAATTTTGTTGCTTACTTGAATTCGGAACTGTGACTTTCAAGGAAATTTAATTTGTTGAGTTCCTCATCTATTACAACGGATACAGCTTGCGGTAATATTTTATCTTTGATTCTCTCGCGAAATTTTTCACCGATGGCATCCTTGTCTTCCTTTTCAAGCCCCAGTTCTTTTTTAATAACCTAAAAGAAGTTTCATGTTCAATTTGTAACTACTTTTCTCCTCATTTTCCTCAATATAATTCTCTAAAGTTTAAGTCGTTCCTGGGCGCACATGTGGTCTAATGAATAATAATATACAATCCCTCTCCCGCACAAGTATGCGGCTTCTGGGCTAATCAATGCGATTTGATTGAGGGGCAGAGATATTACTATTATTATCACAATAATTAACAAACCTGTATAATAAAATATTAATTTCCTACCTTCAACTGCTCCTGTAAAATATATTTACGATGGTGTTGCTTTACTTTTTCCTCAACTTCTCTTCCAATTTTCTGCTGGAGTTTTGAGAGTTCATATTCCTTTTTAAGCAAAGACAATGACAGCATTAATCTTTTTGGAATCTGTAAGATAATTGACAAGTATAAAACTTCTTTTACATAGTTTTTGTTTATTTAACTAATTTGGAATGTAATTTAGTAATTAATACTTACGTCTACTTCTTCCAAAACTTCTTGTAGTTCTTTACTTTCTGCAGCAGTTAAAGCTGCGCCCAAATCGCTCAAGTAGACTGGATTGTCTACCACCCGCTGGCCCTGGTGCATCATTTGCTGCAAACTGTCTCTATATAACGGATTTAAACTGATAATGTCCCTGATAGTCTTAATAACCTCTTGCGTCAAAGCTTTCACCTCTTCCGTCTGTCGAAATTTATTGTGAACTACATTCTCCACTTCTGCCATCAAAAAGCCTTCTTTCGTAGCTTTAGACTCCTCGGATTTTTGTTCTTTGGGATCTTCATCCGCCACCGGTTTCTTGATGCGGCTGTTTCTAACTTTACGTTTACGTTTATCCGACTCGGGGTCCTCTGGAAATATGTGCATTGTTGTTTTGAATGAAGGAAAGGTGATTTTCATTGCTGTAGCAATTAAAATATCAGTTACAACAAATGATTTTTATAACAACAGTTTTTGATGAAAATCATGCTTTTTCGAACTAAATACATACTTCGAAAGTGGCACTCTTCTTTATTTCACAAGTAAGTTAAGTGAAATATTTAACGTTAGGTGGCAGGGCTACTAGGAGGGAGCCTGTGCTGGCTTTGATATCTGTGTATTAGAATTACATACATACGTGTAATACTACATGTTAAAAATTAAATAGCATTTTACTCAAATTTTAGAAAATTTTATTATGTTTGCTTTTGAAATTAAAAAAATGAACCGTATCTCTAAAGGACTTCTGAACAGAGGAAGATAATAGAAGTGTGCACTATACATGAAAACGACACTGGAAAAATAATTTTGTCATTTTTAAAATACTAGTTTTAGCTACGTGAAAACAATGTCTTGACTTTTTGTAAATATTTTAACGTTTTTGTAAAATTTATATTTAAATCACCAGTGGTCAAACACTCAAAAATTGAATTAAATGCTTTTGAAACAGAATTAGAGTAAAAAAAAATTGCATCATATTGTGATACAAACACGATTTATTAAATGGGACACCTGGTATACTTTTAGTATGCTGTTAGACTTCCTTCACTTCACAAGAATAACTATAACTTTTGGTGAGGGGAGTACTCAAAAATATGAAGTTGATGATTGCAAATAAATGACAGTTTCCTTGAGAAGTAAATAAAAATTTGTCATGTCACTGTTTTCGACATCGCATAATAGACATCACCGAATTGCAAAATAAAAAAACATTTTTTCTCGTAAGTTCACTAACCTTTCGGTTCTTCATCAATGCTGTCCAGGATTTGTCCAGTAATCTTAATTCTACGATGTGCCATCACCACCAGTCTCAGTCTATCACCTAAATCCTGCATTTCATGAATTTGAGCAAAAACTCCTACACTGTAAACATCTTCTGGGCTTTTAACAACCTCAACTTCATTGTCTTCTTGTTTTTTTAAAAAAATACCACAATACGGTTGATTTAATTTAACTTTTCTTCTTATCAGTTCGATTAATTGAGGATTTGAAAGTTCTATTAATTTTATAAATCTCGGAAACACTAAATTTCTGCTTATAGCTATTACAGGTACGTGAGGCCATACTTCAGGCACAGCTACGGTTGCAGGTAATTGGGGATGAAGGGGTTCTTCTTCAGTTACAGGTCGATCATCATCCGAACCATCAGAGCTTTTAGTAGTGAAATATCTCAGATTTGACAGAGCCCGTAAGTTTAAAAAGTCTCTTCTAAATAAACAAAATGAACTATTATTTTGTAATAAGCTTCCTTCTTGAAGTACTCTTAAAAACCTGTGATCATTACTGTGTATTGAGGTTATAAAACTTTTACTTCTGGAATTTTGACTAATACGACGAACACACGATTTTGAATGGCAGAATATATTCCTAGACTCACGGATCAGTTTTAAGGAATAATACATTATTACTATTTACTAGAAAGTTTATAACTTTAAATACAATTATATTTTAAACTACAAACCCCAAATTCAAAATCAAAACATACGTCACAGTTGTCACAAATCTAGAAAATCTCTAGAAATAATCTAACCATTAACCATAATTGTTGGATCATTTTAATAGGCCAAAAAAATGTAAGTGTTTTCAATCAAGTATATGTACTTCGTCCTGAACTATTAACTCGATTAATAAAGTATTGAAATATTCTCATTTCACTCAAGTGTGTACAAAATTGTAGGTAAGTTGAAAATTCAATTAATAATGTAGAAGTTTAAAGCCACCGGTTTTTGAGATACAGGGTGTTGAAATTAAAGTAAAAAATAAATAGTGATTCTTAAAGATATTGTTGTATATTGATATTTGGGTTAGTAGTGTAACTAATTAAAGGCAAAAATTATTTAAATTGGTATACAAATATGTGAACCAGTGGCGGAAATACTGATAGGCATTCAATAATCCAGAATATCTACACAACAGAGTTTGTTTTATTCATTAAAGGCATTTGATTTCTAATTGTATATAAATAAAGATATATTTTCCATTTTACTCGAGAAACAAGACACTTTTGAGACATTATTTTTAAAAATTTAAACTTGTTACATAAATGAATAAATTAAAAATATTTCTAAAACAAATTAGACTCAAAAAAATGTATAAACGGTTTATATAATTTCGATTTAAATTTTACATTGATTTTGTAACTACGTTATCTTGATTAGAAGAGGAGGATTTGCTATAATTTTTTTAGCAGAATATGCAAGAATTTTATTTATAAGATTTATTTGTAGAATATTATTTTTAGGAGGAAATTTAATAGATTTTAGATTTTTTTAAAAATGATAAGCATGGACTCACCTCAGTTGAGCCCTCTTCCCCACTCTCACTCCACTTGACCAGTCAGAGCGCAGCGTTCAAATTGGAACCAATCATAGTGCGGCGATCGATTCAAATGACTAATTAATGCAATGCGTTTAAATTGACGGGAAATTTAAATTCGCACCCGATGACAACTTGTAAATTATTGAATCTAATGGTGAGAAATTTAAAATTAACAGGAAGAAACTATCGGCTGGGACCGATTGACGGCAAATTTTATGATAGATTAGTCTTCTCTAGAATTCGTAAAATTGTATAATAAAAATAAGATACTCGACATTTTCAATAATTTTTTTATTGTTATAAATAAAACATAAATAAAACTAACATTTTTGGTTTGTTATAATAAAATTATACAAATGAACTAGATAAAATTGTACATTATTGTTATAAATAGGTATGAAAAAAATATATACTCTTAAATATAAATACTGAACATCTATTATACAGTTTTAAATGCATGTAAAAATTCATCGATTAGTTCTATAAATCAGCACGGGAAATAAAATTTTGTTATCCTTTAATAACGTATAAATTAAAGCTTAATATTAAAACTATAAAAAACAAAAGTTATTCTCACAGACTGTTTACAGATATTTATCATTACCTACATATAGAAACAATGTATAGATGTCGGGAAAAGAACTAAACGAAAAGTGAAAAACTTTAAAAGTAGCCAATTTTTTTATTAACGTGTCTCGAACCGAACTCTGGACATCTAAATAAAGACACTAGACCTGATTTGGCCTTCTACAACACCATTAATAGCACTAAAAATGTAAGAATATTAAACATTTTTATTTTCCGACAAACAGCATGTACAGGGTAGGCCAATTCCTTTACTTTTGGGCATTTCCCGAGAAAATATCTAAAAAGTGGAAACTAAATCAGAATTTGTTAAAAATTTCACAGGTAAAAATTTATTCAATGTAACAAAAATTTGCCAAAAATTGAAAATGCCCGAAATCTCTTACGCGAATCGAGATATTAAGATGCAGTCTTCACTATTAAATTGTTCTTGAAAATCGAGAACAGAACATTTTTAACCGTTCTCCTTTACTCCCTGAAAATAATCACTTAAAAGTGTTGAAATTTTTCCACGCCGTACATCTTCTCAAACGATCTTACACAAAGTTCGAGGAAGTGCCATTATTCGTTTTAGTATCCTTATAAAATAAAAAACGGAAATATTTCTAAGACAAATAAAAAATATACATCTGGAGATCAATAGGCCTTCAAGTTTATCAGTAAAAAATCAGTTGCTGCTGCAAGCTCGCTTTATAAATAAAAACAAGTAGGGATGGAAATTTCTCAATTGGTAATATTTCCCAACTAGCAAATTTCATTAGTAAACTAATATATAAATAAATTATATCCAATAAGTAATATATCTCCTCAGTTTAAGAAGATTCTCACAGTTGATCAAGCATTATTGCAGGTGCCAACAACGGTACTATTTATTGAAGAGAACTGTTCGACTGTTTCTATTTAAGTCTCAAAATGAAGGTTTGACATATGTCAATTGTTGTATTTTAAATCAAAATATTAGGTTGCTGTGTAAACTCTTCAAAATATATGAAAATTTATTCATTGCAGTACTGAACATTTAAACTTATGTTTTCAAGGTTGGCAGTAATGATTTTGCTACAAAATGGCAGTTGGTACTTTGTCAATGTCTAGGGAAATTACATAATAAAGTCCCTAGATGATGATAAAGTACTGCAATCAATTGTCATTTTGCAAAATGGCTGTTGATTGTGGTACTTTATCAATATCTAGGGACAACTACGTAATAGTCTCTAGACGTTGATAAAGTACCGCGATCAACTGCCATTTTGAGGCAAACGAAAACAATCGGTTACGGTATTTGGTTACATCTAGAGACTTTAGTATATAAAAAAAGCTTCTGAAGATTTAATTAATTACATATAATTTAATTATATTTATTTAAAAAATAAACCTCAAGACGTATGTGACGGTTCATTGGACATCAGAAATCGACAGATTTAAAAAATTTTTGCAGAATTGTTGCCAATTGGGACTGTCCATCCCTAGAGCTTCATAACCATTAAAAATTAATCTATTATTGTATCTTTACAAATTGGCTACTTAAAACAAAACACAAATTTTGCGATCATTTTTTTTTAAACATTTTTTTACAGCCAGGCCATTTACGTTTTCAATTTAGGCACTCAGTCGTTATTAAAATTAAGTATAGACTGTGAATCCAACGTATCTCCAGTTAAAAGAACGTTATTAATGGGGTCGCTAGACACTAATTCCGGATTATGGCTAAAGGGATAAAAACCGTTTACTTTCCTCGTCAGCGACAGGTATTCCTCTTTGTTCCGATTAAATTTCCCGTTAAGTTCCCCGATGCCCTGTTGGCTCTGGAGAATTTCCGAAACAAGATACCTGCTGTACAAATCGATTTGAGGTCTTCCGCCTTTCCTGATCTCTAAATCCGGCAGCCACCTGAAGTAGCAATGCGTCCAGATTTCTAAACCCGCCAGGCCAGTATGCGGCTTCAAGACGGCCTTGTAGGAATCGTCGAAGAGCGGGTTGCAGAACAGACCGATATCCCGTTCCGAAAACTGTTCCCGCCAGTCCCATACGCTGCGTAGGACTAGAGGGGGGTGACTGTTGCCAGAACCCTGGAAGTAAATTGTGATTTATACAGGGGGTGACTTTATAACCAGTTTCTTAGGAGTAATAGGATGTGTTCTCCAAAACATTATTCAGAAATAAATTTTTTAAATCAATAAATAGTTGAGATATAATTCGTTTTTTAAAATGCATTAAACTTTTGTCTACGCCATTACTGGGCAGCACCCGAACTTGGATGCATGTGCTTGCTTGTCAATGTTGCCTATTGTTGTCTTTTCAAAGCGACTACATGAAACTAGCATATTGGCAGGGAGTGAAAATACAATGGAAAATAATTTCACAAAAAGGGATTGCCTTTGTATGACTGTCACGTGTTATTTTAGCGTCACCATTTTTGTTTTTTTTTTATAAAATGTGCATAATAAAAAATAAATAAGAACAATTCCTAATCTTAATCATTTCAAGTTTTTAGTAAAAGGTATATGTTACTATTTTTTTAAAGCACTGTGTTTAATTCGTGAATCTGTGTTAATGACCCTGTTTAGGTAAACTACATATCAATCCACTTGATGTGATATGACAACAGGGTGCTAGACGAGCAAAAAACAAATGGCCAGTGTTAATTCGGCGAAATTTATTTTCGTTTTCAGTTTATCGATTTATCAGAAGATTTGCAATACGATAGATAGTTTTACGAATTTCTGCAAGAAATATTTGTTTTTACTGGAATTGAAATAGAATTTGTTAAATTTATGTTAAAAATGTGTATACGACAACAACGAAATTGCGCTAACCTATCCTGTGGAGTATGATAATTTTTAAATTAATAAAAAAAAATTGAAATACACAGTGTACTTACGAACTCCGCCATAAGTCTCTGGTGCTGACAGTTGAACAGAAATGTGTCAAAAACGGAAATATGCGCTGAATCCCACAAGGTAGTCAAGTAGGTCTCGCTGACTTGAAAAGCGGTAGGAAATTGTTGAAGCAGCTGCCAAACACAGTCGAGAAAGAGCAGAAATAGCGGAGATTGTTCTATTTCCTTACAGAGGATGTGACCGAGCCTGTTTGCGAATGGATGGCCCAGAGCTACCCAATCCTTTTGTATTAGCGATTGGAATCCGAATTTCGTTCGGAAAAAGGGGTCGAGAATTAGTTGCGTTAGGCTGGACACAACACAATTTAGATCTTGTCCATTCCCTGAAAAATCAATGCTGTAAAAAATAATCAAGGCTTCCTATTACAAATAATAAACTTCAGTGATATTTGTGATTTCAATGGTAACTAAATCCTATCGCAGAACATAATTGGCGAATGGTCACGACTATTCAAAAATACACAATTTTTAAACAGTGTCGCAGTTTGCGTAACATATAACTTTACGATAAATTAAAAAACAAAATTTGGTAAATGAGTGCATTCATCGACAATCATAAAATTAAATCTCTTACCTTCTTGCAATACCACAGTAGATTCACAGATACTGATTTGTTCAGCTGCTTCTTTGGCCTTCGTTAAACAAACGGAAACGTAAGACAACCACTTTGTACTATCTAGCAACCCATAAAATTTGAAATCTTGACTCTTGAAAACGCGGGTGTTCTCAGGTGTACAAAGTTCCCTTAACTTAAGATAACTAGTATTTATATCTTTGGGGGTGGGCAACGAGAGATCGATTATGTACGGAGCTCTCTTTTCTGGGTGGCTTTTACGTATGTGTTCCAACAATTTGTTTTCCTCGGTACGGTCTGTAATGGTGGGAAGTAAATCCGCCATTCTGACTAGAGCTGCACCTTTCGATGTACCCCACACCTATGGAGAAAATTAAAAGGTTATCTTTAAATAGATACTGATATTATTCGTTTAATAATAATTTTTAGGAGACCCAAAATTTATAAAAGGGTATTTATAAAAAACTAATCAGATTAAACGTTAACTAAAAGTTACCCAAATAGGACAACATCTGTTCCTGAATTTTTCCACTGCTTCCTTTATGATATTGTCAGTTACAGACTGGGGCACGATAATAGTCTCTAATAAGAGGGGCGACACCTGATAATTGACATTTACATGAGATATTCTCCAGTTTTGACACTTTGTTCTTTTTATTTCTTTTTCCCAATCCAACCTCGTTTGAAATAGTCGAACCTCTTTCACCAAGGTATTACTTATATAGGGCTCCCTAAATACGAAAAGGTAACATCATTAACAACTCCTCAACTGATTTCACTTTTTTATAGTAGCATTTGATTGTAATGATATAAATTTGACCAAATAAAAGGTGAAATGTCATCTTCAAAAATTAAAATTTATGATTTGAGTTAGTTTTTCTATAACTGATCAAAAACCACATTTCCTGTTCAATCTCTGAAGCAACCCTTATAAATCATTTTAGAAAAAAATGTGCTTCGTTTTCTTTTTTGTTTGTTTGTTGAGAGGATTCACATAATAAATCAATTATGATTGATAACTGATTTGCTGATAATATAATGTCAATAAATCAATTATCAGTAAATCTAGGACCGACACATTACAAAATTTTCTGTTTGTTTTTAAATACTATTGTTTGATACTTACATAAAGTTATGAAAGAACTATTTACATGAATATCCAATATTGCAAAGTATTAGTTAAAAATTGTAAATTTGAATTTTACGAAGTTAACAGCATTTAGTAGTTTAAGAGCAACACGGCATCTTTTGGAGTGAAGACCTACACACATTGCATACATACATAATAATGAAAATACTAACTGCTGCTTTCAATTTATCAAGAAAATAATTAAAAAGACCTACTTACTTATAATCATATGCAAATAATAACGTATGCCTTTTTGGATAAGCATGGTGAAGTAAAGCATTAACAATATTTTTCCCGCTATCCTTGTCGCTAAATTTAAAGCTAAATTCAAGATATTTCATATTCTGAAAACAAAATTAGCATTTTTATTTTGCTTTCTTCCTGAGATAACTTAAAATTGTCTACCTTGCATAATATCAATATTTCCTTTACTCTTCCAGTAACATTTTGACCGGGCGATAATTTTTTCTTCGTTCTGTCACCCACCTGATAAATGACATCTATGGAAGACAAGCATATATCATTAATACCTAATAAAAGGTTCTGTTGGTAACAGTTTGAGAACTCAACTTCTTCAGCAGTCGCAAACGATACCTTGAAAGTTGTAATGGTTAAAACTCCCACCAAATGTTTCTTTCTATCACTTAACGGGGCATACATAAGCACTTTTTGTGCCTCGCAAACAATTGTTTCTCCTGGAATAAAAGGAATGTGAAAAATAAACGTTTATTATGTGAAAATGTAGTTACCATCCAGAAATTTGGTTCTTTGCGAATCATCTAGTGTTATGGACTGGAAAAATAACATAAGTGAGTTAGGAACATGAAAATATATACTATCGTCACCTCTAGCTCAGTTTCTCCTATGTAGCTCTTAAATCTGGAATCCTCTTTGATGTCATTCATTTTTAAAGGTATATTACAAGAAATATATACGTATACAGTTAATATTGTACATCGTTCTATTCAATCATTGTTAGAGATTTACCCCATAGTAGCTTTTTGAAACTTATTTTTACAATATACTATATAAACTTAAAATATGAGAAATTCTTATACTAAAATGTAAATTTTCAGGTTAAGTGTTTTTATGTTCTATGTCTGATGTTTGTAGTAATTTTATTTATTATTAAGGTAGTGGTGGTACACCTGCAAACGCGACCCATCTGCGACCTACGACTATCATATAATCAGATTATGCACTCACTAATCATTCCTTCTTACGTCACTATTTTGAATCTACTTGAATCTAACTTTGAAATGTTCTGTGGTTTTGTTTATTTTTTACGTGTTCTCTCTTATTTCAAAGTTCAAATTCGAATTGAAAGAGGTTATAAATTGTATATTTGATATCTGTGAAGAGAATGAATAAGACAAATTAATGTAAAATTTAATTTGTTTTCTAATATGTTTAAAGACTGATACATTTAAGGAATCCAAACTTTTAGTGAGCTATTAATTTTAGTAATCAAAAATGTTAGACGATGTTTTTTGTACCATTAATGGCTTTAAAGTCAGGCAAGTATAAATAAATACTCTACGATTTATTCTATTTTTAAATATTATTTTTAGGCCTAAAGCAGACAACGGCTTATGGGTTCTATTTCTGTTGCCATTGTCACTAATTATTTCCTCTCTAAGGCATCCCGTCGTATTAACACCTACATATAAACTGAGTTCTTTACTATCTATAGGATTAATACTAACATCGATAGTTATAGTATTTCATAAACGTGAGGACCAAAAGCTAAAAATAATTAATAAATGGAATATGTTAATATTATTATTAACCATATTATTCCACATCTTCCTCGAAAAAGGTTGGTTTCTACATCTTTCATTCTTATGCTTTTTTTTCATATTTGGAATTACCTATTACAGAAAATTTTCCAATGACCTTTAAACCCTTGAATATATTAGTAATTCCGTTATTTTAGGTTTAATATTTTCTATTGCCAGCGGAATTTTGAGTACAGTTGTCTACATTAGAACATATGTTTTTATTTTGAAGAATTTTAAGAACTGTTTCACACTGGGAGAAGCGGGTATTGTAAGCCAAAGTTTAATAATTTTGTTGTACTGTACATCTATTAATATTCTAAACTCGATTCACACGATTTATGGTAGTCATATGCAAATCTCAACTTTAATTATTCAGGTAAATACTTCATATTAATTATACAACACATCCCAGAGTAATTGTGGATATGGAAAAACAAAATGTTCTGTAAAATATGTGTTTTTTAGATTAGACTACTTGGAATTGGAATCATCGCCAGTGTGGCATATTTTTTTCACTTAAGGAGGACAAGCTCCTTCTATTTGCTAACTTGTTTTGTGATAATATTTGTAATTATTCTGCCATTACAAATTCTCTTAAATAGAAATCCACTTCTATGGATTTTAAATTTAGTTCTAACGGATTTATCAACGGTAAGTGCCATATTAATTTTAATACTCTTCTTATAAAGTTAATGCAAGTTATTATGATATAAAACTAAAAATAAATATAAAAATCCAACAATATAAATAAAAGTTTCACAAATTTTGTTTTTCGAGTGAACAAATATGGTGCAAATATTAATTGTTATTTGTTGGTACATTTTTTTAAATATAGATATATGTAGAGAATAAAATTAAAGACACTAGAAGCGCTTGGTTAAATTTTCGTTTATTGCAGCTGAAACTGGTAATATATTGGAGTTTTTGCAGTGGTACGGCTGTTTTAGCTGTAAGTAATCAAATCGTGTATGCAAAGAAAGCTTCCACGGGTATGAGAAAAATTTTCCACTTACTAGCGGTAGCTGTATATATTCCTGGACTTTTGTATCGATGTTCATTCCTATACCTTGCCAGTGGAGTTATGCTAGGTATATTTTTTTTACTGGAGGTAAGTGTATATGTATCAAAACACCAAATTATTAAATTCTAATATGCCTTTTATAATTTGCATATTGCTATTATTATTTTTTTAGGAAAATATTTTTAATTGAATTGTTTAAATTATCATCAAATGTACAATATTCTTATTTTCAACTAACTCGTATTATTTTATATATCAATCTGTGAATTAATCTGCTCATACAACATCTCGAAAACAGAACTACTGGTTTGTACAAAATAGTTCTTCTTTCAGATTTTACGCATATTAAACATCCCTCCGCTCGGGCGTCACCTTCAAGATGGTTTTGTAGTGTTTAGTGATGAAAAAGATATCGGCACTTTGGCCCTTACACCGATATATCTGTTAGTCGGATGTTCGTTACCTATTTGGATACATCCGTCACCATGTGACGTTACAGACTCGGCTATGTTTAATTTACTACCTTTACTAAGCGGATTACTGTCTATTGGTGTGGGAGATACAGCAGCTAGTATAATCGGGTCAAATTACGGAAAACACTTTTGGCCAGGTAACAAATTGGAAATGATAAATTATTAATAAGTTGCACATAGTTTCTCAATGTGGTAAACGGTGATTCCTTGAAGGGTTGATCACAAATTTGAACGATATGATGATCTAATTATTGAAATTATTTAAATGCTGATTATTCGAATGCCCAAAAATAATTTCTTTATATACATTAAAAAATTATTATAATTTACCAATTAAATTGTGCAAACTAATAATAAAAAAACAGTTTCTATGAACTAACACAAATGCTGTCTTGTTTTACCATAACAAATGCTTCAGTATAATACAAATATTTTCTTGCTTTACCATAAATTAAAATGATATCCATCAACTACGAGTTGCTATACACGCAAGCCATTTTTGACACTAACTACTAAAAAAACTATTGTAAACACTGGCAACAACACCTGTAAAATCGGATTTCAGTATTCGGAATCGCTGAGGCCATGTGGCTTTCCACGCGTATTACGAATGACACTAGAAACTACAGTTGTCCAGCTATGTAATGGTTGAAAGTACTACAATAATTTTTTTCTCGGAAACTAAGGATTTTACTAAAATTTTTTTACGATATTAACTCCATTTCTCATGTCGCATCTATTCCCATTTTTTTTGGATAAGTTGTGAATCACCCTGTATATAAACTTTAATAAAATTAAAAGCAAATTAAATTTAATATAGCATTTCGTTTGAAATAAATCAAAATATTCGTGAATCGAAAACCTTGAACTTCTAAGGTCCACAATTACTTATTTTAACTTAAATTATACTAATTATCAGCTGTTTTGTTTCTACTAGTTAGAAAAATAGACAATTAGTTCAAATGTCTTTAATATTCAAAGCTCTTCAGGGTACATACAATAAAATATTGAAAGTGCATTATTGATAAAAGTATTTTGTTATTATAAAATTAACATTGCGTTTTCAGGTTCGAAGAAGACTGTTGAGGGAACTGTTGCATGTATTTTGGCCCAAATTGGCCTCGTACGTTTACTAATGTACTTTGGTAAGTTCTCTAATAATTTTTAACTAAAATATGTAACAAAAAATATTTTGCTTATATTTTTTCATTATACTAATTTATGTTATAAAATATCTTTTAGATGCGCTGGAATATTTGTCTTTCGGACAAAATATCAGACTGTATCTAGCGATATTGGTAGGATCGATAGTTGAAGCAAGAACAACACAAATCGATAATTTAGTTTTACCTTTACTCATGTATATTATTCTAATTTAATGTGTGCATAAATTTGATAAATTTCGATACTTTAAGAATAAATTTTGGCGATCATTTGTAATGTTTTTGAACCTTTCATATTAAAGCAAAAAAAATAAATTTTTTACATTATATTTTTACTGTTGTATTAAGAATAAATTATCATTGGACTGATTGAGTTTTAACATTGTCATAGCAAGTACTGAATAAAGTGACCATATTTTATTTTACATACTGTAAGTATCTGTTAAAATTAGAGAAAATATATACTTTTTTCATTATTCGTTTCCAATATATTTATATTGTTCCTGTGATAACGTAAAAATTTAAAAGTTGACAAGTGGCAGAAAAAATATTTGTCAATAGCCTCGAGTTTGGCCAAACTTATCATTAACGCCCTGTATATTTAATAATTTTTGGAACTCCTTAAAATGATACACCCATGGAATCGCATTCCCTGCACGTCTTACCAATTACACACCTGGACCGCAAATATAGGGGTACAAGAGTATAAGTTATTCTCAATACTTAAAAAAAGGTTTTATTTGCAACAAAATAACATTCATTCATATAAAAAAATATATTTTTTGACATACATTAAAAAGCTAAATTTACGAACCCGTACGTTAACAAATACTTTCACAGGCCTTTAGTATCACAGAGAAAGTTGCGTTTATGAATTTTTCTGTGGAATCGCCGTAATTACAGTTTTAACTTCGGTATATTGACTAATTCCGTACTGTCCCATTTCCCTGCCGTGGCCCGAATCTTTGTAACCCCCGAATGGTGTTTGTGCGCTTAATACATTATAAGTATTAACCCAGACGGTACCAGCCTTTATACCTTGCACTAGATAATTAATCTTATCGATGTCCTTAGAGAAAATGGCCGAGGCAAGGCCGTAGTTGGTTTTGTTGGCACGTTCGATTAGTTCGTCTAAGTCTTTGAAGCGCATTAATTGTTGGACAGGGCCAAAGATCTGAAACAGATAATTAGATCAACAACAACTATGGGGCGTTCCACGCCAAATCGGACGATTTGAAAAATCTTAATTTTTGATTTCCTCAATTTTTTGATATTTTTTAGTCAAAAGAGCTTTTCTGGTAAATTTTGTGATTTTTTTGATTACTTTTTCAGAAGATATCAAATTTTCAAAAAAATCGCTCTTTTTTGGTTTTTTGTTCATAACTTTTTTAATAATGGTCCAAATTAAAGCTTTTTTTTTAATCTTTGTTTTTAGTTGGCCTTTGCAGAAAAAAATTCAAAAAAATATTTAAAGTGTTTTTGATTAAGATTTTTGAGTTTGAAATTTTAAATCGTGTTTGAGTGTTTCGATTTTTTTGAAAATTTTTTACTTCAAACTACTATTCTTTTAACAACTTTTCCGGTCCTGGGCCCTCTATAATTACTAATTTTAATACTTTTTAATTGTCAATAAATGTTTAAAATCAATAAGTAAACGTTAAGTATATTTATAAACAATTATAACAAACGGTTTTTTTAATTTTCGTGTTTTTTTTTTAATTTTACATAAACGATTATTTTGTGAACTAGAATACTCCTTAGCTAATATATTTCCGTTGCCCCTTGGAATGATTGAATTAAATTTTTGGGTCCCTGTGATTGACTTAGCTGTATTGTATCGCAAATCTAATTTTTCTTTTGCATCTAAATAAAAAAAAATAGTAATTATGGAGGGCCCACAACTGGACTGGTCTTAAAAGTTGTTAAAGGAATAGTAATTTGAAATAAAAAAATTTCAAAAAAATCGAAAGAATACTCACTTTCAAAAACACTTTTTTTGTATTTTTTTCTATAAAGGCTATCCAAAAACAAAGATTTAAAAAAAAAGCTTTAATTTGGACCATTATTAAGAAAGTTTTGAACAAAAAACCAGAGCGATTTTTTTGAAAATTTGATATCTTTTGAAGTAACCAAAAAAAAAATCTCAAAATTTACCAAAAAGGCTTTTTCGAGGGGTACTAAAAAATATCAAAAAATTAAGGAAATCAAAAATCAAAATTTATCAAACGGTCCACTTTGGCGTGGAACGCCTCATATATATTTTAAACATTCATTTTGTTAGTTTCTGTTAGATTGACTTTTTTTTTATTTTCTCTCGTTACAGCTTTTTTGTTCAACACACTATTATTTGCCATTTGCATCCTCCTCTTCTGTAATAAATAAATAATAAATAAATAAATAAAAAGAGAAATAAAAATATTTACTATTATTATATTATTTACTTATTTTTTAAAGCACTGTGTTTAGTTTATGAATTTCAGTATCAATAAGCTCTGACATTAACTAAATGAACAACATAATATCGATACACCTGATATGATATGACAACAGGCTGGTAGGCGGGCAAAAAAACAAAAGAGTCAATATAAAATATGATGAAACAAGAATGGCTAAATATGTCACCCCTTCATAGTATTACATTTATAATAGTTTTCAGTTTATTCTCTACTGCAGACGGTATCCGAGATAGCAATTTATATCATCAAATTGAAAACACCGTTTGAAAAATTAAAAATTTTCGAATCTGTACTTCTATATAAAACCTGCAGTTATTAAGGCATACGTACATACAACATTTACATTTGCTCGTGTAAGAAAATATGCTTCCATTGTAAAATTAACGATGCTATAAAAAATTGACTCACCTCTTCCTTGGCGATAACGTGGTGATCCTCCACATCAGCAAAAACTGTAGGTTTAACAAAGTATCCTTCTTCACCATGCCTTTCACCTCCATGAAGTAATTTCGCACCATCCTTAACACCGTCCTCGATTAGAGAAAGTATTTTTTTCAGTTGCACCTCATCTACTTGTGGTCCTTGTTCGGTTTGAGGATCAAATGGATTTCCTGCGTATTTATAACAAATATGTTAATTTGGTTTTAAAAATAATTGCAATAGTCGCATTTACAACACTCACCAACTCTACGTTTTTTGGCACGTTCAACAGATCTTTCTACAAATTCATCATAGATAGAATCTTCAACAAATGTCCTGGAACCAGCGCAGCAAACCTGACCTTGGTTGAAGAAGACGGCGAAGTGTGCAGCTTCGACGGCCTGTTCAATATCAACATCGGCCAAAATGATGTTGGGGCTTTTTCCTCCCAACTCTAGCGTGGTGCGTTTTAGGTTGAATTCGCCAGAGGCTTTCTGAATCTTCTTTCCCACTTCTGTCGATCCCGTAAAGGCAATTTTGTCGACCTGAATTTAAATTTCCTTGGTTTATTTGAATTTTGAAGACTGGTAATAAAAATAATAATATACCATACCTTGGTATTTTCGACTAAGGCTGCACCGGCATCTCCAAAACCAGGCACTACATTAACCACCCCCGGGGGAAAACCAGCTTCTTTGATAAGCTGTGCTACGTACAAAGCCGTCAGTGGTGTTTGTTCTGCCGGTTTTAATACTACGGTATTGCCTGTCGATAGAGCAGGTGCAAATTTCGTTACCATCATCAGAAGTGGGAAATTCCATGGGATAATCTGACCGCACAGTCCAACAGGTTCGTGGCGAGTATAACAAAGGAATTCGCCGTCCATCGGAATGGTTTTTCCATGATTCTTATCTGACCAACCCGCCATGTATCGAAGCATTTTAATGCTGCCAAGCACGTCAAGGGAGTAGGCATAATGGTAAGGTTTCCCGTTGTCCAAGGTTTCCAAAGTCTAAAAATGCTCTATTTGTTAAATATTGTTATTTTTTCCTGATAGGATTCAGACATTTTTTTGGATTAGCTCTACTACAGTGGTAACATATCTATGAATTTAGTATGAAACTGTTCTTTTACTTATACCTAGGAGTTATTTTGCGTTATTAATATTTAAAGAAAAAAATTTGACAGATGCAAGTGATATCAAGTGGATTTTTGGTACCTGTACAAAGAGCATAACTAACACTAGATTATAGTGTATCAACAAATTAAAACATTTAATACTAGGCGTTTCATTTTTGCTGTTACATTTTGATAACTTCAAATAGCTATAACTTTGTTAACTTAAATGGAACACCTTGTATTTTTTTTTTACTCTGTCCTATGCAGATTGAAATTTCTTTTCAAGGCATGTAAGCATTGTTAGGGTCACTGTTACTATACTTTTAGAGATATTTGCAATTTTCTATTTTTTGGATAGTTTTTCTCATATCAGACCTGTTGTCAAATTGGCCATGACCAGAAACACCAAAAACAATTGAAATAATTTGACATTTGTCAAGTTAGTTGTCAAATAATTGTTGTGTCTGAATAGTTTTTGTTGAAAATTTAAATAAAAATGCCCGGGTTATCGTTTAAGTTATACTAATGAGGATTATTTTAATTTGCCTGTTATTTATAAAAAACGTGGCAAAGTAATTTCAAGAACCTGTAGAGAATTTGCTGCTTTTTTCCACAAATAACAAACAAAATAATACGTAAAATTTTGGCCAGTGGTGTAACATTTTCTTTATTTCAAAAGGGATCTGGTTACGACGATAAAAATTTGCCTAAATATTTGTCCAAATTTTATAGGCTTCTGATGAATCAAGTTAATTTGTAATTTTATTAAATCAATCAATGTTTATTGCACACCTTTTGAACTGCAGTCATATGGCACATTATTACATTATCTCCTATAATACAGCATATTCCATTATTGGAAATCTTTATTTACAATCATCATGATCTCAGCATTTTAATGCAATGAATGTATTAAACAGAAAAATGATAAGGTAAATTGTTATTGTAAATGATCATTTTTAATAGATATGTTTTTGGTATCATATTCTGCTGTCTGAGAAAGACAAAGTAAAAAACCTGTTTAGTCTGTAGGTCAATCTCATAAATTTCATATAGTGGATTAAACCATTACATCAGACAGCTTAAGCCATCAGATTATACAGATATTTTAATATATTAAATTGTTGATGGTTTTGTTGATATTTTAACGAAATGATTTTTTCGAAAAATGTTTTTTCTACAAAACTGTTAAAAGTGAGCGTTTTAATTGTCATTTTTGATGTTAAAAATGTAATTTTTTGACACGCGTGTTAAAAGTAAGTTACTTTTAACACTAGTGTTAAAAGTAAATCAAAGTTTATTTATTTATTAAAAAAAAAATGACATTTTTAACATCAAAAATGACAATTAAAAAGCCCACTTTTACAGGTTTTGTAGGAAAAATAGTGTATGATATACGTGTTAAAAGTGATTTTATTTTGTTCGTGAAGTTAAAAAACTCGCTACGTTTGTTTTTTAATCATCTTCACTCACAAAATAAAATCTTACTTTTAACACGTATATCATAAATAGCTATTTCCTTCTAAGAAAAAATATACAATTAAAAAATGTAAAATGATTATACCATGTTTGTATTATTATTAAATAAACTTTATCGTAATGTTTTATCAGTAATTTACAGCCCTGAATAAAAATTACAAAACAACACTATAAAATTTGGTAATTTAAGTTCAATGTTTACAGAAACATGTATTTTTATTTTTCTGTGACTTGTTAAATAAATTTGAGTAATGCTGACTTTTAGAATTAATTATAAAAATAAGTCATCCTTTTACATCACTTAAGGAAAATTGGGACATCACGGCGCATTTATTTTTTCAAAATTGTTCTTTCTGATTTGCAAAAAGGTAATTGCTAAAAAATTTGGATTGATGAAAATGTTCTCAACTAACACATTAATAGTGTGGTTTATTTATTATTTATAAAGGTCTTGAAAAATACCAAGGTGCATTTTGTATCTTTGCGAAGTAAAAGCAGGACTCTTTAAATTTTATCAAAGTATGTATAACCCACTTCAATAGCTGAACTCGAAACCTACCTACATACTATGTGCATGTAATTCATCGAATTTTGAGAAATGGTTAACCACCAAATAAAAAATAAAATTACATAACTAAACTTTAACATACTGCGATATACGCTGCGTCCCTTTCTATAAGATCTGCTAATCTATTTAAAAGATTTCCCCTCTCCGATGCATCCAATCGTCTCCATACCGAACCAAATTTAAAAGCATCATGAGCTGCTTCGACGGCTAAAGCAATGTCTTCCTTAGTTCCTTGCTGAATATCGGTGATGACTTTGCCGGTGGTAGGATTTATAGTTCCAAAGGTACTTCCCGTTTTCGATTTGTGCCATTCATTGTTGATAAAGATCTTCAAAAAAATAGAACTAATAGTACCATGCAAATTTATTAGAATGCATGTTTAAGAACTAAATCTAATATAGGTACAACTTAATGTAATGAATATTGAAATATGTGGTGGGCCATTAGTGTGAGAAAGTAAAATAACTCCCTTGTTACTCATAATACAGAAAAAAAGTTTGTACAAAAGTTGCACAGAATCAAGAAATCTAAACTACAAAATTAATTTGAAACGTACAGGGTGATGAGTAAAAACGGGACACGCCAAATATTACATTTTCTAAATGGAACACCCTGTATATTTTTAAACATGGATTTCCGAGATAATTCTATATATGGCAATATAAACAGTTTATCATTTTTTATCATTTATTGCGGGGTTGCCAAGTTATGTAGAAAATTCTTTGAATTTTGGAAAAACATGCCCTCGAAGAAGTTGTATTAACTTTCAGCTACTAACACTTGGAACAAAATAATTAGACAGGGTTATAGGCAAATATTAGACAAAGGCTCCTATATTACCTAATATCGATATTTTATACAGGGCATTTTTTATAATACAATCATTTTCAGAGAGTTTAACTTGATTTTCTAAAATTTTTCAAATGGAACAACTTGTATTTTATTATTCTATTTTATTCATATATCGGTCCACTTCAACTTTTATTAAGCATGTTCAATATCTAAAATTGTTAGTTTTTAAGACATAGCAACATTTCTGAAAAAACTTAATTTTGATTATTTTACAGAATACCACAAATAAATATTAACTAATAAAATTAACTCAAAATAGAATGATAAACTATGAATTGACAACTTGACACAATGTGACAGTTTTTTTCCAAAGCCATTTTGTGCGACCTAAAATAATAAAAATTAGGTTTTTCCAGAAATGTTGCTATATCTTAAAAACTAACAACAGGTGTAGAACATACTTAATAAGAGTTGAAGTGGACTGATATGTGAATAAAATAGAATAAAATACAGGGTGTTCCATTTGAAAAATTTTAGAAAATCAAGTTTGAACTTTCTTAAAATGATCGTCTTATAAAAAATGCCCTGTATAAAATATCGATATTAGCTAATATAGGAGTCTTTGCCTATAACTCTGTCAAATATTTTTACTCCAAGTGTTAGTAGTTGAGAAAGTTAATACAATTTCTTCCAGGTCATAATTTTTCCAAAATTCAAAGAATTTTCTTCATAACTTGGCAACCGCGCACTAAAATATTAAACTATTTATATATAGAATTTTCTCAGAAATCCATACGTTTAAAAATATACAGGGTGTTCCATTTAAAAAATGTAATATTTAGCATGTCCCGTTTTTACTTATCGCCTTGTATGTTTCAAATTAATTTTGTCCTTTAAGTTTTTTGGTTCTGTACAACTTTTATATAAACTTTTTTTCTGTATTATGAATAACAAGGGAGTTATATTTTACTTTCCCACACTAATGGCCCACCCTGTATGTAAAATTATACAAAATAAAAACATTAAAAACTAATCATAGTATTTAACCGTCGTGGAATTTATTTTTAAGATTAAAACAGTGTTGAATCATAAGTACTGACAATGAGATTGCAAAATTTTGAAACAAATATGATAAAAAAAATATAAACGTAGATATCATTTTATGAGTGGATTAATCGAGATAAATTTTTTCATAAATAATAATGCTGACTTTCTTAAAATGTAGGTACGTAAGATTTGTTTGTAGTTTGCAACATTGTTTCTATCTCATAGGTCAAAAGGAAAGTTGATAATGAGTTTATTATTAAACACATTGTATAACATATTATTGATAGGTACCCACATAAAGATAGCTTATCTATCTATCCTTATAATTACATCATAAAGAAAATCTAGGTGTAGGTATAGGTACATAATAAAAACATGTTAAGTACTCATATCTGCAAAACATTTTTAAAATACAAAATTTCTAAGGATTCGTTAAATTTTAAGGGTATAGAAAGAGACGAGGAACATATGGAAATCCGTTAATTTTTTTGTTATACAATATAAATTTTACATTTTAAATATTTATCAAAAATAATAAAAAGCAGCACTCAAGTAAATTTTTTGGTCAGACAGTAATGGGTGGTAATGGGAAAACCCCCCAAATCCCAAATATGTACTCTGTTGGATCACGAAATAACCACCAACGCACATTTTAAATTTCAACAGGATGCAGCATCAGCATCAAAATACTAGGTACCAGAATTTTTTATTTGTTTAGGTGATTTTCGGCACATTTAACATGGTTTATTGTAAATTGTTATTTACCAAAGAGAGGAAAAAAATATGTACAGGGCGATTTAGATTTAATCTGGAATCGATAGAACAGGTTAAAATAATGTTCATTCATCGATTCCTGAAGTTATCCAGATTAAACCTGAATCACCCTGTATATCTACTGTTTAATTATTGTAAAAATAATTAACTGCAGAATATAGCAGTGCATACTGTACATCTACCCATACCTACAAGAAAATAATCTGTAGTGCAAGTTTAAATATGCAAACTGGTAAAAATATATGTATGTACTACCTTTGTAACGGTGCAGCTATAGTGGATCGTCGAAGCATTAGATTCAGATAGAGGCTAAAAGAGCCACGAGCGGCAGCTATACACATAATAAGTCGTCGTATCACTATAGCTGTGCAGATGCTAATGCATGTGTAAGTCTCATAGCTGTTGCTTGTGCCTCAGTTAGCTCTATCTCTATCTGAATCTGAAGTCTCGATGTTCCACTATGTTGGTACCCTGAGCGCACAATTAAAATATCTGCACTTGACAACCTTATATGCTTTTAAAATCAATCTTTAATACTTTAATTATTAATAATAATCAAATTTGAACTTACCCCAGAATAGAGCACCTTGGGCGATTCCACCGGCTTTGGTATAGCTTCTGCAGAATAGTTGCATTTTGACAATTTTGTAACGGTGTTGCGGACCAATCTCAACATTTTGTATATTAAAAATACGTGATCAAAATAACGCTTAAATAGCTCCGTAATTCACAGTACTTCTACTACACGTTTAATGACAAACACCAAACTGCCGGAAAATTGTATAATCAAGGAATGTTACAGATTTATATAAAATCCTGAAGAGATAGAGGAACCAAAGCCTGCAATTTATCTGCGCGCAGGCTGTCGTTTTCCGCGTGTGGTCGACTTAGGTGGGGGGAATATTATTTTAAAACAAACTAAACTTGTAGTGTGAGCTGTTAAATTGTAAAATAGTATAGTGGGTGCAGGGAGGGAAAAGTAGGTAATTGAATTGACAGTATGCGTAGTAATATATCTTATCTTTATCTTAGTAAATCTATGGACAGTCAACCCAGAATGGAAATCAGACCACAACTCCACAACAGTAATGTTTTATTTAGGAATTTCTCCCGCCTTTTATATTTATCATGAATGTCACGGTAGATTAATATCTATTTATACTTTGCGATATCAACATTTCATGTTTCTAATCAAATTGTGAAAACACTTCAAACGCCTATTTTTTGTCAACATGCGATGCTGTAAAGTAGATACAGCAAATATTTAGCACATGCTACCTCTGTGAATATACTGTTTTTGTCTGCTGCACATATGGAATGTGTAGGCTTAATAGAAATACAACCATAAGACAAAATCACTTGTCCCCTGCTCTATAGACTGGTGCAAGAACAGGAAAACAAAAAACCCCGCGAAGCAGAAACCCGCCCCCTGCAAAGCTGCGGCCTTTGATTATGTTTTTCATAAATGACCTTGGATGGGGTGGGGTCTGGCGGGACTATCGCTCTTTACACCCAAGAGCCAGGTCCTGTCATCCTGGACCGCTGCCGTGATGGGGATTTAGAGGTTCGTGTGACCTTCTCATGTCCTGGCAGGGAATAAGCGTCAACATGCGAAGACTGGCTAATAACGGAGGCCGCCATTTTAAAGTCTCGGATACGAGAGACCTCGATGTTACCCCAGTATTACCAGGTCACTTCTAAAATTTCTTTGTGAAACAAAAATTTACATAAAAACTTGCTGATAATAGAATTATAAATAATCAAACATCCTGCTTGCTTGTGAAATAAACTGCAAACAAAACAAAAATTTACATAAAAACTTGCTGATAATAGAATTATAAATAATCAAACATCCTGCTTGCTTGTGAAATAAACTGCAAAACATTTTAAGATGAGGAATTTTCAAAATTCACCCTGAAATTTTAGTAATAACTTTTTTTTTAAATATATTTTGATATAGGGCTCTATTTTATTTGCGCAAATATTTTCCTAATAGATTAGCCCTCTTTGTAGGGATAGGAATAGTAGACAAAAATACACATAGTTTGGTTATTTCAACTGAATATTGAACAAATTTTACTGGAACTAGATTTTTAACATTAACATTGACTAGATTGACCAAGTACCGCTATTAGTGTTCTGTTCCCCAAAATGGATGTTGATTGCTGTAGTTTAGGAATTTTATTTGACATTAATGTCTCCAGAGTGACTAAAGTACCTACTACAATCATTGTTCTCGTTTGCCTCGAAATGGCGGTTTTGTACCATTTATACAGGGTGCTAGAAGTTTAACTGCCTTAATTTTAATAGACTTATATGGCACGAGTCCTAAACTTTACCATTTCCGAGAAAAAAATTATCAAAATTTTCACCTGATGTACAAAATTTCGATTAATTAAGGAATATTGACATAACTGCGTGCATACAATACCATAAAATATAATGTTTATCACTTTTTTGAACTTCTTTATGCTTAATTCCAAAAAATAATTAGCGTTGTAAATTTAAAATTCGATAAAATTCATATTGAGCAATGTGACAATGGCGCGCCAGATAACACGAGGTATTATAAGCTGTCCAGCATTACGCAAATCAGTTGGTATCTGGAATTGGACCGTGTCTGTGTTTTTGCGTACCACTATTTCCTTTTCTTGAGGCGTTTTCCAGCGAGTGCGCGAAAATTGGATTCAAAAGGTGTCGTGAGTGCATCGAAAATGGTGATGAACATTTTGGGCATATGTTGTAGTTTGTTTTGTACTTGTCTGTTTAAAAATTACTGAATTTTGTGAAATAATTAAATTATTTTTAATTCATATGATTATTTGGATGACGTGAATCTTTAGGTATTTTAATTACATTTTTTTCAAATTCATAATTTGATTAAAAGTCAAGTTCTTGTTTTAAGAGATTCATAATCACAAAAAAATTAATAGAGATAAAATTTAAGCACAACACTATCTTCGTACTACAAAATCGATACATTTTATTTCATGGAAAACAATTGTCTTGAAATTTACTAATGTTTTACAATAATTACATTTTTTCCGTAGGACACGTCTGCTGCCACATTGTGATGAAACTCCCCAATATTAATACTTGCTGTATTTTGAAAACTGTTAATATTACGCTCCTGTAATATACAACTTTTTTGTTCATTTATGATTACTTTATCTCATACTGAAGTAATGGCAGTCAAACTTCTTACACCCTGTCCCTGTATAAAAAGAATACTAAAATTTAAATGTTACAGTATTGCGCAATAAATTGTAAAAAATATGAAAATTTATTAATTGCATAAGGTTGGCAATAGACTTTCCCCAAAATGGCAGTTGATTGCTGCAGTTTAGGAACTTTATTTAACAATAAAGTCTAGTACCACAAACAATGTTCTCATTTACCCTAAAATGGCGGTTTTATGCCATTTATATAAAAAGAAAATAGTATTATTCATAGAAGTATCGAGATATTGCGCAATAAATTGTAAAAAATATGTGAAAATGAATTAGTTGCATAAAAATGTATCGAAAATTCAAACTCAAATTCCAAGGTTGACAATAGGGACTTTGCCACGACAGTTAATTACGGTGCTTTATCAAAATGTAGGAACCTTAATTAACATGAACGTGAAGCGCCATCTTGTGGACTGATTCCAAAGTTTAATATTCAACAGCATATAATGAATTAAAATTACCTGAATCACACGAAATTCCGCATCGCTGCACTGCACTGCTGGGCCATTTGTGGACAATCGAGTTTATAGCCCGGTTGCCCAGTGCGGCTGTGTTTGTGCCTCGTTTGCCCAAAGTTATTTGGATGACGAAAATTTTTAAATACTTTGTCCAATTTAATCATTACCATTTTCTTTTGACTTAACGGGATTAGGTGGTACAAGGGTTTAGTCATAACGCTTGAAGCAGATTTTATTTATTACAAAAATAACATTCATCCATACAAAAAAAGTACAGTTTTTAACACACGTTTTGGTATGGTTACTAAATGGTGTGCCAGCTAATCGATTATTAACTGCTTTTATATATTAAAAAAATTAAAAACAATAAAATGACTGCACAAGATAGTGTCAGTCGAATGTGTAAATAGCAAGCACACCAAATAATACGTTACAAACATTTATGGAACAGTATGTTAAAAAATATTTTTACAGGCCTTAGGTATCACAAAAAAAGTCCACATCAAAAGTCGTGTTTACGAATTTTTCTGTTGAATCGCCGTAATTACGGATTTAACTTCGGTATATTGATTAATACCGTACTGTCCCATTTCCCTGCCGTGGCCTGAATCTTTGAAGCCTCCGAATGGCGATTGCGGGGATAACACGTTGTAAGTATTAACCCAGACAGTACCAGCCTTTATACCTTGCACTAGATAATTAATCTTATCGATGTCCTTAGAGAAAATGGCCGAGGCGAGGCCGTAGTTGGTGTTGTTGGCACGTTCGATTAGTTCGTCTAAGTCTTTGAAGCGCATTAATTGTTGGACAGGGCCAAAGATCTAAAACAGATAGATCATTACGTGAGATTCTCTTGAGAAATTTTATGTCCTATTATTATGCAGGATATTTGGTAACGAACGGAAAACATTCACTTTGACAGTAGATTACTTGGTTCAATATAAATGTTGATATCGTGCCATTATTTGAGAAAAATTGCTTCCGTAAATCCACGGTAAAAATTCAATGATTTCTATTAAAAATTTACTCACCTCTTCCTGGGCAATGACGTGGTGATCCTCTACATCCGCGAAAACTGTAGGTTTAACAAAATATCCTTCTTCGCCGTGCCTTTCACCACCATGAAGTAATTTCGCGCCACCCTTGACTCCTTGCTCGATTAGAGAAAGGATTTTTTTCATTTGTAGCTCATCCACTTGTGGTCCTTGCTCGGTTTGGGGATCAAACGGATTTCCTAAATATTCATAATAAATACGTGAATCGTGAAAAAAAAAATATATTTACGACACTCACCTACTCTACGATTTCTGGCACGTTCGACGGATCTCTCTACAAATTCGTCATAGATAGAATCTTCAATAAACGTCCTGGTACCAGCGCAGCAAACTTGACCCTGGTTGAAAAAGACGCCAAAGTGTGCTGCTTCGACAGCTTTTTCGATATCGACATCGGCTAAAATTATGTTGGGGCTCTTACCCCCCAATTCTAGTGTGGTGCGTTTTAGGTTGAATTCGCCAGAGGCTTTCTGTATCTTCTTCCCTACTTCTGTTGATCCCGTAAAGGCAATTTTGTCCACCTGAAATTAAATTCTCATGACCTATTTGAATCTAAAATAAAACCTATAAAAGATATAAAGGAATAAAATAAAATGAAGTATTCCATTTAAAAAAAAAGCTCAGAAACAGTGACTAGCTTTAAACCATGTGTATTTTATAGTAAGAAAGATAAAGCAACAATATTTATAGGGGAGATAGCTAGAACCCTAAGCTTTACCGTTACCTGATACCATTCGAAAGAGAATAAAATTGTGTATCAGAATATAGAAAAACATACAGTTCCATTTAAAAAAGCAGACTTATGAAGGTTTGAAGTTAACTAAACTTGGCATTAAATTTCTGGCACCCTGTATGGTCTGTACGGCCTATAAGTAAAATAATTGAAGCAATTTTTACCCAAAATTGCATTTGTTAAAAAATTGTATACACTGCTAATTTAACAATATTTCCGTCTGGTCAAATAACAAAGTTGGGCATATAACTGTCAAAAATACGGTATTGTGTATGGGTAAGTCAATCTTAACTGGATTCTGATCTAAATAATTTCAAAGAGAAAGTTAAAAGATTAATACTTTAGCTTTTACAGTCATGGGCTTAGCGAGAGGGGGGAGAAGGGGGGTGCACGGCCCACCCTAGTAAGCCCGGTGCCCATCCCAGAAAAAAAGACCTAATTCAGTAAGTGCGTGACTTTTTTTTTGTATCAAATCAAATATCAGTAAGCAGAGATTTTTTTCTAGAGGCCTCTAGAGATAAAATATGTGAGAAATTAGCACAAAAGTACTAAAAGCAGAATATCAATATATGGGCATTCCACGCCAAATCGTACACTTTTAACCATGACCTCTTTCGATTTGGCTGAAACTTTTTATTGTTTTCTACCCCATTGAAAACCCTCAGAATTTTTTCAAATTTTTTCACCCAACTCAAAAAAAGTTAAGAATTTTTGAAAAAAATTGCTTTTTTAAAAAAAAATAACCATAACTTCTTCAAAAATTGAATTACCGGGTCGTTTTGTTTTAAAAATTTTCGTTTTTAAATGTACTTTAAAAAAAAATATTGAACCAAATTATCGTGTTTTTTTAAATTTTCGAAAAAACGAAAATTTCTCGATTACCATTTCTGAAAAAAAATTTTTTTCTTATAAAAAATTTTGACATTTATAAATCCTCAAATTATTTTAGAGTGGTGTTTTATCGTTTTCTATTTTTTATTGATTGAAAAATTTTTTTTTCAAATTTATCTTATTTCACAACACCATTAAGAAAATGTTTGAAAATGTATATAGAATCCCAAAATTGAAAAAAAATATATGAAAGAAATAATTGAGTGGTAAACATGAAACAAATTTCGATTTTTTTTGAAAAAGTTAAGAAAAAAATAGATCGTTTTGAATAATTTTAATAAAACAAAGAAAATGAAAAAACAAGTTGTTATTTGGTCCATTTTTCACTGGGCCCACTGGGCTTTAAAAAAAGACATGCAACGCATTTGAACTCAAATAAATCATTTTGAAACCATCCCCTTTTGACTTTTCGAAATTGTCATCAATCGCTGCATAGAATAAATTTTTTCAAAATTGGGATTTTATATACATTTTCAAAAATTGGTGATATGTGAAATAAGCTAAATTTGAAAAAAATTTTTTCAATCAATAAAATAAATATAAAACGAAAAAACACCACTGAAAAAATTTGAGGACTTATAAAAAATGTGTTTTTATAAGAAAAAAAAAAATTTTCAAAAATGGTAATCCGAGAAATTTTAATTTTTTTTCGAAAATTGAAATAAAAAACAGTGAGATAGGTCCAGTTAATTTTGATCTATTTTTTTTCAGAGTACATTTAAAAACAAAACTTTTGAAAAAAGAACGTCACAATAACACAATTTTTGAAAAGGTTATGGTTATTTTAAGAAAAAAAAAGCTATTTTTTTTTAAATCCATAGCTTTTTTGTTTGGTGAAAAAATTAGAAAAAATTCTCAGAGGTTTTCAATGGGGTAAAAAACAATAAAAAAGTTTCAGTTAAATTGAAAGAGGTCAGGGTTTTTAAAGTGGCCGATTTGGTGTGGAATGCCCCATGTGCAAGTAATAGATAGAACATACAATAAATTTGTTGTTTAATTATCTTCTGTAGAGACATTATTAAATTACATACATAATTATATTCATATAATCGTTCAGAGTTTACCAACATTAAAATGACCTTCACAACAGAAAACGCCTGGCTATTTATTGCACAATTCTCACAGGAATAATAGAAGATTAGCTGGATTCTAAGAGCATTAACACAATCAAAGATAAAAAAAAGTGTTCCATACATTTTTATGAATATTGTACTTTATGTGTATTTATACATCATTAATCGACAGCTTAAGTATTCATTAATCAACAATTTCAGATAAAATATGAACATGTGATAAGAGCATGGCGAGTTTTGGTAAACATTTCTAAATAAGTTTGTTTACTAAGTTTATTATTTGATTTAAGCCTTGTAAAAATATAATCTGCATATCAAATAACCTATTTTAATATATAAAAAGTCTGTATATCTCACAATATTTAATTTGAAAAAAAAAGGAATAGTCTTTTTTCAAATAAAAGATTGTAAAAAATATAGACTTTTAAATATTTTAATAAATTCAGTTGTTACACTAATAAACTTAAAAAAAAATTGAATATATGTACTATACCTTTGTATTTTCAACCAATGCTACACCAGCATCCCCAAATCCAGGCACTATGTTAACAACCCCAGGGGGAAAACCGGCTTCCTTGATAAGCTGTGCTACATACAAGGCCGTCAGTGGTGTCTGTTCTGCCGGCTTTAATACTACGGTATTGCCCGTTGTTAGAGCGGGAGCAATTTTCCAAGCCAACATCAGGAGTGGGAAATTCCAGGGGATGATCTGACCGCACACCCCAACAGGTTCGTGGCGAGTATAACAGAAGAACTGACCGTCCATCGGAATGGTTTTTCCATGGTTCTTGTCTGCCCAACCCGCCATGTATCGAAGCACTTTAATACTACCAAGCACGTCGATGGAGTAGGCCTCGTGGTAAGGTTTCCCATTGTCCAGGGTTTCCAAACTCTAAAAGGAGTTTTCTATTTGTTAAGTGAAGGTTTTCCCGATGTGATCTGGACATTTTTTTTTTTTTAATTTATTCTAGTGATAACTCGGAACAGAATTCACAATATTGTCTCTCTAGTTTTTAATATAAATTCAAGCCTATTGAACCATGAATTTTGTTAATTTGTAACATATGGGAAAATATTAATACACTGAACAAGACTCCAGACAATATTATTATAAAGATATGATAACACGTCACTGGAGTTATTTAGCTAATATTTTATGTGATTTTAATAGACAGAAGTTTTTTTGTTCAACTTTCCTAAATGAAGAAACTGTAGACTAAGATTATCTGGTAGCATTTGTGCTCCCTTTGGTTAATATACAGTAATAAATATCATATTTCACGAATAAAAAATTTTAAACAATTTCAGAGCAAAATTATAGTTCATTACCTTTACTATCTTTACAATTGCCATTTATATATCTAAATTGTGACGTTAAGTATAAATTAAAATATTTTCAATCTAATTATTTAATAAATGCAATTTTCTGTTACCAATTCTCAAAAAATTAAAATATGCCTAAAATCAAATATTCGTTCATATTTTTAGAGATTTGCGGATGTCAAGACATTGAACGATACAATTAAAGTTTTTTTAGAAATAATGAAGCAATTTAATTTGCAATTAAATTAAATTAAATGTTTATTACACACCTTTGGAATTGCACTCATGTGTTAATATAAATCTAAAACAGCATGTCACATCATTAACATCCATAACGTTAGCACATTCCATTGTTGGAAATCTTTATTTACAAACATATGTATATCGGTTTATTAATTAAAGTAATGTATTGATTGAGTGAGTAATTTCAGACAAGCATTTTAATTTACACATGTTAATTACCAAATAAAATTACGTAACTGGTTTTTAACTTACAGCGATATACCCTGCATCCTTTTCCATAAGGTCTGCCAATTTATTTAAAAGACGTCCCCTCTCCGACGCATCCAATCGTCTCCATACCGAACCGAATTTAAAAGCATCATGAGCTGCTTCGACGGCTAGATCCATGTCTTTCTTAGTTCCCTGCTGAATTTCGGTGATGACTTTGCCGGTGGTAGGATTTATAGTTTCAAAGGTACTTCCCGTTTTTGATTTGTGCCACTCATTGTTGATAAAGATCTGGAAAAAATAGAATTAATAGCTGAATGTAATGTATGGTGAAAATGTTTGTAAAAATATTATACAAAATCAAAATACATATTAAAAATGGATACTTAGTGCTGAATTATCCATTAGATAAAATTTATTTTTATGATTAAAATAGTGTTAATCATATTAACAACAATGAGGTTGCAACATTTTTAAACAAATATGATAAGAATAAAATTATATTTAATTTTATTAGTGGATTATGTAATCTAGATAAACTTTTCCATAAACTTTCTTATAAAATAGGTGCTTAAGATTGTTTGTGGTTGGTAAAATTTATCTCATAGGTCAAGAAGAAGGTTAATAATGAATTTATTTATATGTATATCAAAAGATACAGTTATTAAATAATTAAATAATTATATAACAATAACATATATTAAAACAAAACTTACTATACGTTTACGTTTTAAATTAACCAGAATTGGAGTTGTTTTAGATTAGATCTTCTGGTTATTGTTAATATCTTTATATTTTTTAAAATTTGATTTAATTTTATTTAAAAATAAAAAATCAATAATTTAATAAACCAAACACATTTTCCTATATATTTTACAAAATTGATATTTAATTTTTTCTAAAAGTTTTGTGTTTTATATTTTGTTCTATTAATATTTATTAATTCTGTTCAGAAATGCAGAAACAGTAAGATCTTATCTATCGTGGCTATTTTTCTGTGTTGATAGAGCAACAAGAATACAAGATTATCTCCTTGAAACTCAGGTATATCTTCTTGAACTATTAACATTTAAACACTTTAACTTTTTATGTAGGTAATTATTAATTGATAGCTGTTTATGATACACCAAGACAACCGTGGTGGATTATGTCGAAATAATTTCTTTTTTTTTAAATAACGAAATTCGTCAAATTTTTCATTAGTTGAGAAAATATTAAAAATTCCATTTATTTTCAAAAGTAGTGATCACATACCCTGTATATGACTTTCTTGTTCTAAAAAATTGAAACGTAATCATGTTTATATATTTTTCTTATAGAAACTCCGTTTGTGATAATAACAAAAAAATGACAAATCATATAATTTTAGACTTTTGTATCCTGATAAAATATATCATATATGTAACTGTAAGGAAGGACATATTATAAATTGCCTGTATATATGGAAATTGACTATTCAGTGTGTTCTAAAGAAAACCTAGCCCTCGAAGTTTTGCACAGAGGGTAATTTTAAAAAAAAATTGTCGATATAATCATTTTATTTTAAGGATCATTTTCACCTAGTGGTAATGGTGATCACATTTTGAAATTATATATGATGTCGACGTTCCGTTTGTCTCTCCACCACCCCACCACCAAACCCCTCTCTCTTCCACCAAATGTTAAAATGAGTCTAGTCAAAAGTGTCAATCCATTTAAAAAATCGTGGCATTTTTTACAACCTTATTTTTTTTTATAATTTAAATCATAAGTAAATCTGAATAAAGAAACCGTGTCAAAAACCTAGATAAATCAAAGTGAAACAATTTTTATAAAAATAAAAGAAGTAAATCAGATCTAGACAAAAAAATAAGCTAGACACAGAACCGAAACTAATCATTTGTTCCAGATGCCTGACCACACGGACAACCAAAAAAAAAACACGAAATGCTGACTTACTTAAGTCTCACCCTTTTCGTTACCTTTTCCATTACTTAATGAAAAAATTAATGACCCTTACCAACCAAGCCTAATAATTCAATAGAAGCAGAATAGGACATTGGTAATTTTTTATTACAACAGTTTATTTTACCACAGAAAACAATTAATTATTTTTTAATTAATTATCAGTTCTACCAAAAATAACGAACATTAACATTAAATCATTAAATTCAATCACCTATCCCAATCTTCTACTATTAGTTTTAATTAATTATTATCTGTATATCTGTTATTCTTTTGTGCCTTGGTTGGGACAGCAATTTACATATTACAGGTAGATGGTATACATCTTAGACGAGACAAAGTGAAATAATTATATACAAGGGGTTTAAAAAATATATATGCTATTTTTACATTGGACACTAGATACTCATGCTCATGTTAAAACGACGAATATAATAACCTATCACCCTGTATTTTAGGCAATTTTTTAAATAAGAATTCAATGAAGTTGGAATGATGTTTACTACTTTGTACCATATATGTAATAATTATTAATGAGAAATACATTGTTATAATGAAAGAAAAGAAACATTTTGATTTTTTTTACTAAAAATATGTAATTCTTACAATTAGTAAATATATACTGCGATAACAAGCTTTTTACAACATCTTTATACACGATTGCTTTTAATTTTATGTATAATGATAACGGTTTGAAATAATTATAGTTAATATATACTTAAAAACATATTTAATAATTGGAAGCAACTACTAATGAAAATAATTTCCAATAGCTAACGCGATAACATAAGACTTACACGAAAAACGATTTAAATATATTTTAATATTGTGTTTTAGAGTTCAATTTTATGCTTGGCAGATTTATGATTGTAGATTAGAATTTAAAAAATTCACATGAGTATTGTTAGATCGTTTGTTCACAGTACAAAATTAGGTTTTCATTTTTATTCTTAATATACATGCTGTTCTCTAGGGGGGCATTCGATTTCCTTTCGACATGGACGTCGTTTTTTTCCGATTCCATGGCAAATCATGCATGTAGAAATCTTTATATTTTGCATTCACGAGATCAGAGGATGTTTTGTTCCTAGTGTATTATGTACAACAGTCAGACTCGATCGCATTTGATTCCAAACCCCAGATTAATCTGGGTCCAAATCCAAACCGAGAATCGTACAATTTTTGGGTCCAAACAACGTATTTTGAGCCTTATGTAAGCGTTGTATCGGAATGCGCATGCGTCCGACTGTTGGAAACTATTTTGGACTGCTCTAGGAACAAAGCTAATATATCGTCATATTTTAAATTTCAACTCACTGACTTAAATACTTTCTTCTTGAACGCTTATCTGTACAGATACTGGCCAAAGCTGGCGATAAGAATGAACAAATAGCTGTTTATTCAGTTTATTCAAAAAGGTGTTGCATCCAGCATATTTATATTAGAAGGGAGGTCAAGACACTTATATAGATACTTTGTTGTCCAGCATTATATTCACAGCGTGAAATTAATTATCATTATCATCTAAAGAAATTATGGACATGAGAAGATAACTTATTTTATTATTTAGGTATTCATATCTAAATAACAAATATAAAAATAAAACTTCTAAATAATGATATTTAGCAGATAAATATATAAATATCTAAACGATAATAAATTTTCCATTTACGTACAATAATATTAATAAACATACAGGAACAGGTATCTTTTTATATTTTCAGTAAATGCTCCTAATAATAAATGTTTTGAGATTGAGTCCGGAAAATACTACTTTTTCGAATTAGACTACTTATTTCTCGACTTATTTGGATATTGGTAGGTATAATATAAACGTGTAGATTCGCACGTCAAAAAAATTATTTTGCTACCAACAACGTATTGTTTTTATTAGGTAAGTAAATTAGGGTATAATTATTAAAGTCACGTTTGGAACGAGTTTTGGTTAATGCATGTTCTCGATTTAAATGTTGTCCAGACGACCTCGATTCCCACTTCGTAAAAAAAACATAACCCATCAAAAACCATTTTCACCAAATGTTATCAATATAATGCCTATTATTACACATGAAAACGAAGATACATTTTTTTCCAAAAGCTAACAAATATTTTTATTTGCTTATTAGGTAAAAATGGTTTTTTATTTCTACACGAGTAGTCAAAACACCCATGAACAAATCGAACAACATAGTGCAGTGGTTCAACTTTTAGTTACAATGAAACATTTAAATGTCATCTGTCTTAAATTTATCATTATTATTAGTATTATTACAGCAAAATATCAGTGCGAGTAATAATAAATCCTCGTTAGAATCTAACCCTGACACCCTGACCCTGACCATAATCATGGACGCACAATGGCAAATTACAACGAATTAGAATTATTAACGATATCATGATAAGTAGTATCTAATTTTTATATTAGGTTGCCACAAAAATTTAATGTACCTAGCATTTAAAGCAAATTTTATTTAAAACTGTCCAATCTTTTCGAATTGTCAGGCAGACTATTTAAAAAGTTAAAAATAAATAAAAAGTTAACTAAACCACCGCCTTCCAATTAGTATACGAATTTCAATATAGTCAAATGTTATGTAAGACTTAACCAGGTTTTAAAAAGTTCATTTTGTTAACGGCCCTAGCGAAATAAAATCCAATTTCGTTATTTGTCCTTTAAGGATTTGTAACTTATCCCCTATAACGCATTTTAGAAGGCGCATTTAAAAAATGTTGCTTAAATTCGAGTATGCTTAAACTTCTTACTGCCCGTTCACACGGTACGGATTCGGTTATTTTGTCGAAACGATAAAAAATTCGAATGGCGCAGTGGACAATCGTTTCAATTTGCATGTTAAAATGATGTATCCTCATTTCGATTCAATTTAGCTACTGTTTTGAATAAGTTTTCGTCCCATATGGTGTCTTATTGATTATTTTAAATAAGATATATTTATCAGTAAAGCAGACACCTTTATACCTACCAATATCATAATATATACTTTTTCATGTACCCTTACAAAAAAATTGTTTTACTTGCTATCTATCTAAAAAGCCTACAATTTAATATTTGGATTTATATTTCAATGAGCATTTATGTATTAAAGTGTAAATTGTAATTTGTTATCAACCTTATCGTCTATCTTATTTCTTATCGTTAACATACATGGTCTAACAAAAATATAATTCTTACCCCCTAACCTTAACCTCTACGAAAAATTATCACTTAAAATCTTGACTTTGTAGGAATTGTAGGTCCGTGTGCAGAGCACAACTTGATTGTATGATACCGCACGCCAAAACCATGCTTCTAATTCTTATCTTTAATATTTTAATAATGAAATTATTTTATAACTTACCCCAGAATAGAGCACATTGGGAGATTCCACCGGTTTTGGTATGGCTTGTGCAGAATAGCTGCATTTTGATAATTTTGTAACAGTATTCCCAATCAATCTCAACATTTTGTAGATATGAAATCAATAGTTCACGCTAGATAGCTTATACTACGGAACTCACAATACTTCTCAGTTCTCAGTTCTCACCAAAACAATAAACGAAACGAACAAACACTAAACTCGAACTCAAACTGCCAGCAAATTGTATAATCGACGTACGCTACAGATTTATATAGGAGGACCCACAACCAACGTCAAATCACAACTCCACAACGGTAATGTTTTATTTAGGAATCTCCCCCACCTTTAATCTTTATCCAGAATGTTTGGATGTTTACGGCAGATTAGAATCTATTTATATTGTGTGATAGCTACAGTTAACGTTTCTAGTTTCTATACAAATTGTGAAAACAATTCATAATCTACCCACTAAACACGAAACGTAAATGAAACGTTGCAAATGAGATGTTTTACTAAACATTTGAAACATTAACTAGAAACGTTTCTGTTTCATTACAGAAATGTAGCACTTGAAAACTTATTTAGTGAAACATAGCCGAAACGTTACAATTGAAGAGAGTTTGAAACATTACTCGAAACATTCCCTTTCGATCTCGGAAACATAACAGACGAACAACCCTTTGCTATTTTTGCTTATCTTATGGAACATTCGGCATTAGTTAAATTTTGCTCTCAATCCCCAATCCTTCTCAAGCGTTAGTTCATTTGCCTTTGTTATATAAAGACATAATTAGAAAAAAAAATGTGGTAGCATATTTATAACACAAGTCTAGAAAAAATGTATGTTCGTGACTTGCGTAGACTGCGCGTAACAGCCCGAGTTTATTTGTTTCCCGTGTGTCGTTTCAATTCGTATTATGTTAGGTTAGGTTTGCGGTTTGTCAGTTTGCTTGGTTTCGTTGTTATTCATCTTTACTTTGACGCTATTTTATGTGATAATTTGTAGTGTGTGCAGTTGTGGTTATTGTAAGGTGCATATAAAATAATGAATATTGATGCAAAATGTTTAAAACGATATGTGTAGAGATTTCCAATTTTGCGTCACATCTACCTAAATATAGTTATACCCACTACCTATTACAGACAAGAGGACAAGGGACAAGAACTAAGAAAATGGAACAACAACTATACGTTTCGATATAATTTGAAGAGCAACTACTTAGTCAGTGAGAACTATTTGAAATATGGATGAATCAAGTGAAATAGACGTCATTTATTTTATATTTTGTACAAATGTTTATATTTGTTTATGTGTATAGGCATGCTTAAATAAAAGAGTTTAGGTATACCTACAGATATTTACTTTGTCAAGATATCATTTTGTATCCTTATTTCTGCTGTATAATTTATTATTATTAAAAGGATATATGTAATATTGACCATGCGTAGAAGAAATTATAACTTTATATTATTTTTCAGTAATGTTATTTGTTTTTCATGTACCTACCATTTTAAGATTCATAATCATAACTAACTTTTTCTAATTATCAGTTCGTCATTGTTACCATATTCATGAAGGTCTCAACATTAGAAAATTTCCATTTCAGAAGCGTATTTGAACTATATAAAATGTGTAGCTTTTTTTTAATGCTTCTGATATTGTTTTGTGATATTTTTATTTGTACGATGAATGGCAAAATTCATAATCCATATTAGAAACTTTTTTCAGTGGCTTCTCAAAAAGAAAGAAATTCTTAGTAAAAGTTGCCGCATCCCCAAACTAGAAGAGCATATTTATTTTTTTTAATATACAATGTAACTTTTTTTAGTTCGAATTAAGTCATTCACAATACAAATAAAAATATCACAAAGGAGTATTAGAGATATTTAAAAAAATACTCACACTATTTATACTATTTCAAAAACGCTTTTGAAATGAAAATGATCTAAAGTTGAGAGCATTATGAGAACAATATGGTAATAAAATTATTATGTTACTCAAACATTTCTGAAAATATACTGAAACGTAAAACAAAAATATCGAGGGCATAAATGGAACGTAAAAAGAATGTTACTGAAACCAATTTTTTGAAACGTTTCATTGGAAACGTATTATGGGTAGGACATCTTGGGCTTTTAGAACGTTACCAGAACGTTGCATGGACTTTTTATGAAACGTTTCAAGAAAAATGGAAACGTTTCTGAAACATGTCAGAAACTGAAAAATGTTTAGTGGGTATCTACCTATTTTTATCAACACATATGTGTGAGGAGTCAATATACCAAAATATTTAGCGGTGACTACTGCGCTTCCTTCATAACAAAATCAGTGATGAACTTCAATATATCTACAGGATGTTCAGATTTGAACTGAAACAGTCATACCAAATTTTAACGATTTCTATACATGGTTGGTTTATAAAAAAGTATTAGTCCTAACTTAGCCGTAACTTAACCTTAATCTTAGTCCTAAAAGGTTAAATGTACAGAATTTAATGTATTGGTTTAAAAAAATCGTAACCTTGCCCTAGTTCTATACATTACATTTTGTACATTTAACTTTTTAGGACTAAGATTAAGGTTAAGTTACGGCTAAGTTAAGACTAATACTTTTTTATAAACCAACCAACAGCCAAAAGCGCCATGAGAATGATGAATGCCAAATATCACTTTTGTTATAAAAAAAAGCTGTATTTTTTCTATCTCGAATTTTAAACAACATTTCTGCTTTATTTATTCAATTTTATCTTGGTTAAGTTCTAATGCTAACAAAGCAACTAAAGTATAACTTTTTAATTACAAAATGTGAGCCTCATACAAACCGACCATGGCCGCCACTGGTTTCTATAATTTCAAAGTTTCTTATCGTCAGCATTTGAAAAGCAGACTTTCCCGCTCATAGAATCGAAATGGTCGGTTCGCATGATACAGAACTATATATTCAGTTCAGTGCGAACAGCCGAGCTGAGCGGACGTGTTTGTTTGTGAGGTGAAGTGATTGCAACTAGCAAAATCTACCTGCCTTTATAAAGGCTACCTGGAAAGAATCCCTTTCTTTCCTTTTAATCACCGACCTAATCCCCGGCTAAGCATAGAGGCCGTCGGCATCTTTGTTGCAGGCACCTGTCCCGGGGTTATGCCCAGGTAAGTTTTTACTTATTTATCAGTTATTTGCATTACTTTAAAATACATTTCTTTAAAATTGCGACCCCCGACAAACAATATACCAGACAGACAAATACACCAAAAGACACGTACGCCCCCGTAAGGGGGCATCCCCACACGACTAAAACCTACACACCCTCACACACACGCACACACACACACACGCACGCACGCACACACGCAAGAACACACGCACAACATGTCGGACTCCGAAAACGAGGAGAACATATACATATACATGGACGATACAGACAGCGAAAGACCCTCTTCAAGAGTCTCCGCTTCACCAAA